ACTTCAGTTTTTCAGATTTCTTTTTTTGAGATAAAAAAAGTTAATTAAATATTTTGTTTATTTCTAAATTTATTCTGTTATTGAGAATTCTATAGAAATATTATTTATATAGAAATAATTTCGGAATTATTAATAAATAGATTATTCATGGAAGTAATAAAAATCAAATATTGTATTATCTACTAATCGAAACTTTGAAAATGGCTAGAGTAGAGGTAGAATCTTTAATATTAAAGTTTTTGTTTTTTTTTCGAACTATTCTTTTCTCAATTTGTATTCGAGCTCTTCTTTTTTTCTATTAATTCTTTTCTTTTTTTTTCAATTAATCTGGTTTTTCTTTTGCTTTTGTTTAGTATATTTTTAACAATATATATTGATTTATTTAACTTGAAAAAACCCTAATCCTTCTAAAGGAATGAATATCAAAGTAATAGATTGATTAGTCAAAAGATATATCAATAAAAAATCATAAAATATTATTGATTTTTTCTATCCAGTTTTAATATAGAGAACTATATCTTTATTCTGACATAAATACTTTAAAACCTTTTTTTGACTAGATTGTAATGTCTTTTTGAAGAAGTTTTCTATTTGATTAATAACAGTCTCAAACTTGTATTAAGTTTTATTTTTTTGTATATGATTTCTTTTATGTTCTTTAGTCTTCTTTTTCTTTTAAGTTTATTAATAATATATTTGTGCTTTAGATGATTAGGGTGATGATATTGAGGTTTGAGCTATATGCCCTTCTTCTTCTTTCAGTTCTTCCTTTTTTGCAGTTATTATATGTATCGATAGTACTAGCGATGGAATACGAATCATTGGATTGTTATTGGAGCCAGTATTGGAATCAATATTATAATAGATTTCAGAATCAGGTCTAGATTAGATGCTAATTTCCGTATCTACATTGGAAACCATCTTATTATCGGAATTTTTTGGAGCTTTATCTAAAGAGTATTCAATACTATCATTGGGAGGCAATTTTTCTAATATATCGTTTAGGTTAGCAGGAGTAGTCGATATTATTATAAAATATTGGTAATTATAATAATTTAATTGAAAGATAAGAATATCAATCGAATTTGGAAAGTTATATCAGACTTAAAGAAAATACTTCAAACAATTCAATTTTGGTTATATTCATTAAATATAATTCTATAAAAACTATTTCTTATAATAGAATATATAGAATTCTGTTCAATTTTCAATATTTATTCAATCTTTTTGTAGAAAAAACCAAAATGATTTTTGATTTTCAAAGAATAATATAAAATATAATAAAGCTTAATAGATAATTGAATCAAAAAATTGAGAATAATATTTTTAATATATAATATGAAACATTAAGGTTTAATGTTTTATATAAGGAAGTGTTAAGGTTTGGGTATATAATTAATAAACTTTTATAACTATACCACAAGATTATCTCATTTAGGTCTAAAATCTATAAAAGTATTTATATACAACTATTATCCCTACCTCTCACTGCCTTCGCACGGACCCCTATACAAGTTTGCGGTCAGAGTCTCTACGAGACGAGGAAACCTCAGAATGAGTTTTGGGTGTATACATATGTATACATCTCTAAGTCCATATTCAATTGACCTTGCTCACTGTACAGTGTACACCCCCCTCGAATCCTATTGCTTCGGGTGTACCTATTCTATATCTATACTGTACCAAAACCAAACGGCAGTTCAAAACAGCATGCATCCGGTTGCCCGTACAATGATGAGATGAAAGCATTATGGAATTGGAGAGCAATAATAGATGAAATCTCGCAATTCAACTCTTGTATTGCGATATCTACTATTTCAGCTCATCACAACAACCGCCATTAAGGAACAAGGCTGCCTGCTTTGAGACTTGGTAATCACTCTCGCAGACAGACTCGACAACCCGCTCAATGATTTTAAATCAGAGTATAGATTGCGCAAATGCCTAAGTCTGGCTTTGGTTGGTTATCGTCCTATGTTCTCGTAATGGATTGATTCAATGTTTAGTGTATTATTACTGACATTCGATCTCACAGGCTGGATTAACCATCTCAAGAATAAAGGCGGGAAATGAACTTTAAGCTCTCTATCGGCGACGTTCCTCTTTATTCGCGGTCAACCCATAAAGTATGAACTCCAAAGACACTTGTGCCACTGGTTGGAGCTCGGGTTTTCAGCAATAATTTGTTTGATTGATCTGGTTTGGCATAGACTCACGTCCGAAACGATGAAATTGCATCGATTACTGAGGTAAGGGGCTGCGGTGCTAGTTCAATGGAGTACGACTTCGTTTGTTCTTTCTTGAATTCTCTGCTCATGATAGTTTTGTGCGAGTACTGGTAATAGAATGATGAGCGTTGAGCATAATGCTGGTTTCCAGCCTATAGCAAGAATCCCCGGTGATAGTCAGTTGCTGCTCGAGCATAACAGCCCCTAATCCTCTTGCCTAGTTTGATTCGGATATCTCAACAGCTCATCTATCGTGTGTGACTTTTAGCAACTGCTTTCATATTTCTATTATATTGTCAGATCTGCTGGACAGGCTGTTTCAAAAGTTGTTAGGAGAAGCGAATGCTAAGTTCAACTCCACTTGGGAATATGCAAGTCATAGCTATCCTGCTCATTTCGGAGTTGTATGACCTAACCCGGCATTCTTCAAGCCTACAATGCCTCGGGGGTTACTTCTACTAGTGTGACCAACATTTTATCTGATTTGTCTTCTGCTTCCTGTGTGTATGAATTTTTGTGCATGTTTGATTCAAGGGTATGTCATTTTCTTCCTTGTCTCGTATGTTACATGCATCGTACTTTCTATGGTTAGGCTTAGGTGGTATTCAGTCCCTGGTTTAAGTAAACACTACACTTGGATCATATAGGATAAGACCTGACGCTCACATTGGACACTTCCGAAATACTATAGCTTATTTTGTAGCTTGTACTTCACCGTAACAATGATGTGGACTCTCTAACGCGATTGACTTACCTGGGTTTGACGACACTTAAGAGGCTCGCAATTTCCATACGTCCGGCCCTAAACCTGGACGATGTTTCGACGCGAATTCAAAGGATTGGCTGCACAAAGGGAGAGAATTAAACCCTGTGCAAGATTTACCAACGAAGGCTAGGTATGGTGGTATAATGTTACTCCAGGAAAAGTGAAGGTATCCGATGACACTTATTACTACGGAAGTCTCTCTAGCCTGATGTACCCATAGTCCGAATATAGATGGATGCCGATGTAGTAGAGGTTATTTCACAACCTTGGGCTAATCTCGAATATGGAAGGTCTGTTCACAACTCAGATCAAAACCCTAGTTCCCCAATTATGCTCCAAAACGTTAGCCTAAATACAGCTACTCTTTACAGCAATTGATCATCGACGATGAGCAAAGCCGCCAACATATCTCTTGTACAAAACATTGACGAGAGCGGGGTCACTCGAAGGTTGCACAAATCTGGACAATTAAGCCACTCATCTAAGACCAGCAATTACGTTCACAATCTATCCTTCAGGCGATCGTTCGAGGGTACAAGTAGATCTTACACATACAAACTTTTTACTCGCCATATCCTTTTCTACAGATTTATGCAAGACCGTTGGTGTTAGGAAGTTCTCTAACGGCAACTCGATCGGCTGACTGCTAACTTCTTCACTTCGAGTCGTACAAAGTATCCCATGCTGGCTTGTTTGTATTTCACATGTCTGAGCCATTATAATTCAAGGATTCCCCGCATCCGCAAGAGCTACTGCATGCGCACCTTCGAATTCGCCAGGTACTCCGCACTATTGTTCACGCTTAGATTTTCCATGCATTTGATGCCAAGATTTGACTTTAGTGTTGTTACATACCCAAATAGCTTCACCAGTGCTACATACTCGAGGAAACCAGACCACAACGAAATAAAGCAACTATAAAAGAGTGAGAAATTCTCATCTTAAATCATCTATTATCGCTCAATCTCGAAGGTTCAATCACACAATCACACAATCCAATTCAAACCACAGATATCTTTGTTGCAAAAAAGAAATCATGAAGTTCTCATACGTCGCTATTGGTCTCGGAGCTGCATCCGTCGTATCAGCTCAAGCTGCTTGTACTTCAGCTGTGTCGGCTGTGCCTACTTGTGGTGTATGTAATATCTTCGTTTCCCTCGATCTCCTTGATCTAAGATTATATCATCTGTCTTCTCTTCTTTTTAAATGAGACATCTCTTACTCGCCCTCTCACAGCGACAACCTTCAATTGGTCCACTGACATTTTTCTTAGGTTTCTTGCATCAATTCGGCGGTGGCGGCACATTGTACAGGTACCAACAACTACGCTTGTGAATGCGCACCTGCAACGTTCACTTCCATCGAAAACGCCGCTGCTAATTGTGTCATCGGGGCTTGTGGATTAATCACTGCGGTGAAGGTCTTGAGCTCTGTCGCTGCGGTTTGCACTGCTTGTGTTTAGACTGCCATTGCTGCTGCCTGGTTGTCATTCAAGGACTGGCACAAGGATATGAGAGAGTATGGGATGCTTCTGGCGGAATGACCCTTTGCATGACGTAGCTGTGGTGTGGTTCTGCGGATGAACGACGCTCTTTGGATTAAGACAACAAAGGCGGGCATGCAGGTTGATTGATAATCATTCATCAAAATTAATTTTGTCGTGCCAGTGCTTAAAAACATCTAAGAGCAGCCTTTTGTGAACTTATGTTCTGTTCCATAATTTGAACTCGAGATGAATGGGCTGGCCTATAAACTGCGATGTCATATCGTAAGGAAAGGAATTATGGCACAGCGTCACCATACAAATAACTCCATCTTAGGTTAATGATGATTGGTAAACTTGACCCAGGAATCACGAAGATCTGGTGGTGAGAGTAGAATCACATCTATATTCACCACCCCCATAAAATGTCTCGAGAATGATCCTCATTGTATCGACTTAGGGTAATAATTGAATAACCCCTCAGATTTTAATACAGTTGTGATGCTGTCAAAGAATCAAATCAAGTACATTAAGAATGAATGCAAAATAATGTTTCATTTTCTATCTTAAAATACCTTTCCATCAATCATCCACATTAACAAAGGGAAACTATATCCAATCTTTCTTTCTCCCTCCTACTCCCCTTCTTCTTTTCGCGCTCCGGGTATCATTCTAGAACTATTAAACAATATGTATGTATTTATGTAAAAGAACCACTCTGTGAATATGGGCGGCATTGGTATAAGAAGCTTTAAATCCACCCCACTAAACATCATCAAACTCAAAACGCAATAAAGTTTGAAGGAAAATGATAAAAGAAACTTTTTTAATCAACGTCCGAATCCCCCGCTGTAAATTCCAGCCATCTCATCCACTGTGCTTTCATCATCATCATAAAAGCCCTCTTCACTTCCGAAATCTCCGAGTTCCTCACCTAAGCTCATCCCCAAACTTGGTTGTCCGAGTGCACTTTCGCGTCTACTTCCATTGCCCAGTTCATCGTGGTTGGTCACCACAGCATCGATATCATAACTGCTTCTTAACATCATTGGTGGTGTCGATGGTACTTCTCTCCTGACAGGAACTTTATCCGCACGTCGTGGTGTTGACGTTCTGGAACCAAGTCCACTTTGTCTAGCCGCAAATCGTTGACCTGTGGCGTCGAAAGCGCTCAATGTGTTGTCCCTCGCGAAGTTGGTTGGCTCTCTGGTAACGTGTACTGGAGGAGGTGCTCCAGGTGTACTAGGGTATTGCCTGGTATTATTACTTGCGGGTGGTGTCATTAATCCACTAAGAAATCCAGATGAACTCCCAGCTTTAGGTGGTGTTGAATTTCCACTTGCAGTACTGGTACCATAACCATCGCTCATCAGAGAAGTTGTGTCCTTTACCTGATTCTTGTTTCTCCAATTCCCCCAAGCAGCAGCAAGTGGTCCTACGGCACTAGCAACTTGTGCAACTCGGGGACTAGCTGCAATAGAAGCCGCGATGTTGGGAAAATTGATAGCCGAACCGCCGTTCATGGCTCTCTCGCGTTCTTGTTCTTCCATCTGAAGGTTGGCGCTCAGTCGAATGGCGGCATCGCGAACACCGTCTGAATTGTATTTGCCCGTTGACAAGGCATGCACAATATCCTGAAGATCACTCTTGCGCACCGAAAGAAGTTCCCGTAACCACGTAATTTCATCATCACGTTTACTAATCTTTGTCGAGGCCTCAGGATCCACGTCCGTAAGTTTCTGCTCGAGATCTTCAATCTTCAATTCACGATCTTGTAATTGTTCTTGCAAGGCCATAAGAGATTCTCGGAGTGCCTGTGGTGAAATCTTCTCTGGCACTTCCAATCCACGTGGTTGCGCCGACGATGACAAGGATCCAGCTACGCTTGCCGATCTTGCAGCTTTAGCGTGAATAGCAGCAGCTTGTGCAGCAGATCTAGCGACGTCCAGCTTATCTTCTAAATGACTCACACGATCCTGAAGATGTTCCGTCTTGGCCGTACTCAAACTCAATCTCTCCAAGAGGTGTTGTTCGGACCTCTGAGCATCCACAAGCGTATTTTCAAGTTGTCGTTTGTGCTTCTCCTGTAAATCTTCAAATTGGTCTTGGTGCTTTCTCGTAATGTCATCGAACATCTCTTTCTTGGAAGTTTGGGCCGCTTCTAGAAGCATATCATGTTGTTCCTTTGCAGTCTCGGCATCTAATTTTACCAAATCTATCTCGACTTGTAGTCTGGAGATTTGATTCTCAAGCTCTTCTCTGACAACATTGACTTCGTTATTGGCGGTATCGACCTCAACTTGCATATACTTTCTCGTGCGTGCAACTTCACCTAGGCCAGATTCGCGAGCCTCCTCAAATTCTCTCTTGTGTCTCATAACATCTTTATGAGCAGCATGATTTTCGTTCCGCAGTTCAGTGACGACAGATTCCAACCTCTTACACTCGTTAATAGCTCTCATACCTTGTCTCTCTCCGCTCTCTAGTCGTTCGATTTCCAGTTCAAGTCGTTCTCTTGTTCTAGCTTCGGCATGGAGTTTAGCATCAAGGACTTCCTGTCTGGCCAATAATTCCTGTTCTTTCTTGGCACGGTGGGAATTATCCTGTGAAATATTTCGGGCGGCTGTAGCCATATCCTCCTGCAAATCCATTAATTTCGATCTCATGGATTCGCGGACTCGGATACTTTCCTCCATCTGGTTCTTCAAGGTCTCGATGGTCCTCCTAAGATCTCTATTGGTTTCATTGGCTTGTTCCGCATCCTCACTATGTCTCTTGGCTGCTTCCATAGCCCCTTCGGCCTCCAGCTGCCATCTATGGGCTAATGATCGGGATTCCCGTAATTCAGATTCGGCCATGTGAACTGTGGCGGTAAGGTCTGCTTCAGTCTTGCGATAGTTCTCCTGCGCAGCTTCCAGTAATGCGATACGCATGGTAGTCTTATCTCTTGACTCTTCGAAACTTCTTACCTTACGATCACGATCCTCTGCAATCTCACGAATCTTGGCATCTTTCTCCAACATTGCATCGCCAAGTCGATCTTCTTCTTCGGAATAGACACGAAGCAGACGGTGGGCTTCAGCAAGACGATCCTCGGCCTTTCGTCGACCTACAATTTCATTCTCGGCCTTGGAGCTCTTCTCTTCAACAATTTGTCGTAATAGATGTTCTTCCTCCAGAGAACTTACTAAAAGCCTTTCCGTCATAGCCTTGGAGTCTTCAGTAGCTCTACGCTTCTTGGTCTCTTCCTCGACCCAATCGTCAGCCCGACGAAGCTTTTCCTCGAGCTCGGAAATTCTGATTCGAGAATTTTCTTCTATCTCAGCTAGCCTAGCTTGGGCCTGCCGTTCAAGAGCTGCCATCTTTGCCTCAGCCTCAGCTAATTTGGTGGCCGAAATATCATCAAACTGAATGGGAGCAGGCATTCTCTCTTCAACAACTTCCTTGATAGCATTCCTCAGATCTTTCACGCTGAAACCGGGCTGTGATGATTGTGCAAACTGCTCCTTCATTTCGTCCAAAACTTGAAGAACATTACGCGAATCAGGTAACATGGTCGCAACTGTTGGCGTAACTGCGCTTTGAGGTCTTGATGAATGAGCATTGAGAGCATCCAAGACGACCGTTCTGATTCTCTCCAGCTTTGCGTTTCTTCTTGGGCTTGCTGACCTTCCAGGATCTTCATCATCTTCGTCATCAGCATCACTTAGTGCACCAGACATGCTACGCTGTTCTCTGCGATATGATGCAGCTCTCACCGAGTAAGGAAGCGATTGTAACGAATGTGTGATTCCCTCCAAGATCTTCTCTATTGGGTCCAACCTATCGGCCAACAACGAACCGACGATATCATTGACACGATTATCGAAGAAACCAATCCTTTCATGAAGTTTAATCTCCTCACCTTCACTGAGAACATCATCCCAATCACTAACTGGGAGACTATTTCCAGTGTTAAGACGATGAATAGGTGATCCCAAGGCAGCTGCAGAATGAGGATCCGCAAATGGATCATCATCAATTATCATGTGAGAATATACTCTATCCGGAGATATCTCACCAAATTGGCTATCCTCCACATATCGGCATGGACCTGGACTTGGGCTTGGAGCATCGCTGCGCATAATATTAGGATGGAGGCGAATAGGTGATGACATCGAAGGGATCTGAATATGTCTTTGCGGACTAGCTGCATGCCATCTTGGGGTATCATCTCCATTAGAGGTTGTGGCTGGTGACATTTCCGTTGAATTTAGATGCCTCATAACAGCGTCAATCTCCTCAAATGTCGGTTCTCGATCCTCTCGAATTTCACCTTCTTCCATTTCAGAGTCGTCATCGTACTGTGGTGGACTTTGGGGCCCTGGTAATGCATTCTGGAAGTCATTGACTTCATGAGGTCGCAAGGTGGGTGAGTCGGTAGCGGATTCCCGAGGTGGCGATGGACTTTTAGCATGTCTCGAGGCTGCAAGTTCGCCAATCTTTGGATGAACTGGAGAAGCTGGCGCAAGTATTGGAGCTTGGCTTCCACCAAAAGTAAAAGCAAAATTTCCCTTGGGTTGGGATTCGAAAGGTGTGGCATTTGCAGAAAGAGATGATGCCATTTTCCTATGGCCAAGTTGACTTCCACTTGCATTTGATGCTGCCTGCAAATGTAGGTGTTGTTTAGGTGCCGTATCGTCAGCGTCCTCCATATCATCTTCTGAGTTTGTATTGTCAACACCATATCCGGGAAGACCAAATTCATATCTTTTTGCAGTTAATGGTATTGCAGCATTGGAGTCCTCTACTTGCTTTTGTTGTTGGAATGCGAATGGCGAATACTCCGCATCCCCGGATGGCTTCCGGTTCACAGTAGCAGCAAGCGACTCATACACACTCTCACTTGACGGTGCAGAATTCTCCTTATCATCTTGTGTAGGACCGAGCTGGGGCTCTTCTGGAGCTGACTGTTCCCGAGTAGTCTCCTGGAGATGTACAGTGGGCTCAGCAAATAGAGGTACGGAATCTCCATCATCGTTACCTCTACGTATCCTTTTGATATTGCCTGGGTTTTGCATGGGGCGACCGTCTTTACCTTCCATCGTTTCCTCGGCCTCCTTAGAATGACTACTATCAGGCCTCATAATGGGAATAGCCTTTGACTTCTTTGTGAGTTTTGACGTGTCAAGAGAATTCATATCAATACCACCAAAGATGGGGTTTCGTGGAGCTTCATTGCCGGATGCTTCACCCGTTGAATTGATAGAATTCGAAAGGTTTGGAGTAAATGTTGGTGCATCAGGTCTGAAGCTTGGTCCTTGGAAGTTGAACTCGCTGTGTCCTGGTACAAATCCTGGCAAGTTGGGAGAAAATACTTGTGCAGGATCATTAACTTCACTGAGCGAATTCTTCACTGAGTGGTTGCCGGGGTGCTCAGATACACCAGGTAGTGGCCCCTGATGAGCAAATGGTACATAATTGACAGTTGTATGTGCTGGCTGAAAGTTGCCACCAGTGAAGGAAAATTGATTCGGTTGAAAGGAGCTGACTGGATTGAAACTGAAAGGTCTCGCTGCAACGTTTAATGTTGACATAGATTGCTTGTTGGCACGGTGGCTGGGTTGATTAATCTTTGATTGCGTGGATTCAGCATCAAGCCATGGATTGCTAGCCATGGACATGTCCCTGTTATGACTAAATGCCTGTACGCCGTTTTGTAAGGTCGGGGTACCCAGATTGCTAGGGTTGGTCTCTATATCAGACAAGTCGTATTTCGCGTTATTGTTAACATCACGTAATCCAAGCTTCGATTCACCACTAGAAGTATCCTGCTCAGAATCCTGGAATGGGTGTTGAGATAGAGAATGGCCGCGACTGTGAGGTTGTGGGTGATGAAGAACAGGTCCCTCCTCCGCAGCAAATCGTGAGGATTCGACTCCACCGCCAATAATTGAGGCGTTCCTCACGTGAGGTACAGGTTTGTTCTCAAACTGTTTGTCCATCTCCCCATGGTCGGAATGGGGACTGTAATCATCCCCATCAAGTTGTCGTTGGAATTGCTCCTCTAGGTGATATTCAGCATCATCAATTTCTTTCTGCAAGCTTGCGCTCGCATTATGCTTGATGGTCGCTTTAACTTCCAATGTTGGAGTTTTAGAAGGACTCTTGCTTGGAGCGGGAATCTCCGCCGTTTTCTCATCCTCGCTCTCACGAACTTCTTGAAGACCTGGAGATGCACGAGCACGAACACCTACAGATGATAATTGATTTTGCATCAGAATTTGTCGTGACATGGCATCCCCGTGGCCTTGTGGGAAGTAACCATCCTGAGATAGAGGTGAGGCTGGAGATCTGATAGAGCCCAAATTATGCATCGAAGGGGACCCACCCCTATGTCCATGCTGGTAAAGCATTTGTTGTGGAGACCAAACACCTGGCGACGAGGTCGGTTGTGGGTATTGAAAAGGTGATCCGAATGGATGATCCCCGCCGCCAAAAGAAACCGAATTGTGTCTCATACCACCAAACTTTCCATGTAAATGCGCATGCATCGAAGCGGGAGAAGCAATAGATCCTTGGTTGGAGCTTTGACTTGTAGATAAACCATTTCCAGGCATCAAAGCGAGAGAGAAAGGAAGATTTGACTTGTGAGCGATGTGGCTGCTCGTTGTTGATGAAGTTGGTATCGGAGGGGAAAATGGTAATGGCGGATATTGCATTGAAGTACGACGACTCAAATTCAATATCGCGGGTGAAATTATAGGAATCGGGTCATCATCCCCCAAGGAAACACCTAGTGCTCGTAATTTGGCTTCTTTCAATTCTTCGACATAGGCGTCCCATTCTATATTTATCCAATCCATTAGCACTCATATATCATAATTGAATAATTGCCGTTCCACAATTTCCATAATTGGCGCAAGTGATATCATGTAGTTCAAATAAGTAATTAAAGAACGGAAGGGAGAACGCCACAAGATGTTATGAAGGGATGAATTTCCCAACTACATTTGGACCTCTTCCTCTCAATTTCAAGGAAACAAGTGATAAATAAAACCTCTATCTTACCTTTTCTGTCAGGAATATTGACTCTGAAAGTCCTCTGCGCTCTCTCAGCCTCCACATCAATCATGGTTGGCCAACTATTTCGGCCCTGGCCAGGACCGCCTTCACCTCCATCATCAGAGCCAAGATTAAAGCCACTGGTATCATAACCCAATTCCTCCCAATCCTTCAGCATCCCAACTACATCTTTTGGTGTCATGGGTTTCGGTGCACCTCCCTTCTTTCCGCGATCTTCATCCCAAGGGAGTAGAACCAAAATATTTTTTCCTTTCCATGGGACTTTCTTCTTCAATCGTGGAGGTAGAGATGTCGTTGGAGATGGCGTAGGATTGGGTAATGCCTTTGCGGCCCATTGTGCCATCAAGGGTGGAGGAGGAAGAGGTTTTTCGTCTACTGGTGTATGATTCGCGGAAGTTCTTTGCGAACCACTCTCGTTTCTTGCGGACATATTAGAAGAATCTCTGCGCACAGCAGCCGCAATATCTTCTTGAGTCAAAGTCTCCGATGTATCCTTTCTTCTGTGTCGGCTTCCAAAATCTCTCCCCAAGCGTTCACTTTCTTGCACAAATCTAAGTAGGGTAGGAGTTCTGGGATCCGATTCTAAAGCCAAGGAATCCGCTGCACCCCCTGAGATTGATCCGCTCAATGAAGAGTTCTCACTTTCTCCAGGATTATCGTCACTTAGCCAGTTATTCCTTTCTGTTGATTCACCTCCGGTGTGTTGCCTTATCCAATCTTCGGTCAATCGATGTGCTGGACGTCGAGCTCGATTTGCTAGTACGGCAGCACTAATGAGACCGTCGTGGGACACAAAGTCCGGTTCTGCCACTGCCTGAGACCTCGTGAAAGCTGGAGGAGGACGTAAAAATGGTGTGTGCAACTCAAGATGGCGGATTGGCAGATCTTCCGAGTCTTCTGATGCTTCACTATATGCACTTCTATAGAGTGAACGACTACCAACAGAAGATCCTAGAGGATGCAGATATGGAGATCCCCAACTAGCGGTATAGAAAGCACTAGTATCCGTTCGAGGTTCTGACGGAGGACGTGAAGGTGGGGTTCCAAAAAGATCGATTGTATGACCGTTTATTGTTGGTTCTGGTAGAGGTGGAAGGATAGGAGACGAACCTCCACCCTCAGCTGTTGAAGTTGTGGACAATGCAGGAGAGTTGAATGGGTCAGGATATTGAAGTTCGAAGCCTGCCTCTGTCGTCGTCGTACGAGGAGGTGTTGAAATCACTGTCTGAATATTGACTGTAGAGAAGAAGAAGAATGAGCGTGTTAATAAAATTCACAAATTCAACAGAAGCCAAAGCCAAAGCCAAAGCCAAATGTCCAGTTATTTTGCCGATGGAGATGAGATGCAGGCGGATAACAGGAATAAGAAAACAAATCTAAAAAAAAAGGAACAACTTACCAAAAGTTTAGAGAACAGGGCAGACGATTTTACCTTCGTCTGTCACTGTATCTCTTCTTCTTTTTTTCTTTCTTCAAAAAAAATCAAATGGTATCAAATTATCAAGATACCTTTCTTCACTCGGGCCTCTTTCTATTTGTTGATTGAGTTGTTGACAGAGAATGAATATAAAATCAACCTTCAGCCTTCAACCTTCACCGGGTCTACTCGAGTAAGTATTTACCCGTATGATAGAATCGTCGCGACGCGTTCGGTAATTAAAAATTGATGGAGCGGGTGAAGCTTTTTGGGGCTGACAGGGAACTGGGGGACAGAGTACAAATATAAGATTCACAAAGTACTATCTGTACCAAGTACTTGTAGCAGGAGGCGAATAGAAAAGGAGGACCGCTCTTCTATGAATCAATCGACATTATGAAGTTGTTGATGCATGCAATGAATTACTTGAAGACATTCGATCAAAAAGTAGGTAAACAATCAAGTTTGTTGTATCTTGTATTATGTTGATTATTTTGATGTGAAGGAGGAAGAGGAAGGGGATCTTGCTGGCAACTTTATTATTAGTATAGTACAAGGAACATCTATCAACCAACGAAAGAAGCAAGAAGCAAGAAGCAAGAAGTAGGTATACAATTACTAAGATCTTATATCGAATAAGTTCTTCAAATTACCCCGGATTTATCGATACTGGTGCCGGTAATGCATTAATGCATTGACAGATGTTCTAGTAATAACTCCTGAATAATATAGCTTTCCATTAATAACCAGTCAATTGAATGACACTCCGTTGGCCCTCCGGGAGCCACTGCCGTGGAGGCAGAATATTATAATAATGAATTTATCCATTCCATACAACCAGAGTAATATACTCTCGAGTATTTGATACTGTAAGATTACGATTCACCCATCCTCTCAAATCTCAACTCTCAACTTCTCATCAATTGCAACTTCGGAAGTACAAAAATACCAAATACCGGTACCGTAATCATGCAAACGTGGAGTGATCCCATTAGTTCCAGGGTCCTAGACGGAAAGCTAAGCTAACACCACAGCTAACACCACAGCTAACGGTCCGACCCGCAAAAGGAAAAACGCCATATTTAGTCGTCTCGTCTCGGTTGATTAACCACCCGGACACGATTAAATGTTCTACACGAATACTTTGGGCGAACATGTGGAAATGTGGAAGAAGAGAGAAGGGGGAAGAGGGGGGGCATTTATGATGACTTTGAGGTGGATTTAAAAGACGTGCAAAGATGGAGATTAGTGTTTGCCCCTTGCAGGAACTCCGGTAAGGCAGCAGATGAGATGCACAAAAGACGTTGCCAAGCCAGCATGGCATTGCAGAAGAGCGGAGAGACCAAAAAAATTAGAATAAATGGTACTGTATCTCGAAATCCAAAGCTAACAATCTAGATGCTAATTCATATTCTCTCATACCCTCGATTCAATGTCGATATGCGAACGATGCCCCATATTATCTACAAATTCCCTTTCGCATCTCACCCAACTGTCAATCTCCGAGTCGTAACTTAACAAGTCAAATCGTACTTGCTGCTTCTGTCACTATTCCATACTCCCCAATGTGTCTCATCTGCAACTGAACCATCTGAACCGGTAGATACTGGCTTCCATGGTTCATCGAATGCCTCGAACGAGAATACATTCACACCCCAATCCATTATACCACAAATCCCTTCTTGCCAGAATGTTTTTGCAGATGCTGTGCCTGGGACGGCAGATTGGTACTTTGAGCCTGCTGTCGGCCAGCCTGTTCAGATATTGAGTTAGCATAAAAGTGCTGGACGTGAGAATGGAGGTGTAAAAGGGGTGTAAAAGGGGTGGATAATCATCGTACCAGTCTCTCCGACCCAAAGTTCAGGTCCATCACTGGCAGATCCAGCAACATCTTGAATATGGCCAAAAGCTTGCATAATATCATCGAAGAAACTATGTGTTGCATTCTTCAACTCTTGTCCTTGCCAATAACTGAATGCATTGCACAACAGAATATCAGCACCACCCTTGATAACAGGATCCGCGGTTCCGTCCATATATTTATTCCAGCTGTCTGCCGTTCCGACCTTGAAGTCTCCGTTCAATGCGGTCTTGACATCCATAATTTTCTCAAGGAGTTGCTCGCCAGTAAAGTTTCCACGATAGAGTGATTCCGAACCGACGGTGATAGCGTAAACTTGATCGCTGTATTGAGGCGCATATTTAACTACTGCAGCCTTGTCGGCGGCGAAAGATTCATCGGTGTCTGGCCTATTCCCATCATTAGCTTTGCATCCCAAATCAACCAAGGTTTTTGATATTTTAATAACATACCAAATCCCCAAAACAACCTTAAATCCCTTCGCCTTAGCAGCAGGTAATATTTCCTTCGCAGTATCACAATCACTCGCTGCATATCCCCTCACAACCCTAGCGGTGCTCCCCTTGGAAATAGTTTCGAAATCCGATTCATAATCCGCTGTAAACTTGCATGTCCCATCTGCCTTCTTATCACCGAGTGCAAATCCCAATGAACCTGCTGCAGTGGCTGTCGAAATGACTCCAGCAAGCGGAAGGAGAGTTACGAGGGAGCGCATTTTGTTATTAAGATCGTGGTTTAAGGTTAAGGGGACTGTGGAGTGCGGAGGTTGGATAGAGGACGCGTTTTCTGTTAAAAGAGTGAGTTTGGAGTAAAATCTCTCGATAATGAATCAAAATTTCAGAACTTAATGAGTGACGATTGTGATGGGAAAATGGACGGTGAGGTTGGTGAAGGTACGAGAAAGTCAATTGAGATTTAAGGTCATACAACTCTCAAGGGGGGATTTGACGCTTTGCCATAAAGGATTTGGGTGGAGAGATTGGATGGCTTGGCGGGGTCACAATTATTATTATGAGACAAGACGGCTTGGCATTGGAAGAACACGAGATGAAGAACATTAGATGAACTCCATCTGAAGGAGGGATTATCTATTCCATCGGTATCTATCTACATTCGTTACGTAAATTATCATTAAATGATCCGTCCTTGTATCCCCAAATCCTCATATATGTTGGAAGAGAAATGACTTAAGAACGCCCTTCCTCTCAACAGTGATCTATCCTACATAGCCAATGTTTAAATTGCCACTTATTTCCTTGCGATCTGGACTCGTTCGTCAAACATCCTACCTACCTACCTACCTATCAGCCTATTCTACGGCAGATGTTGAAGCTGGCTTCGATGAATACATTCGGAATTGAAGAAAGATAACTGCGTCTTCAACGATCGTTCCCAAGGATCCGATGAGCCATGGAGTGTTAATGATGAGGTATTCTTTCTCCAATGAATGGAAGAGGATACCAGCACCGTATGTGAGATTTCCCATCAAGGAGAGGAGGAAGAAAAGGAGGGCGAGACCTGTGCTGTTAGCTTGAGATATTGTGCGGGCAAAGTGGAATCACATACCATCGCAAGACTTCTCCTTGTGGTTCTTCAAAATTTGAGGAATTCGCGCACTTGATAGTTTCGTCAGCATTCATCGTCCTTCTCCCCCCTCACAAAATAACTCACCCAAGGTAACAGACGGCACTGAAATATCCTAAAATCTCTGCTCCAACAGCAACATCATTCGCCTTGGGAACATCACTGCCATTCTCTGGCGTAGGCATCCAAACACCGCTTCTCCAAGCCATAGCCCATCCAGCCGCTCCAGCAGCGATAACTAATAAAATGCTAACAACGTTCCTGACCCAAGAATTTCCATCTGGCGAGTCATCTTCTTCCAAGATTTTGGTCAAGGTATCTTCATGACGTTGAATTCCACTCATTGCTGAAGAACGTCTTCTATGAGATCCTGGAAGTCCAATACTGCTATTACTTTCTCGACGGGCAAGAAGAGGATCTTCTTCGCTTGGTGCGTTGGGTTCTGTTTCTTGATGCTTTCGAGCGTTGATTTTGTTGTAGTACAGACATTGTGCGATAAGTACGAAGTCTGCAATACAGAAATAGATGGCTAAAACAATAACTGTAGGGACCAGATCTGCCCAAATCGCACCTGGAGATAATCAGTATAAGCACATGATCATCGAAGAATGGGATCTGTGAATCTGTGGTAGGTAGTTGATCGAGTGAGAGAAGAGTCATCGCATCAATATCAAGATCATGATTGCCAAGTTTGCGCGACCTCGCTCCCTCCCCTCAACGTCCCTCAACTTCCATCTTCCCAACTCACCTGCAAGATTTGTGATATCACCAATCAACCAAACCGACAAGAAAGCCAATGATACTCCATCGGCGCTCTGAGTCCGATAGTTCAAAATAAGTTGTGGTACCTAAGAGATCGAATCGTGTCAGTATAGGCAAAATCAAAACTTGGAAACGAGGGTATCAGGTATCACGAACCAACAAAAATATCCAAGTTGCCAAACTGATACTTCCAAATATACCCGATAAGGCTTCTTGTACAGTCAAATCGTGCGATAAGCTCAATAACGACATGATGATGTTCTAGAAATTGTGTCCGTAATACCGTAATGTTTGATTTGAACACATATATAATTTGAAGATATAAAATTGAGATTTAAAGTAAGTATGGTGAAGATAGATAGAGATAGAGATTATAATATATGAATGAGATTATGAGATCACTTGGTCAATTGTCTCAATTGATGAATAACTAGGTACCTAAATGATATGATTGGGTGAATGAAAGAAAAATGTTTGTTATACAATAATTGATCTTCCAGGTCATTATTGCAGATTCTGCAAGATCAAGATAAACTTTAGATAAGATCGTGATTTGAACCAATAGGAGGTCTTGATTTTAATACCCCTTAGCTTATTAGCTTAACTTGGTTTTATTTTCGTTTTTGTGTTACATGGATCAAATGTGTCCCCATGTCAACTTGTCATCTTGAATAACTTCAATATCTTATTCTTATCTACAATTGTTGTGCCAATATTGCAAGATTACTTGAGTAGTCTTATAAGTCTTCTTGTCTATTAACTCCATACTCAAGTTGTACATTCTACATCCAACCATCATGAATTCTTGGAATGCGCAGGCATAGCCTCTTATCTGGGAGTATTATCATTACATTATCATACTATAAACACTACTAACCTGCTAGACTGATCACAATATTTAGATTTGATAATTACTCAAGCTGGCAAATCCCATAGCCTCGAGGCTCGAGCCAATCCCAAGTTAATTCGAAGACCCATCCCATGCAAATCCTAAAGTTGAAGTCGTTCTTGTGATCGAGACCGCAACGAAACCCCTTCAAATACATCAACTCAAATCATCTTGACTGCGGCAGAGCTACATATAATATACACACGGTGGGCGGACAGTGGGAGACGGGGCAACATTGGAAAACGGTACCGGAATTGGTACCAAAGAAGATACTCGCGGGAGCGGCTTCATACTGCGCCGAGTTGAAGCCCGTCAAAAACAAGTGTCCCAATCAAGTTATCTGAACTTCAATACCTATGGTCCTATCACAATCTGAATGATCGGACTACGTTCACGAGATTCGTCTATCTTGTTGCAAAGTTTGACATGCATGATTGGAGGTGGAACCTTGATGAGAATAAACAGAAGCTGTAAAGGAGCCATAGGCTTCCAGTCGCTTCATTAATTGTTCTGCCCTAGAATATAATATACACAACATGCATCATTTCATGTCCGGAGCTGCAAGTGAAAAAGCTGGAAAGTATTTTTCGGTGCAGCTTTACTTCAACTCTTCACAATCCGTATTTGTGATCTCGCTTTACAAAGCTACAACGATGTTCCCGGATTTCCTCTCACCAATGCAACAAGTACTGCGACCAACCGATTTTTGCATTAGCTTGGGACCAGCGTCTCCAACTAGATAGGGACCTACGCAGCTGTGGATGCGGAAATCTCCTTTACCTTTGCATTAGTCAAGGAGTGGACGCCGAAAGCAAAATCTGCCATGAATATACACATGAGGCCCAGCTATAGACCGACATTGGTGATGAATTACAATACGACGATTGCCCCAATGAACGTCGCAAAAGCAAGGCGAGATACAACTTTGCTTCACGTCAGACTCGGACGGCGAACTGCAGAGCCAGTAATCATCTTGCGGGAGACATTTAACGGCGCATAAATAGCTGCAATTGGTACGAGATATCTCTGGAGGATATCAAAAAAGCCGGTGGCGCCGAAAATCATAGATGGGTAATACGATGAGAAAGGGCAAGCAGCACAACGCTCAACTTTTGTTTACATCCCCGATGGACATGTGATAGGGGCAATTATTCTTGGAATAGTACTGAGCTTCGAGAGAATTGATTATTTGAGCTGAGTTTGCAAGATATCAAATCATATATTCGTCATTCCACCAAATATATATACACATATACCTACCCCTATATATACCAAAGCTATGTAGTGAAAACCGCAATATCATACTCCTTCAATTCAAACTCAAACTTACCTCCTGCCCCCGCGGTGACATTACTAACTGTCTTAATCACCACATCCTCGCCTCCATAAACATTCATACTATTACCCTCTGGTGCATTCAACACCGTAAGTATGCCCGTCGCACCAGCATCTACACCTTCGAAATTTATCGAGAAAGGTATTGGTTCTGTTGTATTGTAGACGGTGGCTTTGAATACATATTCACCAGGGTTGTTCACACCAATGACGTAGAAAGCGGGACCGAAGGGTGGGGAGTTTGTGGTGGTGAATGGGACGGTGGCATTATAGCGGTTATTGGATAGGAGTTGTAGTTGGTGCCATGAACAGCTCCGGACGGTTTTTTCGGGATCGGCGCTGAACGTGACGAGATCGGGCTTTTTGGGGTTAGTTTCATTTTTATTTTGGGATTGAAGAATCGGTGGGATGGATGGAATGAGAACTTACAGTCCACTGGAAAGAATTTATGTTCTGGAATCCAGGCGCATATGATGCACCAAACACAATATCACCATTTCTTTCCATGCCAAGGAGGTAAATAGCTTCACCGACGGCACCAATCCAAGTTCCATAGTCCATTTTCGCCGCATTCCAGTCTACTGGTGCGCCGTTTGCGTTGGGTTGGATGACTGCGTATTCGCCTAATAAGATAGGATAAGACCTATTAGAGTGATCAAAGTGTTCGAATTGAAGTGCAAAATCATCTGGTCTGGAATATTGATGGAAATCTGTACCAGATGTATGAGGGGCGCCAACCGAGAGGAGATCTTGAGCGGAAGAAATGACTAGAATGTCTGGGTATTTAGCGTGGATGGCGTTGTAAAACATGGGCCAGCGGTAAGATATATACGAGCTTTCTCCTCCGCCTAGATTATCTTCATTGCCTACTTCAACATAGTTGATTTTCCAGGGCTCAGGATAGCCCAGGGAGGCACGAAGAGCTCCGTATGTTGTAGAGGTATCGCCTATGAGGAACTCAAGTTCATTCATGGCGTCGTCAACATAGGGTTGAAGATCTGCCTCGGGGACAACGTCCGGGTTTGTGACGTCGCCATTTAGATAGAAGCCAGACCAAACTCCTAGTATCGGCTCGACGTCGAGGTCGGTGCACCACTTTGAGGATTTAGCTAGGGTGCTTGTTAATTTTGAGGGGAGAGTGAAAGCTTACATCCATATATTCAATCAAACCAAGCCCGTCGGTACTACATGCTCATGGAATTAGTATGAAATAGGTGTAGGGATTGAGAAATGCTAAATAGAAGAACTGATTATGCTCACTTTTGGTATCCCCAAGTTCCTGTGGAAATTCAAGTGTTAGTAACATATTCTAGAGTAAATTAGATTAAGATGGCTCGGTACATGCCTGGTCTTCCTGGACGATCCTTAAGAGGGCCAATCGTCTCATTCCATGCCCAACGATAACCGAAAGTATCTCCTTCACTGTTGCCACAAATATATTAGAAGTGCCTCTTTGAGTCTGCAAATGGAAAATGTACATGTTATTTCCACCGGGGATTCTAAAGAAACTTGGATTAAGATCTATCAAAGCTTTCATAAGCTCTGGTCGATTACCATTTGGTCTGTCGTTGTAAGTTGGTGGAAATAGACTGATAAGATTGAAATTGAGGGAAGTGCCGCTATCGAATGCGATGACGAAATTGTTGTTGACATCTGGAGCCGCAGTTAAGGGGTTGAGACTAAACGAGAACTCCGTCCATTCCCTAGCGGTAGAATTTGAGGGTATTTCGACACTCGCAAAAATGGTACCTGATGTTGCACTGACCAAGCTTGCTGTGAAATTTCCAGTGTATGAACCTAAAACCCAAAAGCTTCCAGTATATGTTTGAGGTTGAACACTTATTCCCCACCATCCAGGATTGGAGATTCCAATTGTCCCAGTACTGTCGTGCGGAGTGCCATTAGACGAGGCTCGCACATTGACCGACGTAGGTAGTGCCGATGATAAAGGTATTGATGTGTTTTGTAAAGTTAAGACCGAGCTTCCAATGGCTTTCCACGGCGTCAATGTAGATGCATATTCTCGGTTCCCCTGGAATGCTCGATTTTGAATCAATTCGGCATAGATTCCCCCTTCACCAGAGTGGTTGATATCCTCAAACATGAGACCATATGCCAATGGAGAAGAGGCATTGCCACCACTTGCAGAAGCAGTGATATTGATGGCACTGGCAACACCAGCGAGCACCGGTAACACAGAAAGTCTCGAAAAGATCATCTTGAAAAGCTTTAGATTGAACCTGAATGCAATCTCGTGCTAATGGGCAAGGAAAAATCACATAGTTTAGAAGCTGCCGATAACTATATATATTTCGGAATTACCTCTTCCCAAGGATTCAGTACTCCTCATTCATCTCGGATTAATCCACAAGTAAGAGTAGGTATCCCCTAGAGTGCCGTTGTTTGTCTTGTGGGGCATATAGGGATTAAACGACCAATCACATAGCCTAGATTCTTTGATATTCAATCATATTCCTGGAATTGCACTCCAGGGGATACATTGACCCGAAATTATGTATTCAGGAGGTGATCATGCGAAATGAAGCCATTTTTTAACCGTTCGAATGCCGGTAATATATATGATATTGATTGTCATGATTGAACACTTCCGATTGATGCGCATCAAAGTTTTAACGATGCAGGTCCTTAATATAACATGCATAGGCTAAATTCTTACTCTGGGGGTGGTGGCGGGGGAGGCGATTCCTACAGATGCAGGTCTTTTTGCGGGGTGAGGATGATGGGTAAACGGTAGTGGGGTAAAAATGTATGAAAGGCAGGAGAATATTGGAGAAGTAGGAGATATAACGATATAACTGGTGAGAGCTTCTTGGTATTTCAGCACTAGCTGTAGTTTAAATTCGAGAGATCAAAGAATTTCCACCAATGAATACCTTCAGCGCTTGATGAAGATGTCATTGTGAGCTCACTGAGTGAAGATATACTCAAGACTCAAGACTCAAGAGAATAAGTAGTAACTTGACGGCTAACGAGATTTGGTAGATCGAGACAGATCGAGACAGATATCAGATACCAGATATCAAATGCCATTTATCATAATGGAGCTACTACGAAATGAAGATATACTCTAGGTAAATAGTACTACCAGTATACATATCTCATCGACGTGGTACTTTTCGAGTGTGGTACGGCGTTGGGTTGGAGTTAGGTATGAATATCTGTGCTTGCGTCTAAAATTAAGGGCGGTGAAGGTATTCGGGTTGTAGGTATAAAGAAGGATGATTTTATTATTATGATGAGAGGTGAAGCTATATGTTAATCGATTAGGCTAGAGTTGTATCTTCTATACTGATCTTTAATATATATCTCTATATAGAAAACAAAGAAGGTTGAGTTTGAAGATTCGTATTGACAGAGATTCGAAATAATGTCATTTGATGACGATGGCGAGCTTGATTTCGAACTGGAATATCTTGATATCAGGATTCTCCCAAGAACCTATTTCTGTATAAATCACCATGAAGGTATTCGGGTTGCAGGTACAAAGAAGGGTGATCTTATTATTATGATAAGAGGTGAAGCTATATATTAATCGACTAGGGCTAGAGTCGCACTTTCTATATTGATCCCTAACAGCGGGAGTGGCCGTTTGCTCAGTCCTCACCTCAATTCATCAAATTTGACAAAAGGTAAAATGTCAATTGAGTAGCAACAGCATCAATTACAGTATTTGCTATCTGTTTGCTTTGCCACACACAGTCTTTTCATTCTTTTTATTTTATTTTATTGTTATCTGCTTTCCTCTCATTCCCATTCTGTTAAAATTCACTCACTGCGAATCAATGAAATTCCTTCACTCTACTCCATATACCTCTACGACGTCGCTTTTGCCCCGTTTCTTTTCATACCCATACGAACTCAGCTGTCAATGCCATAACTCTGCCTGCCTGCGATCCTTTTTGGCTATCTACATATCTACATTATGATAGGCAGAGCATCAATATTTCCTATCTTCGAGACTCAATTCGTACAAACGTACAGAGACCCCCCAGCCTTAGAAGACGCACCTATCCGTCTGCGCGAAACCCAATCGAGAAATACATAATATCGAATTCCAAAGATTGCAAACACACAAACTTCACGATCTTAAATACTTAAATACACAGAAAAGGACCTGAAAGAGGTTGCGGATGGCACATATTATCAAGTAGAATACTTGCACAATTGCACAATGTCTGCTACACCCAAGACGCCAAGTTTGGCTGCTATAGCAAAACAAGATGTTAATGCCATTTATAAGAATCTCTCGCGAGAATGGGATTTAAGACTTCCCCAGATGAGTTTTGAGTCACCCATGAGTCGACAATCAAGACCTAAGTCTACAGAAGAGCAATTGATCGCCCAGATCGCATTTACAATCAATTATTTATACCACAAGGCCAATACCCCACTGTTCGCTGCACTTGAAAACTTCCATGGGCAAGCTTCAGGTCTGTATAGTGGATGGGTCTATAAACCTAACGCTGATCGAGGGGTTGTACCAGAAAAAACTCGACAGAGGCCACACCCAATCACATCCAATGAGCGAATGGAACTGCTAAAATGTTTACTGGCCATTCTATCTAATGCCCGGTCACAATTCGACCGTTCGCGACAGAGTAGCTCGTCTCAAGCCAATATGTCTGCTCGCTCTGCTCGAAGGACACAGCCGGATGACAGTCCCATTGCCTTTCCGTTCAGCTCCGCCCAGAAACCTGATTCAAAGCGTCCCCTTGAGCCATTTCCCGATATTGACTCCAACATTAAAAAGGTAAGGGTACCGGAGACCAAGTTATCTGGCCGCGAAAGCCTTTCTAGACTTCCACCGCCGCAATGGAATGTCTCTCGCCTTCAAAATACAAAGACGGATCAAGTGAAAATAGTGCCGCCCAAAGGGAATGAAAACTCAAACTTGTACACAACTTTCGCGACGAATGTCTCGAGCGTTTTCTCACAGACGTTGAGTAGCACGCTCGTCAATACTCAGGCTACAGAACCAGAACCAGAACCAGAACCAGAACCGGCGATAAAATTGCGTGTAGACCCCCTCTCGTTAGACGATCTAGGACCGAAAACACAAAGCTCTGATTTCGGTAGCAGCTTTGATCCAACTGAAGTCGAAAGGGTGTGGACCGAAAGTTTTGGTGCCAAGATTTCATCACAAGATGTACCTCAGGATGGTGTGGTGGATGATACGGTGGATGGGTTGTTGGATGAAGCCGTGGTCGACATGAATCAGAAAGAACTGGTGAATTCCCTAAATGAGATGCTACGTAAGTTAATATACCCTATTTTCGAATTTAGCGTTATATATATGTTATGGTTCCACTGCAATTCAAGCTCCCAAATTGCTGATACCCTACCACAGCAACATTGCCCTCTTGTCTCAAAAAGGCACCTTTTTTCGTCAGTTATGAAATCACTCGTGTTTTCCTCTTCATTCAGGCTCCCATAAGCGACTTCACTTTGCCATATCTTAAGGAGTGGGAAGTATATGACAATCTTTGGAACATGCTGAAGACTGTTCCCATACTTCAAGGTAAAAAGTTCCCGGAACGATGCGGAGCGAAAGTATGGGAAATTGCAACCAAAGGATATATACGTGGTTTCAATGGAGTAGTCTTTGCCGCTTCTTTGCGTGAAAACAAAAAGCCGTCGGAACCTCTCCTATCTTTTCAACTACAACCCATGAAGTTGGATTTGACCCACCGTCTTGAACGAAGATTCGGTAGCGATAGGTTCTTCGAGTTTGAGATCCCCGATCTAGAAGGTAAAAGATACAGTCCCACAATGGCAAAAGCATGTCCCAATGCGTGGGACACTCTGAAGTCTTGGTTAATAAATGGGGATCATCAACTTCTGGGGAGAACTTACAAATCATTTTTCGTCAAGATTAAGGACAGGAAGAGGAAAAGCGCTTTGAAGTCAGATGCAGAGGAAGACAGCTCTATCATCCCATTTCGTGTGTTTCTCTTCGCGACTAATGGCTACGGCTTTGTCAAAGAGAGCAAGTCGAAGAACCCAGCCCCACATGTTCGTATTCGTATGACAGTTGAGGAACTTATGAATTGTATCAGGCCAACTGTCGAGAACAAGCATCAGCCATATATGAAATTGTTTGCGAGAACTGCTTTGGGTAAGACTGCCATTTATTGACACGTTTTGGTTTATCCCCAAGATTCAAATTTATATGCTGACGACCATACAGTTCTCTCTAGGAATCGGGCTACTATTGCTGTCGAACGTACTCCGTCTCAAATTAGATACAAAACGGATATCAGAAACCACGACGCAAATGACTCCAAAAAGACTTACGTTATGACAGATGGCGCTGGCAGAATGTCATTAGCGTTAGCAAGGAAGATAGTGTTCGAGCTTGAGTTGTCGTATATACCATCAGCCTTTCAGGGGAGATTTGGTGAAGCAAAAGGCCTTTGGATTGTTGATCGTCACGAGGATATTGAAAATGATTGGATCGAACTATATGGCGAACAATGCAAGTGGAAGCGTGGAGAAGAGGGTAGTGATGAATTTGATCATTGGTCTCATCGCACTTTTGAAGTTGTGGGGCATTCCACTCCATTAAAGTCTGCGGATCTAAATACCCAGTTTCTTCCACTTCTCATGCATCAAGCTGCAGATCCAACGAGAATGAGAAAGGCAATCGTCACCGCATTGGAAGAGGGCTTGCAGCAATCCTTTGAAGAGCTGAAAGCTGCTTTGACTGGCCCTCGAGAACTTCGCAGCTGGGTTCGGCCTACTAACTCCTCCATCCAGGAAAGAATCAAGACCGGTACTATTCAATGGCGTGGAGGCTTGCCCGCAAAGCATGAGGACAGACTAAATATACTACTTGATGCTGGCTTCGACCCGCGAAAGCTTTCCTACCTTATGGAACTGGCCAAGAAATCATTGACCATGCGGTGCGATGATTTAAAGGGGCGTCTTAATATTACCGTTGGTAGATCTACTATCGTCTACATGGTTCCGGACTTTCAGGGCGTTTTGGAACCCAATGAGGTCTATCTGGATTTCTCAAGTTTTGTTGACAACGAAACTGGATTGTCTGACATTCAACTGGAAGGTGTGGATGTGCTCGTGGCCAGGAACCCTGCTCATTATCCTAGTGACATCCAAAGAGTCACCGCCGTTAGCAAACATGAACTGAGGCACCTGAAAGATGTTATCGTCTTCTCCACTAAGGGTTATCCATCCCTGGCAGATAAACTATCAGGTGGTGATTACGACGGAGACAAGGCCTGGATTTGCTGGGATCCTAATATCGTGGAAAGTTTCGCCAATGCCGATGTTCCCAAAGTTCCGGATCTCGACAAAGATGGTTTCATCGAGCAAGACAAAATGACTTACGCACAGTTGACCAAGGGCCATTCCGATCCAACAAACACATTTCTACGTGCAAGTTTCGAATTCAACATGCACCAAAGTCTGCTCGGTTCCTCTACGGCATTCAAAGAAAATATTGCATACAAACTTCGTGATCTCAATAAGCCAGAACTTATATTCTTATCAACTTTACTGAGCAATTTGGTTGATCAACCAAAGCAAGGTTTCATCTTTACGGAGAAGCATCTGAAAAAAGTCAAGGAGCACATCATTGCAACTACTGGTACACCCTTCATACCTCAATACAAGGACAAAACGTGTCTACCAAATAACAAAAATCACATTCTTGATCATATGATAATTCTTGCACATCAGCAGACAGAAAAATTGCTCACGGATATTCAAGACAGTATCGTACGTCCAGTTGAGTACGATCCTGTTTTGGCTCAATTCTACCTGTGCCAAAGAAAAAAGGCGAAGGTACCGACGGAAGGAAGTGCTACTCAAGAGGAACATGAGCGGGCAGCGCAATGGAAACTACTTCTCGATCAATTGAATGAGGATGTCAACACAATCAGGATCAAGTGGAAAGGTTCTTTTAAACGGAAGCCATCTAGCAAACTCATGCGGGAAGATGACGAGTCCATGCCGGAGTTTGCGCCCATTCGTGATTCCTGCTTCGAGGAATTTCGCGCCATTAAACCACACCCAGGCAGTAAATTATTCCTAACGTGGCTGGACAATGATACTGAATCAGAATTTGGACAATGGGCGCTTTTGAGGGCCAGTGCCCTTTATGCCACTTATGCGCCGAGCAAATACCATCGGGGCCCAGTTATGGTTTCGAGCTTGGTTTGGTGGATGGCAGGGAAGCAGTATGCTTTCATGAAAGCAACCGATAGCGGAATGATTCCTATGAGCGATTATATGTATGTGATGCTCAAAGCGAACACTGGATTCGTAAGGCAATTGAGGGCGCATGAGGGAGAGGGGACGGTAATTGATATTGAGATGAGAGATATAGACAGTGATATTTCAGACGATGCTTAGACGATGATTGGGATGGGCGGGATGATAGTTGTCCGTGCAATTACTCATATGAGTATTGGATATAACGAACTTGGTGTGTATCTGGGGAAGGGACGGATTTGGCGTTTAGGTTTGATGATTGAAAGATACCCATTTTGTTGTTTGAGACAATTTTTGATATTTTAAGTTTGGCTCGGTTCGTGGGACTCTCTACTCGAGTCGGGTAGAGATGATATCATGATGATTTTTGGAAAAATAGAAGACGTTTTGTGAGCCTTTTGACTGCGTACCTACTTACTTGTACCAAAAGACTGGGCACATCTCGGGGTTTAATTCTCTTGTGCTCATGAACTTGCTCTACACCATGCCTCTCAGCTTTGAGCATATTACATCTTCAACCTTTAAATTGTACGAAGCCGATGTTGAAGCTGCAACTTGTATTTGTCGGCCTCACCTCCTTGTCTGACCCCTGATCTTGGAGTACATCACGTGTATGTCGGATCTTTCAACGGAAGAGGCGGCTGTGCGAGCAAGGCTATTGCGGAAAAGATGGGTGCCATGGATGATACTCAAGTATTTTTACGTTTTGTGTGACTTGGAGTTTCGGGCCTTAAAGATCAGGATTGAGGAAAAGGACCTACTTACTGTACTTATGAATGAAGTATCTCATAAGTTGTAAACCACAAAGCCCTTGCCCCTTTGTATTATAAGACACAAAGTTCTCTATCCCCAAAAGAAAAGCAGATCTCAAAAAAAGACCAACCAGTCACTGATCAGCAGTTGACCAAGCAGACTTGCAGAGCCTTACGAATACTGGTGGATTCTTCCATAGAAACGATCAACGAGACCCTGAAAATTGAAAACATCCAAAGTGGGGAGTGGAGTTGGTGAGTTGCGAATGAATCTGGGTTTTTATGCTATGAGTTGACGAGTCTATCTAACCTTTCATATTATAAAACACTCTTATTTCGCATATGGTCAATACACGACAACGAACATTTTTTTGAAAATTCATATACAATATTAGTACACTTTTTATAATAATCAATAAAACAAAATCTGAAATAATAGTATTCAAGATTACTATTTAATCTATATGAATTTCAAATTAATAAGCCTCCGGAGAACGAGCTGCAATGTAGGAGCTGAGGTACCCTGAAAAACGATTCGGAGAGTGCAGCGAGGCGAATTGTTTTTCCGGCACCGAGGGGCCGAAGTCAAAGCTCGTATTATATAATATATAATATGTGAATGCCGGCAGATCTATTAGGCAAAGGAAGGATATTATACAGACTTTCTAGATTCTCATATATAAATACAAGACCTCTCTGAGCTTCTTCGCTACCGCAATATGTACGTATTGCAATATTGCATACTTTATCAGAGTTCCCTCCATAATGACGGCAAGCCCGGCTCGTACAGCAAACCACTACGGTATTCGGAAAGATGCAGGAAATCCGGCGAGGGGTACTTGATGTACTGTACTCCGTAGTGGATCCGATTTGATTCTATTGATGATTGATGATTTTATCTCGTGTTCTGGAAGTAGAAGTCTAATATGTAATTGGTTAATGTGAATAATAAAAGGCCAAGCAACTTCCATATTTGTATGGAGTACAATGGAGTACAATGTATAAACTCGCCGAGATACGGAGTTTTGAGACATGTGAAATATAAGATGACAAGGAAGAGAATGATTGGGAGATGATTTGTCTTTGACTCTTGAGTTTTGATGGATTTGGGAAATTTATAGACAGAGCAGAGAGTGCAGAGAGAACAGGAAGAGAGAGAGAGAGAGAGAGAGAGAGAGAGAGATGAGATATACTGTAAAGTATATCAAGAATTGCAATACTTCATTGGTGCTGCTGGAAAGAGAGAACATGTTTGATAATTGATGAAGGGGTTAAGTGCTTCGAAACTTTGAATGTCAGAAATATGCTAATATTAGAAATTTAAAGAGAAGACAGCCTATTATTCAAGCCTATAAATTTAGGTACCTAAGTATTTAGGTATTCATTAAAGTAGATCACTGCCTGTCAAACCCTGTCAAACCTTGTCAAACCCTGTCAAACCCTGTCAAACCCTGTCAAACCCTTTCAAACCCTGTTACAAAGTATAAAAGTTAAAATATTATAGATTATTAGATCTTGTAAATGCAAGTCATAGGGCTACTTCAGTACTAGTTTGTAATTAATAAATAAACCCTTTAATTATTTAGTAATCGAGTACTATAATCTCAATTCTCAACTATTAGTAAATATTATTTATAATACTACTAGTATAATCCTTTTATTATAACTCTTTTATAATATAATCTTAATCTTTCTATTATTAAATAATAAATAATAATAAATCTTTCTTTCTTTATACTAAAATTTGATTTATTCTCGAATCCTTCCTATTCATTCATCTTTAATCCTCCTTTCCTTCTTTAAACATCTTCTCTTTTCACATCTCTCTTGTTCATAAAAATTCTACTTTCGTTAAAACAATAAGATTGTTCATACTGATATTTACTTGCGACACAATTCACAACACCTTTCGCCAAGTTGGTTGCCAATCAATCACGAACAGTAGTTTGGGAATACGAACGAACGCACAAAAACGTACCACTGAGATTGAGACTGAATACGACTTTCTCTCGTTCCCAATCTATTCAAAGAAAATCTTTCGTTTTCTATTCTCTGGGAATAACGAACGATCAATCATCTTTCAAAATGTATTCCCGGTCACTAAAGTTATTATCAGTACTGGCAATCTTCTTCGCCATCGCTCAAGCAAGTTGGATTGACCGTGCTATCTTTAATCGAAGAGCAGATGATAGTTTGGGCGCCTTAATATCGGGAGTAGGAGGAGGAGGAGGGAGTAGTGCTGCCACAAGTTCTGCAGGAAGCGGATCAGATTCAGATTCAGATTCAGATACCACCACAACCTCAGCATCATCGTCAAAATCTGCCACCCCAACGACGTCGTCGAAAACCAGCGAGACTCAAGCCAGCACCACTTCATCAGTCGCCACTACTTCAAAGACAACCCCAGCACCAGCACCTCCAACTTCAACATCTACGACTTCCACAGCCACTCCAGTATCCGTACCTGAATCATCATCATCTGAGAGCACAACAACCCAAACATCTGCCACTCAAACTTCGGAAGACGCTCAAGCAACTCCAACAAGTCAAACGACCGCGACCAAGACATCCAAGACCAAGACCACCAAGACCTCGACTTCCGAATCATCAACGGCTCAATCCACTTCCTACTCCAAAATTACCATCACCCCATCAGCTACTCAAGTCGTCGTAACCGTCGTTTCAACGACGAGCGGAAGCACATATACCTCAGAATACACCACTTCTACTACACCTTCAGCGTATGCAACGACCACCGCCGTACTTACCACCGGCGATGGATCTTCATCTTCCTCAAAGACTATGTCAACCAAGACAAGAAATACAGTTATTGGTGTCGTAGTTGGTATTGGTGGCGCTATTCTTCTCGGAGGTCTCTTCATTGTGGCATGGAGAATCTGGGGAAAGAACAAGAAGGAAGATGAGAATGATGGATTGATGGGTGGTTACGATCCTGTCACTGCTGGTCACGAAAAGTATGAGGGTGGAACAGCACCAAATCCATTCCAAAGTACATTAGAAGGTTATCATCAACCTGGAAGAGGGAACGTTTCGGCAAACTTCTAAACTACATAATTTATACGACCTCCTGTATACACATCAGATGGACCAGGGATACTACATGATGCATGGGTGAGATTGGATTATATTGAGAGAGCAATTAAGCTAGCGAGCAAGAGGAGATGATCTCCATTTTTTTATTTTTCAAGGGATATTCGGGTTGCATTTAGATGGAATCCTCACTGGTAGCACCACGGCATATTTACAAGAGCACTCTGCCTTCCATTCCTTTACGGCCTATTACCGCCACATTTAATGGCATGGTGTTTTTTGTTGTTTGCCTTTTTATATAGATCATATGAATACCTTTGAAGCAAGTGGGAGCGAGGGAATTATAGCATAGCTAGGTAGTTAGATCAGGAGGAGCGGAAAAAAACGCTTTAACATGTATTTTTGCATATCATGGCATGGCTTCCTTAGGGATGCTTTGGGATATAAACTTTGTAATTAAGAGAGAATTGATTCTACATATATACCTCAGCTCTACTCTTAGCTCAGTTGTTCATTATTAGACTTTTTTGAACGAGAGAAAGAGTGAGTGTCATACAATCAGTCTGATATGATATGATATGATATGATATGATATGATATGACATGGGCATATTCATGAGCTGATCTCGAAAGGCTTCACCCAGATCAAGAGTAGTATTAAGTGCAACAAAAACAAACATGCTATTCACAGCATCCTCTAACCTGCCATCCCAACCAAATCGCCGCTGCTACTGTATCAAATCGGTTTCAGAATAAGTATCTCCTCTCATGAATGGTGAGCTGTGAATGGTGGGGTTATGTTGGCGGTCTCAGACCTTTGATTTTGATTTTTGGGGAAGGCTTGAGCGAATGTTGGGCGGTTATGTTACATTATTGGTATTCTGTTTTATTTTTGAAGTGTTTGTTGATTGAATATTCGAAGGATTGAGTGTGTGGTTTGAATGCGAGCTGACCTGACCTGACCTGACCTAAGCCGACCGACCTCATTGGCGACTGATTTATCATTTGAGATTGAGATTGAGAGTGAGATAAGGATATTTGGATATTTGGATATTGAGTGAAGATAAGAAGAGGAGAACAGAAGATAGAAGAGCAGAGCAAAGCAGAGAAATAGGATTTAGTGAGGGGCGAATTCAATACCAATTTAGTAGACGGGGGACAAACGAACAAACAACAGGAATTCACGAAGCACGAAAGAAGTAAGCAAACAACAAGTTTCGAAGGAAACCGAACAATTGCGCATACGATATCATCTCATCAAATCGAATAATAAAAACAAGATGAAGTTCGGTAGTCTAGCCCTAGGATTGGCATTGGTGGTGGGAATTATATATGCTGCGGATATCGATGTGCGGCAGGCGGATGTACAATTGGAGGGGGAATTTTCGAGGGAATTTGGGAATGGATTGTTGGGGAGGGCTTTGACGAATTTGCAGGTATGTTTATTTGGTGGCTATATAAGTATTTGAGGTTTTGGGGGAGAGGGGTGATGGAAAGGAGCGGGGTTGTAGGATGAATGGGATGAAGGTGTGTGTGGGTGGGTGATGTTGAGGAGGGGCACAAGATATGATGGGGACGGAGATTTTATATTGGGAAGCGCAAGAATCAAGAAGGGGGAAATGAGAAGTTCGGGATGAATCAAATGGGTGAATCATTGACTGACTGGTTCATTTCAGATATTTACAGGATCGTTAGGTGGTGTTACAGCTGATCCGGTATGTTAACGTTCTGCCCATTGCTCGCTCGCCTACCTCCTTCATCGTCGCTTCCACCATATCGACTAGTTACCGCATTTCATTGCAATCAAACTACAACTCTTTGGGAGTGAATATGAGAGAGCGAGTATCATCAGATGAATCATGGAGTTCTAACTCTTATGCATTTATAGATAACCAATTCTGGAGATCATTCCAGATCTTTTATGGTTGAGGGTGACACATTTGTATGTTTCCCCCCTTATTTCTTATTCAATCCATTCTATCATTTGCAAATTCTTCTATTCATCTTTTCACACTTCCCTCTATAACCAACAATCCTTACACGACTAGCTTCCCCTCATAAACTTCCTTATCCAACCATCCCCATGTCAATGCCCGTTTCCCTTTCCCTAAGAACAAATTTAACAAACCTCACAGCCCGCATTCACCGACGCCGTCTCCCGCTCCTGCGCAAACCAAAATAATAAATGCGCCGACGCAGCTAATAACCCCAAAGAAGCAACCAAGGACTTAAGTGTAGGGGGGTGTCAAACTCAGGAGTGTATGTTCATCACCATATCTTCTAATTTCTCCTCTCCAGTGTCTCCTGCCTCTATATATGATCTTCGGCGTGTTGTTCATTACTCATTTTCGGTGTTGAGAGGGATCTCGATGTTTTTCTTTGGGAGCTTCTTATTTATTTTCTTGTTTTCTATGGGTATCGTTGAGGGGGTTTGTTGGTAGTGGGCATGTGCGTGTGCGTGCAAGTTAAGGGATTGGGATAGAGGAAATGGGAATGGCGAGGTTGAAAGAGATGGATCGAGGGCTGGTCCCTTCATCAACGATGATGTAATGTTTATCTGGGGCACGACAGAGGAGAGAGGAGAGATGCGGATGGGTGGAGATGGGATGACTTTTCCATTTTTGTATGAAGTAAAGGGCTTGAGAAGAAGGAAAGCTAATTTCTCCAACAACTCAGCATCGTGTAAAGCAGCTGGAGCATCAGCTACCCAGACGAACTTTCAGGTGTTGACAAGTTCAAATGCCGAGTTTGATTTTATTTGTGATTCATAGGGTAGATGAATTCTCTCTATGTTGATGAGACTGGGAGCTGGAGAAGATAGATGGGATGGGATATGGAAGGAGGGAATCGAGACGGAAAGGGAAGAGAGGAAAAGGGAAATATCTGAACAAATCCACACAGGCTGGGGGGGGGAATCTGACGACTTTTCATGTAAGGAGAATGATTTAAAAGCATAGATTTTTATGACGAGATGCGAAAGGATAGGAGGAATTGTGTTGGAAGTTCAAATTGTATAACAAAAGTCTGGAGTTTAATTTGGGATTTGGGATTTTGAGATCTCGGTATCGGATAATGAGGCTGGACTTCCTCATATAGCACGGCAGCAAAACAATTGAGGCAAAATAAGGAACCTCTAAACCATTACAACCCCTTGAATATTAATGCTCCAATACATACTTGTTTGTCGCACATCTTCACCATTTATTGCCCTTCTATACAAGGAAGTTCTGGGTGATATGATACAGTATACTCTTAATCTCCGAACTAACGGGAGTAGAAGTAGTGATCCGGGTCGGATTAGGAAGCCCCGAGTTCAGGGAAATAGCGTTGAGTTATTGCTTAACGAAAGGGATTCAAGCTTCAAAGTCAAGAAACTTTTAAACCTTACAAGACAAGCGAAGCGATATGTACGTATAAACATCTCGTATTCCTAGACTCCATCTTTCTGGTAAAAGAAACCATATCGAGACTGGTTTTCGTAGTCTCCTAACGACTCGTAGACAGCGAAGTGGGTTAGGTTCGGACTAGACTGAAGTGAAGTAGCGCACGGAAAGGATATCCGGCTTGACATGCTGCTTTTATTCTTTTTATAATTGGGCAATACAAGATTAAGCTTGAAATTTAGGTTGGAGTGGATGAGAGAGAACGGGTAGTAGTTATGGTTAAAGGTTGGATGATCGTTAAGCTTGAACTTGTTTTGAACTTGCTTGCTTGCTATTAGCTAAGTTGCTTTGACTTACCGCCGTTAAAACGGTTCGGTATGGGATTTGATTTGGCAAACTCGCCGAGTATAATAACAATTGGATTGAGATAGATAGGGGATGGATGGAGAAACACAACGGATCAAGACAACAGATCAAGGCCGCATGCCAGCCTGTCAGGTACACAGAGTCACAGACACTGTGGTAGCAAGGCTTGGATGCGAGTGTACGGCGCGGCCAGGGGGGATTGATTGGATGTTGATATTGATATTGATGGGGTCCTGCAAAGTCGTCCTTGGGCATTACGCCGCATTGAGATATCTGATGTGATGGATTTGTTGATTGGTAGTAGTCTAGGAGGGGAACTGAAAGTGATATATAACCCAGCGAGCCGTGTTGCGGACGAGTGAATTTTTCTTTACTTACCAACCATCTATCCATCGAGATTATTAAACACTACTATACCTACTTACGAAATAGACATCAAAAGATATTGAAAATGAAGTTCTCTTGCGCTACGATTTTCTTCGCCATTGCTGCCCCTACGATTGTTAACGCAGCAAAGACCAGTGTCAATGTGTATGTATCTCCTCTTCTTCCCACTAGACCTAATCGCAACCCATGTACTAACATTTCCCTTCTTTCATTTAGCGGTGCCGTGATCTCCCAATTCTTCCCCTCCTCGACCCCTTCCCTCCCCGCCGGAGCGTCTTCCACCCTCGCCACCGCTCTCGCTTCCGTTGACAACGCCTGGACCACAGCTCCTGCTTTTACCTCGTTCAACAGAGCGATATATTCCGCTGCTCCTTCATCTCTTCAATCTTCCCTCTCTCAGAGCGGATATATTTATGAAAAAATCGCAACTGCGGATTGGTTCACCAAGAAGGCGCCTAAGGATGTTCAGAAGGCAGTGAACAGTTATATTAGTGCCGTGGCCAAGGTTGAGAATAGTGTTTTTAGTAAGGTTGCGACGGAGACGAGTAAGGCTGCTGCTGCTGCTGCTACTGGTGTACCGGCTGTTGGTGTTATGGGTGTTGCTATGATGGCGGGATTAGGGGTTGTGGGGATGATGTAGAGTTTTGAGAGTTCGAGAAAGGAAAGAGACGAGATTCGAAACGTGATGTGATTGTTTCATGAGGCTATGACGAATGAATGTAATAGAGAGATATCATGTCTAGGCTTCAGGTTGTTCATTGAGCTACCCCTTTGATTTATTAACTATTGACATGATTTTACCTTCTCAAAAACATAATGAACTATTATATATGTCTGTATGCTTTCTAGCCGTTTCATACTGTGATCATACAAAGAGATAGAGCCATAGCACCCGTCCTCCAATACCACTTCCTCATGCTATGCTACCTGCTATGCTACCTCCACACAATACTTTCCAAACGAGGATATCAAGAACTGAGTTATTAGCAGGATTTCCACAATCACTCCACCATTCAAAAACACGATAAATGCATCAGATATGTGTGTGACATGTTCATTAGACTTTAAGTTATATCGCAGCTAATAGGTATATTGTACCAATCCAATTCTCAAATACACAAGAAAAATCATCTCCTCCCAAACCATCCACCAAATTCCATCCATAAATTGTCAATATTCAAATCAAAAGTCTATTTGCGCGCTCTGTATCATTCCATCATTTAAGATCTTTACTTGCCATCCCATCTAGGTCTGTCCAAATACAACATTTCCGTCCAAATCTGCACCATTTTATACAAGAATATGAAAACGCCTTATCAGTGCACGACAGCCACCCACCATGCATTTACACCATACATCCATTGCTCTGCACACCAACAATCAACCAAAAACAAATGCAACAAAAATCTAAGGTTTGCTAAGTTGCTCCTTTCTGAAGAAAGTAAAAAATCCACCACAAATGATAAGTTGGAAAATCAATCCAATCCAAAACCAGGCATTGCCCAAACCAGCCGCTCCGTCACTGAAATCTGGGAACACGGGCCCTGGTCCAATATTATTCGGTGCACAAGCTCTGGCTACAATGGTAGCTATTGATCCCAAAACCTGAGCGGCGATGAGAGTGAAAGCAATATGGACACGAGTGAGAGTTTGAAGCAAGATCATTCCGAATCCAACACCTTGAAGCGCATCAAGCATACCGAGCCAAAGCCACAAAGATCGTGAGAACAAGGCGCTAGCAAGACCCCCACCAACCCATGGTACATATTGACCCATAGGACTGCAAGACCAAAGCATTTGACACCATCTAGGGGCTCCGAGACCAATTGCAAAGATAGGTAGAATCCAACTATGATCTTTACTTAACACTGCGAAGAACCAGAGGAAGGCTGCCCATAAGAATCCGAAGAAGAATATGATGAGAAGTACGATGGACCATGTAGGGGCGATCGCTGAGGAGAAGAGGTAAAGCCAATTACGACCGTAGAGCGTCGACAGGAAGAAGTTCTGGATGAGAACCGTGGCAAAGAACCACATGACGATTTTACGTCTGAAGAGGGAGGCGTAGAAAGAGGGAACTTTTCCAGGTGCTTGTCGATAATATTCTGGCAACCCAAAGAAGACGGCAGCACCAACAACCCACATGAGTACAGCAATCGGGATCACGACTGCAGACATCTTGGGACTCGCGCTTGTGAAAGAAGCTCCGAGACCATCGGCTTGTCGTTTATTGAGATAATCTCCCCAAAACCAGAGGACGACCACGTAAGCTTGTTGTGTTCCTTGAATGATACAGGCGCGGAAGACCCATGCTTTTACTGGGGATCCTCCTTCATCTCCAAAATTCAAGGCAAAGAATATGCTACCGGAAGATGCGGCAACAGCATACAAACCAGTAGCCACATTCTGAACCCAGCCTTTGCCATCGGCGCTGTCAACAAAAGGAGCACAACCGAGGAGGAAAAAGGCCAGTCCGTAGAAGATGAAAGGAATACTGAGGACGTAGATTGATTTGAAGAAGGAGAAAACCTCCCACCACATAATCGAGGTAACGAGATAGATGGTTGCCGTAATGTAAAGTTTCTCTGCAGTTTGACCAACGGTACCAGTAAGAAGTGTGATTTGATAGGAATTAGCTGCGACGATTTGACCAAAGGCGAGCAAAAACGAGTAGACTGGCCAATCGAAGAAACGATATTGCATGACTAGACGGAGACCTGTAGGTGGTTTGTAATCTTTGCCGAGTAAGAATTGATCATTGGAAGATCCACCGGTGAGTGCTATATTATCTTGGCTGGAGTTTTGCCTCGAGTGAACAATGGTATCGTTGGTGAAGCTATCACGACTGTTGGATCGCCCGCGACTGTCGTGAGACCTTCGTCCACTGCCTAGCGCAGAAAACGAAGGTGCGACTGAACCTCTTCCTAATCGTGCATCACGGAATCGATCGAACCATTTCTTTTCGGATTTGATAAGATATTCCTCGATACACAATTGTCCTTCACTATTTTTTCCATCCAGACCGTCAAGATTCTTGGCAAACTGTTGGTAGTATTCTCCTTGAGTATCAGTGAAGAATGGATCGACCTTTTGAAGTTTAAAATCTGTCTTGTCTCCAATGACTGAACTTAAACTCAGCATGGAAGCTCTGTTTGCATTATTTTCGCCACCTGCTCCGAAGATCGAAGGAGGCGGAAGTAAAGATTCATGCGCTCCTGGTGTGCCGGGTGACTCTAAGCCTGGTGAAGTAGGCATTGAGTGAGTGGAATAAATGTTTGAGCCATCCCTTTGACGTGGCAAGGAATACTCGGAATCGCTAATGTGTAAACTGCCAGTATTACCGCTTGGACTTCGTCGTGGAGAATCCAAAAATCCTGGTGTTGGTGCGAGGAATGCGCCGCCAGCGGGACTTTCAGATCGTCCTCTCTCTTGTTGTCTCTGGGCTTCTAATTCTTCGGGTGTGAGTACGTATTCATCGTATATGTCGTCACGAACTCGGGCATCCTCATCATCAGAATCTTCTTCTACATCAGTCAGTCCTTCGTCGATTTTACCCACATCTCCTGCTTGGAGTGATACATTGCTATCGTTCACTTGTTTCTTCATCACGCGATGTCCTGGACCAGCTCGGTATCCCAAGGAAAGACTTCGGTTGAGTCCTCCCCCGGCAGCTGGCTTTTCAATTCGAGTTGGCGAGGATGGTCTTATGGAACCAATGGTACTAGCAACATCAAGCTGTGAAGTACTAGCCATACTACCGAAACTTGACAGTCTCTTGGCGGAAGAGTAGAAAAGATTTCCTCCATCTCTTCCTCTAGATCTTGGTCTACCAGCATGTTTTGCTTCTTCCTTATCGTGGGTCTTGATCGCTTTACTTTGCAATGTCTCGAGATCATTGACCCATTGAGCGACTGGGAAACGTTGTTTGGCGGATCGTGCTCTCATAATTTGTCGAGTGTCCAGTTTTGAGGCCAAAGCTTCCTTGATAGCTTGTTTGAATTGATGAAGCATATGGGTTGTCGTAGTAGACTCGACAGTGAACCACCAACCTGGCATTTGACCAAGACCACCAACACGGGCACCAATACCCAAAGCTCCTTTTCTACCAAACTCGACAGCGACAAGACCGAAAGGCTCATCTCTAGATGGAATTAAGGCGAATTCAGCTCCCGAGAAAATAAAAGGTGGAAGGGCAGTGAATTCCGGTTTACTGAAAACACGACCCTTGTACTTTGTCATCATAACATCCAGTTTGAGAGCAGCAAATTTTCCATAAAGATCAATAACAGGACCAACGCAGATGAGCTGGACATTTGGGTTCTCCTCCAAAACAGCAGGCATGACATCAGCAATAAGATCAATACCCTTTTGCATCGACCACCTACCAACAAAGACCAAGAGTTCAGCTTTAGGATTTTGATCAAGACCAGCCCATTCTTGAGCTTGTCTCTTGAGCTCACCTCTTTGGCTCTCAAAGTCCTGGTTGACAGTTGTGTTGACCATTGAATCTTGGGTACCACTCCAGTCTCCAGTATCAGAAGGATCAGGATTAGGAAGGTTTCCGATTTTGCTCAATCCCCAGAAGATGGGATACCTTGCCCAAGAACGTTTTCCGTATTTCTTACTGACACCAACGGCACCGAAACCTTTTTGGTGAATGCGAAGGTAAGAACTTCCGGCGTGGAGTAAATTGAATACATCTCCGAATTGAACATACTTGATGGCGACTTCTTCTGGAATGTTGTAGACTTGACAAACTTCGGATCTCTCCTTCTGATTACGCATTGGCCATAGGCCTTGGAACTCGGCGTTGTGAAGGGATAAACAACATGGAATTGTTTCCGGAAGGAGATGGACTGGTGCAACGGCTCCGTGGTAATCGTTGATGTGATACAAATCGATAGGGAAACGCTTGATAGTAAGAGCGATACATTGATTCCAAGCACTGTAGTAAACGGCCGAGTCTAAATCATCCATACGAGCTGGGTATGGCTCAGACTTCGATTGTGCTCTGAAGACTGGTGCATCGAGAAGAACATAGGTGATGTTGCGTAAAGTATGGTACTGGACTTGAACAGTGTAGGAATTTCCGAGAATTGTTACATCCATAGGTTCAGCTTGGTGATCAATAGGATAGTCGATTCCACCAACACAAGGGACGACCCAGATAAGATCTTGATGACCCAGATTCTTTCCCATCAATTGTGCCATAACACCAAGACCTCCAATCTTAATCTTGATAGCCCAATCTTCAATATCGTATTCCATGGTAGCAATAAGCACAGTTCGACGTCCGGTGGCTCCAACATCAGCCTGAAGTCCAAGTTGTGTGGCGTTTTCGTGAAACATGGACTGTAAGCCTCCCATAACCGTCAGTTCTTTCTCGGAATGGTCCTCTTTCTTATCTCTCTTCAACTTTCTTCGAAGAGCCAGTGGAATAAAGTTTTTCGACTCCTTGACACCAATACTGTTGAGTTTGACAGCATAGAAAGACTTCATGAAGAGCCAGATACTTAAGCCACCACTAAGGACGGGGACAATCCAGAAAAGGAATACCATCAACATTTGGTATGAACGATTTCCGTAAGGAATTTGATAATATCTGTATGTTCCATCGTCGATTGCAATTTTGTATCCAAGATATGGTTTTGGTGGCACTCTGGTGATGTTGATGAGTGCGGTGGAAAGCGATGATGGCGGCATGCGATCGAGGATATTATCACCGTCAATATCTCCCATAACGATAGTTTCATCAGGTTGACCATCAGGATTCATACCCCAAACATTGACTTGCATTACTATAATTTGTTTAGCGACAATTTGGCACACCATGTAATCAGAATATACAACTTACCAGCTGGCCATTCAGTCATGAATTTGTATTCCCAGAGACTATTTTCCTTGTTTAAAACAAAGCCATTATCAAGACCAGTATCGTATCCATATTGATTGTATGGGCCATTGGCGAATAAGTGCGGAAGACGTCGCGAATATGGATTAGTCGCCAAGTCAGCATGTTGAACATAATCACTGCTGCCAGTAAGTTTAGTCCAGTATTGCATGATGACGTGCTCTCCATCCCATTTTTGTTTATTTGTACCAGTCCAAGCCTGTGCTTCAAGTGTTGTATTCCCACCAACGTATGGCAACCATTCGGACCATGAACTTCCCCAGTTCAAAGAGTATTTAAACAGATCCGCTCCAGCAGCTTTATGGCTGACATACAATGTACCATTGTCCTGCTTGTGAAGTAATTCTCGAGTAAAATTCGCGGAACCAGGGAAAACAATCGGGTTATCAACTTGTCCCACGCGAATCAAGAATGTATCTGTTGCTCCAGTTGTAGAATTACCAGAGTTGTTGGGGACATTCTTGAGAGTAAGTGAATGTACACCGTTAGACACATTTGTGAGATTTCCCTTGAAAGTCCAGAGAGTTGGAATCGATCCGACGTAATCGGTGACATTAACCGGGCTCGAAAGCAGAGTACAAGAGTATTCGCCGGTAGCATTTGCTAATGTTGCAACCTTTCCATCCTCTGTTGTCGAAGAAATTACCATGCCCGAAAGAATATCGGAACATTTCATTTCATCACTGAAACCAATTTCAATCTCGATGGTTTCTTGTTGTCCAGGAGAAACTGTTGAGGGAAGTCTTGCATCGTGTCCTGGGAAAAAGGAGGTAATCATAGGAGAAGGTCCAACCCAGTTCTTCTTTGGGACATATGCCTTAAATTCGTATGGGGCAAGGGTGAGACTGTCGAGGCAGCCATTGTAGCCGGTTTCATTTGCAATTTTCAAGCTGGCAAACCCTGTTTTCAAAGTAACCTCTTCATACGGATAGAACAAGTTTTTAACTGTTACACCACCAAGAAAAGGAGCAACAATAGAGTTATTGTTAGCGCAATCAAAATCATACGTTATGGTATCATAATTGTTGTGGTAAACCATCCAAACAGACTGGTTTGCTTGGCCACCAGCCTCAGACAAATCCTGAATACCATCAAATTGACTTCGAAGAGTACTCCACATTCCAGTTTCGGTAGCGGTACCGTTACTACCTGGTAATATAATATCGAATGTCTGGTTGGAAAGTTGTTGCAAGAACCATCCATCATTCAAGACTGGGTAATTTTCTCGCATCTGGTACATTGCCTTGATGATATTTCGTACTGGGTGGGATGGATCTCTGTGATCATGACTGTTCCAATCATCATGACAGCCTTGGGTGCAAGAATCATTGGGGAATTGATAGAAGGTACCACTACCAAGAGTATAACATCCATGAGTTTGCCATGCTTGAGAAGGAGACATGGCTTGTCGACCGAAGAGATAATTGTCGGCTGTGTTGTCCAAGAGATAGAATGCTTGCTCTTCACCCCACAAAAGTAAAGGTATACCAGGCATGTGAATAGTAGTAATGAAGAGTCCCAAAAGTTGTTTCTGCGTGCCATTCTTGATAGCTGGCCACCTGAAAACATCTTGATTGCTGACCCCATACATGTGTCTGGGATCGAATACTCCAGTGTTTGGGTTGATAAGATCGTTCGTTCTAAGCATTTCGTTCCAGGCATTGACCCAGTTCGTTGGTGTATCGTAACCACTTTCCAGGTTTCCGTCCATTCCCAAGAATCTAGTGAGTGAACGGTAAATACTGTAGTGAAAAGCAGCAGAGTCAAGCGCATTTTGGTCATGATCACGGATGAAGTATGCTAAACTGGAATTGGAGGTCATTTTGACAGCATCGGCCATGGAAGCCGGTAACATATCGGGTTGACGTCCACGCCCAAGGTAAATACTTCCAAAAGTATTACCACCCGTAATTTCACCGGTAACCATGAAATTGGTTTTGTTGACACTTCTTGCGCACTCCCGAACAGAATGACTGAAACTTCCTAATGCATCGACCGTAATTTGTGTTGCTTTGTCCACACGCAGTCCATCGATGTCTAGCTGCAAGATGATCATGCAAGTGAAAATCTCGATTTTGGTTCTCACAGATGGAACCCATTCTCTCAAACGATCCTGAACAGAGGCGAACTTCGATAATTGACGTTGCCAATCAGGGAAAACACCAAAAGCTTCCGTATCACCATACTGATCGAATTCAGAATCATAACACCCATTCATGAGATCCGTGACATCGTCCTTGACAGTAAATCCAGTATCAAGCCAGAATCTTGGATAGTTACAAGTATCATTATACTTATCACTGAAGGCAAAATCCAGATATTGGCGGTTATCATCACGCCAAAGTACTTCGTGCTCGACTAGAGTGAATGGAGTCGAAGAGTTCTCGTAACCCTTAAAAGCCATCAAGTCTCCCATGGTTCCCATTGTGTTGTCGAGAATAACATACATTCCCCTGTCGTGGATGGCAGTAGTGGTTTTCCTCCACAAGTCGATATCCCCAAAATGTTGATCGAGAAGACTAAGATCCAGTGGAGAGTATTGATCCGCACCCCAGGGCATATTAATCATAGGACTGCCGGCAATGTAAATTCCTTTCACTCCCATTCCTTGTATGTAATCCAAACTGTCAATGAGACCCTGAAGATCACCCCCGTGCCGTAATTGGGTTTGCATATAATCGGTTTCGAATTTGGTTCCATTAATATCATCATTTGTTGGATCTCCATTGACGAATTTGTCAAGAAAGAAGGAATAGAAAGGCACACGCCAATTCGTGGGTGATTGGGCGAATTCATGCTACGCAAAGAAAGGAAGTTAGCCAATGTGTACATCAATTCTTGCCACGAATTCACTGTGGGCGAAATTGGGAGTTGAGGAGATCCATTGACACTTCAAGAATCATAAGCTTCCACATACATCTTCCCATTTCCCCCAATAATCAGCAGGTGATGTCGCTGTCTCATTCGTATTCAGATTGTATCCCACATATTTTTCCTCGTAGCGCAAGGCATCGACCTGTGTATTTAGCAAGACGCTGCACAAGACAACGAAAGTTCGCGCAAACATCGTGACAAAACGAAACCGACCAGAGACTCAAGTGACCGAAATCATGAATCACTGTTTATCAATTTTGGCCGAAATCGTATTATCAGGTTTTTCCAAATCCAAATTATTTGGGACCAGCAATATATTAAGAAAGATTCCTCCTAGATTTCCAGCAATTGTGTAAGCTCGTATGAGATCCACTGACAAGTAATCCTAGATTGAAGCCGCTCCTCAACACAAAAAAGAGAAGACCCAAAAGCGTGCAGGAAAGATCGAGAAGTAACGAGCGTGGAAGTCGACCGCAAATCGCAGACTGACAAGAGATACGTCTAAAAATGTGTATATGGATGAGATACTTGAACGAGAGGTAGGAAGGAGGCTGAAGTAAGAATGTAAAAGATCAACTTCGCAACTTATTCTCAGTGTTGCCCCCTAGAAGCATATCGGAGGCCTAAAGCTTATACTATCCAGGTTAACACGACATATTTTTAATCCTGAGCCATCCTGAATTGGACAAGAGAGTGACAAATAGGGCAGTAAACTAGATTTTGACACGATGCCATTAAGAGCACGGGTGTTAGGGGTAGTCCATATGGGCGTCATTGGACGCAGCAACTCAGAGAGGATAAGTAGTGGGGATCGAATTTGATCCATTTCTTCAGGTGTTAAGTTTCCAAAATATCCCCAAACATGGGTTCCACTGTTATTCTCCGTATGGATTTAACGACCAATGATAGATGCGTAAAAGGGAGAGATAACGCCTAATGTAGCATTCTAGATGTATAAAAGCAATCTTTTGGCTTACCGTCTAACCCAAATTGTTCTAAACTCTTTTGCCATCCCGCCCGCCCAAAACTTCACCTAGTAAAATTGCTTGGTAAACCTGGATAGTATGGCCCTCTAACGATAAGCCTTAACTAGCTATCCGCATGCTATATTTATTTAGGTTTGGGAGTAATCTTGTTTGGTGGTAAACACGGTACTGTAAAAATTCAGTGCAATTGAATACAGGTGTAACCTAATCTCAGCCTTTACAAAAGTTGAGATGCTAGAACTTAACAAGGATTGATGACCGCCACATACCGGGGCTCTGGAAGGTTAAGTGGTGAGACAACTGATAAAAAGGCTGAGAAATCCGAGCATGGGTAGTCTTTCCGTGTAGGGTACAGCGTTCAGGGATTGGGAATTGGGAGGAAAGATACGAGATTTCCCACGCTGTTTTTCGCGAGTTTCTGATACGTAGCCGAAAAAAGGACGCCGACAGTACCAAGGTAACGAATGGGTGTACACGATCTGTTAGAATATCCGAATAATATCCATAATAATTGTTGATGCCTCGATGAATACGACAAGCTCAGATTCTTGAGCCCCTTGAAAGTTGAAGGCCATAAACCTTTCGACAGTGATTTTGGCACTTTACCATCTTTACTGACTCGTATGCAAAATTGGACTTTTGTGTATAAATTCAAGATGCCCCGGTTGTCATCTTTGTAACCTCTTGGTGTTCAAATGAAGACTCAAGAGAAGATGGGATGAATATATTGCTCCACTAATATATGTGCTTCATTGCACATATATTAGTCATCTATCAATGCAACGGATAACTTTGCCAGCCACTCCATGGCAAGTAGATAAGCATAGAGATGCGAAGAACTGATACGTTCAATTAAGGTGTGGCGGGAGAACATTGATATACAAGGTAAAGCGCACCAACCAGGAATCTGAATTTCTGATGAGCCCTTGATTAAGGGTTTGATAAGCAAAAGTCGAATATTTCTAAGGAACAAGATAAATTAAAGTTAATGAAGGAGAAGCGACTAGACTTTTTAGAATAGCCGAGCCTAGTCCCTCTTTTTGACCCGTAGAAAATCATGCGCTAGCCGAACAGCAGTATCGGTGAATAAGGTAATTTTTAAAGAGAAGAAACCAAGAAGCTTTCATTTAAAACCGTCAGGATAAGGCATTATTTGAAAGGGTTGCCTCAATGCTGCATTACTGGAGGAAAAGGACCTGCAGGATCCCGTTCTTTGCTCTAGGCCCACATTTTATTTTCTTTCTCACTCTTCCTCCTTACTCATAATGATATGATATATGTACCGGTATAGATATCATATCATTACGGTAATTTTCGGGAAGGATACTTACGGTCTTGCCGACGACCTACCCTCGAAATTCAATACTCAATCCACTCTACCTCGTATGTTCCAACGGCTTCGACCGTTATAGTTGAGGCCATGAAGATCAACTCTTCGGTCAACAATAAAATTGGAAAGTGTCGAACCTTATGTCAAACCTAACTTGATGATGGGAAACCAGAGTGGGTCAAATACCTAGAGGCTGTGTACACTGTATAGTATAAGTATAGAAGAGTTGGTCCACAGAGGGGCATCAAAATATGGTGAACACGAGGGCATGAAATAATGGAGAAGTTGAGAAAACCGATCGGATTTTCTCCGAGGTTATAGGAAATCTCAGTAGATGTTGATCTGTGGAACCCCTATCCTAATCATCAACAGAACAACAATATTTAGTCAATTATTGAGAAATCGTCGGCTTTTAATTATTACCCAAATGCTATCTATCTGTAATGTTTAAGCTTTGATGTCATTGGGAGATCTAGCTCTGGGATCTTTGTCGATTATCTATTCCAGAACTTCGATTCAAAGAATTTCAATGAAATCACCAAGTTTAACATTTATATGCCTTGACAATGCCGAGATTTTACCCTCTACAATACCGGTGTAGGTTATAGCCTGGCACCACTAGCAGCCACTACCCCTGACTAGAAGATTCCCCTCTCCCCTATCTTATGCACCGCCAAGCCATTATGTGCAGTATTTAAAATTGTCTAAGGCAGGAATCTTCTATCATCCACATCGAAACAGGTACAGTGGCTCATGCTGCCGGATTATACGAGTAGCTAATTTGTCAACACTGGTGCTTGTCTGTTCTGTTGCATATGACACCTCAATTCGGGTTCAATGTTCTCAATTGGGAACTGAGAACTGTCGGAATTTCTGGGATCAACATGATCAAAAATTTATTTGCTGGAAGGGGGTGGATTGCGGATGTTCATAGACCATTTCTAATGCCTCAAATCTATTTGTACAACCTTTCGGTCAACAACTCCCAATTGGCTCAATTCCACTTCCCTTCAAACCCTTCCCTTCCAAATCAAGTTCCCGGAAAAGTTAGCCCGTAGTATTGTATTATACTCCGTACAGTAAAGGATCCTCCAGATACTAGACTACATCAAGTACAAGCGTTAGAACATCCAGAGTGCCAAGGAAATTCTCATCTTTCTCCATCTCAGATTGTAGTTCAGGTTGTAGTAGACCATTGATTGATTTTGCGTCGATTGTCACTCGTTATTGTATTCTGCGTCAAAGAAAGCAAATTGATTACATTGTCGCCGCCAATTAAGTCAGCCTTTCCATTAGGGGTTCAGCCGTCTTTCTTTTGTATGCGACATTTGCGTTTGTGGCGGTATCTTGATACGATTTGAAATCATGTTGTTGACCACGTCGGAGAGAAAAACTTCGACGGCATTCGTTACTTGGTCAAGTTTATGGGTGGTGTTGTCGTCATTACTCGTGCAAAATGTACACGCTGCCACTTCCGACGATTGGAGAAGCCAATCCATATATCAACTCATCACGGATCGATTCGCCAGAACTGATGGATCGACTACCTATGCGTGTAATAATACAGAGCAATTGTATTGTGGAGGAACCTTTCAAGGAATTATCAACCAGCTAGATTATATCCAAGATATGGGATTTACGGCTGTGAGTTTGCTTATCCCAGCTTCTCCTCGAGCTCTCCCGATGAATAATATTTCTGTGTGTTGTGCCTTGTGCGACTGTCGCGACGAAAGATGGAATCCTTCGGGCTGGCTGGACGATGTGAACTGACTTAACGCCAATACATAGATTTGGATCTCACCAGTGGTACAGAACATCAACGAAACAACAAAATACGGCCAAGGCTATCATGGATTCTGGAGTCAAGATATCACCAAGATCAATGAACACTTTGGAACTGCAGATGATCTCAAACTCTTGTCATCGACCTTACACGATCGTGGCATGGTAAGCTCATCATTCACATCCGCAACTCAATTTTATGAAATACAAAGTCTAATTCAATTCTGCGCACTATAGTACTTGATGATTGATGTAGTTATCAACGACATGGCCTACGCAGGGAAAGGAAGCGCGGTCGATTACTCCTCACTGGTTCCATTCGACAAAGAAGAATATTTCCATCCTTTCTGTTACATCAGCGATTATACGAAACCAACCAATTTCCAAAATTGTTGGCTCGGAGACGATATAGTTTCACTGCCAGATCTCGATACTGAATCGGACTTTGTGAAGCAAACATGGGGAACCTGGGTAACTGAGATGGTCGCCAATTACTCTCGTATGTGCTTTCTGATTATGAATCTTACTTACCCCTTGCCCCTTTTCTAGAGTCTTGGCTGTGGGGAAAATCTGGAGAATATGCACAAAATCTTTTATTGAAAGAGTGAGCTAACCCTTCATACGAATTCTAGTTGATGGCCTTCGTATCGATGCCGCCAAACATGTCGACAAACCTTTCTGGCCTGGCTTCCAAGAGGCCGCTAACACATTCACAATTGGTGAAGTCTTCGATGAGTTGCCCGCCAATGCGTGCGAATGGGCTGTCGATGCTCTCTCGTCTGTTCTCAATTATCCTGCCTGGTATTATATTACATCCATCCTTTCAAACTCCACGAATGGTATGGGAAGCTTAGACTATCAATTCGATCAAACTCAACAAAACTGTTATGATACTACACTTCTCGGTACATTTAGCGAAAATCACGACGTTGCTCGTTTTGGATCCTATACGAGTGACGAAGCTCAGAGAAAAAATGCTCTCACGTTCGATTTCTTCACTGATGGTATTCCTGTGGTATATTATGGAGCTGAGCAAGGCTTTGACGGTGGTGGTGATCCCCAAAACCGTGGGGCTCTTTGGCTTAATCCAGGTGGATATGATAAAACATCAACTCTATATCAACTTATCAAGACCCTCAATACCGCCCGTAACGCCGTCAACAATTACATGATTTCCACCAATTACTCTAACTGGAGTCCTTACTGGGCATACAAATCATCAGTCATTTATAAAGCGGATGATATATTGGTATTTAGGAAAGGACTTGTCCATTCGGTCGTCACGGCGATCACCAATGTTGGGACCGAGGGAGCAACGGTCGGTCCTTACTATATAGGAGATAATGGTGCGGATACCAAATTCAGTGAAGGAAATCTCCTCATAGAAATATTGAGTTGCAATAGCACTGTTGCGGGGATCGGGGGAACTTTCACCATCACCTTAACAAAGGGAGAGCCACAGGTATGCTTTACACATTTTTAATACATGTGCGTGATAAGACGAGTGCTAATAATTCCAAATAGGTTTGGGTGTCAGGTTCCCTTCTAGTAAACACAACCCTATGTCCGACACCCATGAAAAACGTCAACAAAACCCAAACCGCCACCAAGACCACCACATCGTCTCTCTCATCTCATATATCACCATCATCAATGCTTTCCTTCCTTACCGTCTGTGTACTATCATCTCTATTCTTGTTCTTTTGATGACCCTCATGTACAGCATTGGGTTGCGTTTTGGCGTTTTGGGTTCACTTATTATGGAAAGATACAATTGCATAATCACATCACATCACATCACTGGTAGCAAGGTTCTTTGTAGGATCGAAGATATTTTACTTTATTACGGGCATGGATGGGTGTGTTTGATTCGGTGGGGGATTACGGATGGATGTATTCCATAAGGGAGAATAGAAGGCACGGCGACAAACGACTATGGCAGGATACTTGAGGGACAAGATATTAGCAAAGATTTAAATAATACATGGACATGAAAAATGACCATGTCGTTACATTCTTATTAATTGTACATACATTAGGGGGAACTAGGGGGGATTAAAAAGATATAGATGGGAGATATGCATAGATAAATTCTATATCTGTCACCAACCTTTCAACTTGATCATACATTCAGATGTGTCTTGATTCGAAATCAAGCTTTTCCCGCTCCTAATATCCTAAATCTACAGATCCTGCTTGTAGTTTCCTTATACTTTTCAGTACCGAGCACCCCTTAGATTCGCGAATAAAAACACATACCTCGAAACCTACAACTTGAAGTCACGATAAATCATTCCTACCACTCTCAGAGCCAAAACCCTCATCGCGAACGTCGATTGCGAACATGATTGCGGACAGGATTCTTTGGTGGCTGATGAGGCTGAGAAACTGTTCTAGGCTTGTCCAATCTTATATTTGTGACACATGTAATGCAGTATCTAGTTCAGGTACAATCGGATAAGAGTGTCAAGACATTTGTCAGGCGCAGGGGAAACAATATCTCATCTCATGTATGTCAGACGGACGCATTCACATCTTTGTGCCCCTTGCCGCTATACCTACACAAGAAAAAGAAGTGACAGATGTTGAGCTTGAGGAAATTTTAGGGTTACATGTTCGAGGTTAAGAGTCATGTCTGACGATGAGCCGTAGCATATATTAAGCAGCTGAAGTCCACATAAACTTCAAGTTAGGTACCCATGATTTTCGGAATTTTCAGTGGTTGTTTGACAGATGAAGGATTTCGGACTGTGCCGCGAGGTACGGGGGGTTGCCAGACGAACCGAGAGGAGGGAGTGCTCTCATTGATCCCATATTTGCATCTGAAGAATCAAAATATTGTTTCACGATAATCTAAAGCTGAATATGGGCATGAACAGAAGACTCGAAATCCTAAGATGAGTGTAGAACGCGGGAATATCGCTTTCTTTCCATCTCAACCCCTCAAATTCAAAAGGTTTTTGCCGAGCCAACCAAGCTGGGCCGGTGAACTCAAGCTAACTGGCTTCGAAGTTCAAAAGGGATACATTGAGACCCCCAAAAACGACTTACCGGTATGTCTTCTCTTCTTCAAAGTCCACACAAATAATCCGATTCACATATTGGCCTCCTACAAAATGATTGGAGCGCATCTTGTCGTCAATCTACCGGTGCAAATGCGGGGTGCTGCAGATTCTTCCAGTTTCTCCATTTACCCCTCATAAGACTCTTTGAAGAGGAACACCGATATCTGGTCTGATGTGGAAGATTGAGAGTCTGTAGATGGAAAAACTTCACCCTGCTCCGGAGATCTAGTGTCATTAGTTGTGACAGACTGCATGCAATATGCATTGTTCAAAATCTCATGAAAATCTCTGGGGATACTTTCCTTTTTGTTTTGATCAAAAGTTATCGTGATTTTTATTTTGGAAATGCATTCTCTCTGTTGTCCTCGGCAGCTATTGCTGATTTTCTCCCTACTTTCTCATCTCATCAATGCACTCCCTCAAAGTCTCAAACCACGAATAAACAATGGTCTAGCTATCACTCCACCCATGGGGTTCGTTTTATTTTTGGTCCTCATCTTATTCTCGTACTTTCCCTCTAACAACTTCCTAGGTGGAACTCTTACAATCATTATTCCTGTTCACCCAATGAAACCATCATTCATAGTAATGCACAAGCTCTCGTATCCCTTGGTCTTTCTACCCTTGGCTACCATTATGTGACGGTCGATTGTGGATGGACACTGCCTGATCGAACTGCTGCTGGAACACTGACTTGGAGTCCTACGCGTTTTCCAAGTGGATTTAAGGCCTTGGGAACTTTTATTCATGGATTGGGTTTGGGGTTTGGAGTATATTCGGATGCGGGAGTACAAATGTGTATGACGGGCACTCCAGCACAAGTTGGCAGTCTATGTGAGTCTGCTTTTTTAATTGTTATAATTGAGACCGATAAAACGGTTAGCGGGAGTATATTGATCTTTTCGGAGCGTTTCCAAGATACAGAGCTTGAATGAATGAGCTGAGTACTGACAAACAGAAGTTCATGAACTGACAGATGCACAAACCTTCGCGTCATGGGGAGCAGACCTGCTGAAATGTACGAACCTTACTCTCGACTGAAGTCCCAAGCTAACATGTTCAGACGATAATTGCTATTCCGACGCTGCAACCGGATATCCAAATGTCAACTATGCACCCTCAACATCCCCCGCTTCCCGCTACCAGGACATGACGAACGCCCTCGCTACTCTCAGCAAACCCATTCTTTTCCAAATATGCGACTGGGGTATTGATTTCCCTTCCACATGGGCTCCAGCCATGGGAAACAGCTGGCGCATCACCAATGACATCATTCCCTCTTATCCCACAATTCCCCGAATCCTAAACCAAGCTGTACCACAAACATCTTTTGCTGGTCCTGGACATTGGTTAGATCTTGATATGTTGGAGGTTGGGAATAAGATCTTTACTACTATTGAAGAACAGACGCATTTTAGTTTGTGGGCAATTTTGAAGAGTCCATTGGTCATTGGAGCGGCGTTGAAAGATGGAGTGACAAGTATCAGCTCTGCTTCTTTGGCTATCCTTAGTAATAAAGATGTTATAAGTTATAATCAGGATAGTTTGGGTGCTGCGGCAAGTTTCCGAAGGAGGTGGACAAAGGATGGATATGAAATTTGGGCGGGACCCTTGAGTGGAAGTCGTACTGTGGTCGCGGTGATTAATCTTCAGAATGCTGCGAAGACGCTTACTTTGGATCTTTCGGATGTGGGATTGCAGAAAGCGAGTACCATCAAGAATATCTGGGCTGGTACAACAGCGACGAATGTCTTGACTTCGTATTCTGCGACTGTAGGTGCGCATGGAACAATGCTTTTGGAACTTGGGGGGACGACTGTAGCAGGAACATATATTGCTAGCGATGCTGCTATTTCTGGGTATGTTTACCATGATCTTCAAATTCCCATTGCCATTTGGAATACTAATTTGACCATAGTTCAACCATCACATTTTCCAAAATCTACGCCCAAACATCTAGCTCGAATTATACAACCACACTTCACTTCAGCACTTCATCCACCTCGTCGACAACCCTGATCATCGCCTCAAAGCCCTACACTCTCTCCGCCGGCTCAACGTCTCTCGCTATCCCTTCCATCTCCTTCATAGCTTCCAGCACAAATACCCTCGCCATAACCTCCTCCTCCACCCTTCTTCCCTCATCCCTCACCATCACGCCTCCCCCATTAGCATTCTATTCCTCATCTGGGATGAGCACCTCCGGCACCGCCACCCATGTAACATGCAGCACAAACTATTGCGCTCCCAGCGGTACAAAGATCGGCTACCTAACCCCTAGCGGTTCAGCCGCCATCACCGTGAATTCCCCTTCAACATCCATCACCACCTCATCTACCAAGTACCTCTCCATCTACTTCTGCAACAACGACATCGCATTGAGTACAGCTTGGACCACCGGTACCAACACGCGAAACTTAACTATAAGCGTCAACGGTGTTGTAACACGCGCCGAGTTGCCGCTAAGTGGAAAGAGTTCGGAATTGTTTGGGACATTAGGATGGCAAGATACGGGGATTTTTGGTGTGTTGACGAGTGGATGGAAGGTTGGGAGTAACGTTTTGACGTTTGGGAATGCGGCGGGTGGATTGGTGGACTATGCGGTGGATTTGGTGGGGGTGGGTGTGTATTGGTGATGTAGGTTACATAGGTTATTGATATGAGAAGGGGAAGAAATTGGAAAGCACATAATGGCCATTTGCTACGCAGTGAAGGTAACAGTGTGCCGTCTGAAGAATTGATTACGGCTCTTTCGGGGTGTAATAAGAGGCCCATTCTCATGCTTGTTTTGAAAGCCAGCGTATGGTCTCAAGTCAGTATTATTATGGTCGTGGCCAAATGACCACTATCATACATGATTCGATGTAGCCTCAAAAGCTTCTGGGTAGCTGTACGTTAAAGCCAGACCATCATAATTCATACCGTCACTCACAAACTGGTTTATCTCAATATCCTTTAGTTAATGTACAAGGCAATCTTTGGTTGTCTTTTCATGTTTGGACAATTTGACAAGAACTGAATTCCTATCCAATGACTTTTACCCGTGAGTTCCGAATCATATATACTCACAAATTGGTGCTTCTGACACATTAGAAATTGGAAATGGATCATCGGAAGGTTCAGTTCACGAGTATCCTCGTTGGTTTAAAGACAACATTGTTACTGAGGGCTTGAATTACAATAAGCTGGAGTCTCATGGTGATCAACATCTTGTAAATCCGTGGTTTATATCTTTTGTAAAAGAAAATCAAGGACAACTCAATGCAGTATTGAAATCGATCAGTCAACGAGCGGTGCATTAGATATTTAGAAAGTATAATACAATTATGAGACTAATAACCAAATCTATCGGTTGTCTCTTTCTTCCCCCCTAAACCCTTAGATTAAATCTTATAAAACACTATTAAACCCTATCAAACCCCATCAAATTCTATTGAATCCTCCTGCAGGAATGATAACTCGAACATCAGGCGGGGTAGTCAAAAACTCCGCCTTCTTGCTATCCACCTTATATCCTTGAACATGAGCACTCTCCTCGTGGGCTTTTAACGCTGCCTCGTCTTTAAATCTGTTTAAATTTGGTCAGTCCATAATTCGAGAGTATGGAAAGGGAGAGGAAATAAGAAGGAGGATATTATCAGGTATGGCTGCAGAGTGTGGTGGTAGTGCGGATTGTAGAAATATTGTCGAGGGAGGTACGCAGCGGATTTCAGAAGGAGAAATGGGTAAGGCAAGACTACTTACACCATAGCCATAACAATCTGCTCCGGACCATCACCCATCAGCGGCTTGGTTTTTGAAACTTTATACATAAGGCACCCGGGCTCGGCATCCTCAATTACTTTAGCGAACTTTGCCCCTTCGGTAAGAGCCTGTCGAGCTATTGTATTAGAAAACGTATTGGAGATAATCTGAGACGATGAAAAGACAAATTGGGATTCAATGGAAAGAATAAACTGACTTGCTCGATTTTCTCGGGTTTGGGAGTGAGGGTGATGACTCGGGTGATAGAATTAGGATTCATGATTGCTGTCTTGATCTAGTTGTATACTGAGTTGTTTATGATGAGATAGTAAAATGATCTACTGTGAATTATTTGTAGTGATTTGATTGAATATTGTACTGGAAGATTGAGATACTTTCCTTAACCTTTATATTACCCAAGGCGACGAAGCTCTCTCATTAGATATCTCTCAAATTCATGCCGTGATGTTCACGCACTGGTGCACTGACATTTTGGACATAAAAATAGCTCTCGAAATGCTCATTTACGAAAGATTTCCGATCCCCAATTGCTTGAGAGCCTTATTAGGAGGTGCTGGAACGGACGTTGCACGGCTCTCGCTGCATGAACTCATTTTCCACAAGCTCAGGATATCATAGCGGCATTTCCATGAATTGCTGCTGTTTTGATTCGACCTCTAAGCCTCTTCCACAACCGCAGCTTTTCATTTTGTCCAGAACAATCTTATCATCATATTTGATATCGAAGTACTCGTATTCAATAATTTTTGAACCATCATGACACGCTTGTGTCTGGAAAGAAAATGTGGGGTTTGAGCGTGCAACAAATAGTCTGGCTAGCTATCCAGCTTCTGTGATAACCTTACGTACTGATAATTATCATTAACAAGGTATGCAAAAAGTGAATGAAGTGTCCACCTTACAGATACTCGAGTTCATTCAATTATGTGGCCGGGTTAGACGGTACCGGTGACCCTGCTCTTCAAGCTTTCATGATATACAACATTGATAGAGTGAATATACTGTGTCTTGAGTATATATATCGATAAATATGCAACATAATCTAGCTGATCTAGGCTAGCTCAATGGCTCAAGATTGGGCTGAGTCCATTCTATCACATGATGTCCCACAATACCGCCAATGATCTCCACAGCAGGTTGATCTTTACATGAAAAAGTGGGAAGACTTTATAAGAGTCAGAGTATATGTACTTACTTACGACTGCAACTCTCATCAAATTGAAGCTAATAGCTTCCATACTGGGCCTCTGGCGCAATGGCAACGCGTTTGACTTCGATTCCTGTCAAAATTTACAGATAAACGCATCAAAAGATTGCAGGTTCGACCCCTGCGGGGCTCAATAGCATGGAACAATTTCAAATCCCTCTTTTGATCTTTTTTTGTTTGATTTAGAAGAAGATTTGTGATCATCCCTCTGACATTTTTGGTTGTGTGGGCAGAATAATTTTTCGCCTCGAAGAAACGAGGGCGGTGAGATAATACATTACCGAGGCAGAATAATAAAGTTCAGTCCTACTGACCTACGCAGTACAAACTTGCCCATCTCAATCCAAAGAATAATGTCCCACCTTCTCTTTTACTGGCCGGACTTCCGGCTGAGGATCATGAAGAATACCATGAAGAGGGCCGGGTTAAGGTAAGACTTGAATGGATCCTCCTTTAGATATATCTGGCTTGCTACATACAAGCTGTAAATATCCTCGGATTGCTTCCTTTTGCTTCCTTAAATCTCACTCAGACATCACGAGAACAATCTCTTGGATTCAAATACCCCACATTTCGGCCCGCTGTCACCGACACGTACCGGCAGTATACATGGTGGCAGAATCCTACACTGCAGATTCAATATATCCATCCTATCATGTTAACTCCCCTGACATTCGACAATCTGCCTTATAGAAGTTTAATTTCACTTCGATCCCGAGAGCCCCGTACAAAGACTACGTTGCTTTACCTTGTGGTATTTCTTTCGAGCCATGAAGGGGTGGAAGATCTGTTACCGAATATGCGGGTATTATATGTATGGTGTTTTTGCAAAAGGCTTTTTAATTTACGGACGGAATACGACTTATTCTTGGTGATTTAAGTGAATGCCACTATGGGATAATTTTGAACAAAAATTGAAATCTTTGCTAAAGTACTTAAGATGATGTAGACCCATAGATATCAATCTACTGCTACAGCTTGTAAAGTTGTACCTGATCTTAATATCTTAAAGTAAAGGTCTCACTGACGCTATGAAAACTGCTGCTTTTTTCAGCGTGCTATCCTTGGCAGTGGAGTTAGTATACTCTCAGGCTGCGGGATATGCTCAATGTAACTTCTACCAGTCCATTTTATTGCTATTTAACAGTTGCTGATTTGAAGTAGGCGGTGGACCTAATTGGACTGGAGCCAGAACTTGCGTTTCTGGATATGTTTGTCAATATCAGAATCCGTGTAAGAAAACCATCAAGGTCTAGCTTTATACTCTACGTATCGAAAATACTCAATTTTTGTAGATTACTCACAATGTGTTCCGGGTACAACAACCACTTCAGTACCGACAACTTTGACCACGACAACCAAGACCAGCACCACCACATCTACAACCTCTAAACCAAACACGTCAACAACTTCATCTTCAAAAACGAGTCCGACGGTAACCTCAACGGTTCAATCATCATGCACTGCGGCATTTACTCCAATTACTGCTTCAGCAGCATTTGCTGCATTGAATCCAGGATGGAATCTGGGAAACACCTTGGATGCTGTCCCAGATGAAGGCTCTTGGAACAATCCTGCTGTTATCGCTGGTACATTCTCGGCAGTCAAGGCTGAGGGATTCAATAGTGTTAGGATACCAGGTAATAACTCACTCCAGTCCCATTTATGCAGTCTTTTTATGATAGCTACTGACAATAACCATAGTAACATGGGCATATCACTTTGTATCCTCTTCCCCAAGCTGGACTGTTAACACTACTTGGATGGATCGAGTTGAAACAGTCGTAGATCAAGCCCTAGCCACTGGAATGTATGTGATCCTCAATGTCCATCACGATTCCTGGACTTGGGCAGATGTCTCTGCTTCTGGAGCCAATCTTACTATGATCGAAGAGAAATTCTCTGCCCTTTGGTTTCAAATCGGAAGGAGAATGAGATGCAAATCTAGTAAATTGATATTTGAGCCAATCAACGAACCACCCGGAACAACACAAGATCACGCGAATGAAATTAATAAACTCAACACTCTTTTCCTCGCAGCTGTCAACCAAGCCGGGGGCTATAATCCCCAACGAGTAGTTACACTTTCTGGTCTTCAGATGAATTCAGTATATACTGAACAATGGTTTACAAAACCAACAACATATACCACTCAACCTTGGGGTTTTCAATTTCACTACTACTCGCCATACACGTTCATTTTTGACGCTTGGGGTGGTACCACCTGGGGATCTGATGCCGATAAAGCCACCTTAACAGAAGACTTTCAACTCTTTGCAGGCAACTTTACCGGTATCCCAACTTTAATTGGAGAATGGCAAGCTACACCCTTGTTCACTGAACCTGCCGCTAGATGGAAGTACACGGATTACTTTGTGAAAACGGCTAAGAGTTTTGGTTTTGCTCATATACTTTGGGATAATGGACTTGATTTTTTGAACCGCGCTACAAATACATGGGATGATCCTATCTCCATGTCTATCCTTTTCAACGCTGCCAAAGGGGTCTCGAACTCTCTCGCAGATAGCACGACAGACCTACTTACCACGTCTCAGAATTCCTCGGCAAACCTCTTCCACAAAGTCGGCGATGCAGTCATCGCACAATCAGTTCCTTACCTCTTAAATGGAAACACCTTGTCATCCATCAAAACCTCTGCAGGCACAACATTAGCAACTACCTCGTACAGTATATCCTCCGCTGGTGTACTGACCTTTACCCAAGCCTACCTCGCAACCCTATACTCTTCCACAACTGCGCCCGGCATTAAGGCCACCCTAACCTTGACATTTTCCGCCGGCTCTCTCTCACAACTACAAATCGTACAATGGGCCACCCCAACCCTCTCTCAAACCTCCTTTAGCAAACAAAGTACTACAGATCTCACAATCCCAATCAACTATGCGGGATTACCACAAGTCGCTGCGGTCAAAGCTTTGAATGCAGATGGCTCGTATATGGTTTCTGGTGATGCTTGGACTGTATATTTGGGACCATTGCAACAAGCTAGATGGACTTATGGATCTTGGACGAGTAGTAGTGCTGGATTGACAATACCTGTTGCTGGTCTGACGGCTATCAGTAGCACGGGACAGACCAATATTTTAACACTTGAGGTAGGTTTCTTTACACGAAATCTTCCACTTCCTGCTCCATACCCCCCTTCATTTGCCGTCGCTTCCTATTGGATACAGCAAAACGTAACGAATATAATACTGATGTGTCGATATAGTTTTACCCAAGAATTCAAGGACAGAATAGTGTAAATATTACATTCACATAGCTGTGGGCCGATGCAGAGAAGTTGGATAATTTTCAAAGTTCAGTATCAAGCGTGTGAATTTCTCGAATCGTGAAGCTTTTGGAGTGTATATACTAGTTCCGATAAATAGATTGAGATGTAAATATTCTTCAATTTAATATATATCTTCTTTTCCAGCAGAGATACCAATGTGCCATTATACATTCTTAGTATAACCGTCCATTCACAAAAAAGAAGAGGGTTCGCTATACTCATGCTGGTCGTGAAAATTCTAGCAAACTCTCTGGTGAGCGCCAGTCTCAAGCCTCAATGATAAATTCCAATATTAACAGGAAGAAAGTCTTCACGTTTGACACCTTTCATTGTCGGAAATTTTCATTCATCAAGATACGAGAAATTTCGAAAATGCGCTATCAATACATTTCTTGAGACCGGCTTACCATGGTTGGAAACCGCATCACCGATTTCGATCGAAGAGTTTGTGCAGCGAAGAAATAAACTAGCTGTTGCTCTCGAAATCGATGGGACAGATGCGTTTATTGTTGAGCCAGGATATACATTTCAATATTATGCTAACATCAGCCAAATGGATCGGGAAGCTTGGGAGCCTGAAGAACGACCATTTCTCATGATCATAATGCTTCGGTTTGATACTAATTCGAGCCAAACTGTTGCAAAGACAACTTTCTTAGCTCCCAATTTCGAGGAAGGAAGGGTAAGAATGCTTGGTATGCTATTTGAAGAAGACCTGAGTATTGTTACATGGGAGGAACACTGGAATCCTTACTCAACACTTTTGGACAGCTGGCACATGGCCGAAGGTAGGGACCATATCCCTACTAAACCAAAAGTAATGGTCGATAAAGAGATGAGGGACTTCATACAGAGAGGACTTGGCGAAAATGAGTTCGAGGTGTTAGGACTAGCTGGCAGTGTGAAACGAGTCAGGCAAACGAAAACAGTTGGCGAGGTAAATATTATGAGAGCAGTCAATACTGGAACAGTCGAGGCATTACGAGATATGCGGAAGTGTATGGTATTGGGCTTGACCGAAAATGAGGTCATGAATGGTCTTGACAGTACAATGGGAGCTGGTAAAATGGAACCATTCTTTGACATTGTGCTTTTTGGTAAGTCAAGCAATTAATTTTCCCAACACTTTGCTTGAGGAGTATATTTGAGCCAAGTTTATTTTGCTACACATCTATTCACTGTTTAAAGTATCTTGGGGTGTTCAACTAAGTGACATACCTTTCTTTGCCTTTCGTCCAATCTTCCTTTTGTTATATGTATTACACTATTCATTGTTTGGAAAACCTCTGGATATTCCAGATATATTTTCCCCCCATGTTCATTAGGAAAATCGAAAGGACTTGGAATAATGAGACAGCTGAAATATGCAATAAAATGCATGGGATGAAAAGTACAAGGTGAAGGGATCCGGAACTCAATATTCAGAAGTCTGTAGGATATTGAGAAGACATGCACCGATTTTTTGCGTGTAGAAAGTGGTGTAAGACACCACAGTGCGGCGATTTATTGACATCTTTGCAGATCAGATGAGAATGCCGCAATGCCACATGGTGGGCCTGATGGAAGTAAAGTTCTAGAAAAAGAGACTCTCGTGTTAATTGACGTTGGGTGAGCTTTGAGCGCTTTAACCGTTGATTTCACTCTAAGCTAATATATCAGTGCTCACTTGTATGGGTATTCTTCAGATATTTGTAGAACCTTTTTTCCTCCCTTCTTTCCTGAACCCGAAGATCATTCTCTCCTTTCACCACTTACTCAGCACGAAATCTTTATTTGGGACATTGTACTCGAGGCATAAACCAAAGCTTTGGAGGCTCTAAAGCCAGATTCCTCATGCGCATCTGTAGACATCGCGGCTCGGGATGTCATCGCCGATGCTGATTATGAGAAAGCATTCACCCATCGTGTTGGACATGGAATTGGTATCAAGGCGCATGAGAGTCCTTATTTGAATGAGGGAAACTTTGAAGAGAAGTTGCACGCAGGTATAGCGTTTACACATGAGCCTGGAGTGTATCTTAAGGTGAGGTGTGGCGTGAGGCATGAAGATGTATTTCTCGTGAAAGAGGACGGAGAAACAGATATCTTGACAGGTTCCAGGGTAAAAGGTCCTTGGGATCCATGATGCGTTGCACCAATGATAACTGCAATAGAAGCTTGAGAAGCTTTTATCCGAAGCCCGAAGCAAGCGGTTGCGATATGCTGTACAAGCTTGGTACCGATTTAACCAATCAGTGGCTAGACTTTTCATGATTTTTAGCCAATAGAAAGTATTCCATGTGACATTTTGAAATTTGTTGCACATCGTAGGGCGACAGGGCGAGAGGGCGAAGGAAAGGGCGCCGCAAGGAAAGGGCGAAGGGGCGAGGCGTCAGGGCATGCATGAAAAGGGCGAGGGCTCGCCCGATAATATATGGCGTTTCAGTGGGTTCATTGGCTAGATTACTGAGGAAACGAATATCAGCAAACACAGGAATGATAATTGAATTAGATTTATCTCAATATGATATTGATAGCGATACCGGTATTGGCAATGTTAGACTGTAGAGAGGGCCCGAATGCCAAAGGACCAAAATGAGCCAAAACAATAATTGTGGAGAAGTACAACCAAGCTATCTTTTAACCACATTTGGGCAAAACATCCATCACTTGCTTATCGCAAATCAACCACAAATCCCTTCATTGAGCGCTTGTCATTTTGATGCGTGGACCTGGGAACTTATCAGCCATGGAAGCTAAGAAGAATTAGCCGATTGAGTCCTCAAGGCATCTGGCACAAAGATACCGAGCATGCACGATCTGCAGCCAGTGATGGCCTCAATAACGTTCAGGACGATATCTAAGACGTCTTGATATCTACCACTGTACTATAAGACTCAAGTAAGACTTGAGCTCGAATCCGAATTCACCCCGTATATCGTTCATATCATGCCCGAGCAGCTCCGGGTATACCCCTCATTAGATCCAGCATGGAAAGAATGTCAACCCCGCGTATTTCCTATTTTAGCAATACAGTCCATGGAAAACACCGAGGGCACCTCATACGGAAGACATCTTTGCTATAGTGGGATGGCTCAACAACTTGGTGCTTTTGCATCATCATGAGCTAATGAGAGGGATGAATATATAAGATGAAGGGCATATGGACGAAGAGAGCGAACATTTCCAGCTCGATACACACTCTTCTTATCATTTGCAGGAACGCAAGGCATACCCCGCGATAGCTTCACATTCACGAATCATCTCTCATCAAGAACTGCATAAATAGTTGTAAAGAGATAAGAACTTGAGGTATGAATACAGCCATACCCCTATTTCCAGTCTCCATTCTCAAGATCACAACTTCCACTTCAAAAACTTCCCTGTTATTTTCACTAAGCCTCACCTCATTCATTAAAGCTAACAATGGGTTCCATAATTAGCAAAGCCAAATCATCCATATCTTCATCAAAAACCGAAAAGATGTCTTCTCTCCCATTCACATACCACGCAAATGCTCAAACAGAGTATAAGCCCCCTCTTATTGCCAACGAGAATGCATTCCTTGGTGATGTTTCTGTATCGACCGATGAGGCTGCACCACTCTCGGCTGGTTTCTATAGATTGGAAAAAGGTACACCATTGATCTACGAGTACACATACCATGAGATGAAGATCATTGTCGATGGAGAGTTTGATATCAGTGATGAGACCGGACAGAAGGTTCATGCTACTAAGGGTGATGTTTTCTACTGTAGGTTGTCTGAATATGTTTTGGAAGCTCATTGTCTAATTCGAAATAGTCCCCAAGGGAAGCAAGATTACTTTCACTACCGAAACCTTTGGTTTAGGGTTCTTCGTTGGACAGAGAAAGGTATGTTACAGTGTTGTCTGCGTGCATTCAACTAATATGCTAATCAACCAACAGACTGGTACCGCATAAGATCGAGATATTATTGAATGGAATTGAACAATGGGGATATGGAGTCTACCTGCTATTTGTATATACAAATCAGCAATGTCATGAATTTATGATGCACTATTTATCAATCTCATCCGAACTTTCGTGACATCAATATTTACCTGGCACGTGCCCGAAATCCAGCAAGTTTATCACAGTTACGTTAGGTTGCTGTGTTCGAAATATATTCATTGATACCATGTCATTAGGTATTTATGCCTCATCATATGTAAGATTGGTCATAGAGTTTAAAACACCTGCGTCATGCTATCACCCCTCCGTCCATTCCTCACGAATATAACCTTACCTCCACACAATTCTTTGATACCTATTCTCCCTTTTCCGTACCAATTCTCCTTCTAATTCTCTCGCAATTCTCCCATAACTTCGTCTACCACCCACCACAGGCGTAGCAGCCAACTCTCTGTCAGCATGCAATTAGTGCTAATGGGAGCTAAATATACCATTCCCGAATGAGTACCGGCAACATTACTTTTTCCACATCCACTGGAAATAGGTTCCTTGGTCTTTGCACCGAACCGCAATGTTGAAATCAAGGAGGGCAGTAGTTGCAGTGCTACAGAATTTCCACACCCATTCGTCTATATTATAACGACAATCCGAGCCTGAAGGTTCAACACGAGGAGTAGTAGTTTGACGGGCTTGTAATCGTTGCGGAGATTATAAGGAGAGGAGAGGAGGGGCATTTGAGGCGTAACGACCGAGGTCAAGCTTGTAGATGCAACGGATAAGAAATAAAGGAGAATATACAAGTCCATTTCAAAACTACAAGACAATATACACTACTGTACTGTCTCGCCAATCTCGACCAGCGAAAATGAGAATCAACTCCAAACGAAACTGATCATTGTGCAGTGTTGGATCGCCATAATCATCATCAATCTTGATAAGGCGGCCATCACCACCTACTAAAATATTTCAATTGTCTCCCGCAGTCTTGATACGTTTGAGGCACTGTATACAGGGCTAGATATTGTTGTGGTGCCAGTAGAGTGGACATTTGGTCAAAATACCCACATCAATCAATCAGCCACCACTTGGAATCCATGCAATTTTCAAGATGCAAGCCACCGCCTTCAAACAGTATGATACGAAACCTGGAGGTTGAGAGAAAAACTGGATCATTGACATTTTTGCCCGTTCTCAAAATTTCTTAGAAGGGGGCCAAGCTACGGTCCTGCAGTTTGTCAAACTGTTGTACATCTTATAAACATTTTCTTCAATTGTCCCTCATTAATATGACATCAGTGCCCTGAATTTAGCTCTGGAGCAGCAAAGTCACGTCTCCTCTACAACCTCCCGAAAATACACCAATACTCATCTTGTCTACCGGATTCGGACTTTGAAGCCTGCCGACACATCTTTCGTCTTGAATACCATGTATCTCATAGACATCAATTGTATTTGTCGTCGTTGGCAACTCGCTGGTTAGTTCATATTTCGCAGCTTTCGAAGTAGAGACATGTTGTCGCCTGGATATGACGAGTGCGGTAATTGTAAGAAGAATGAGATCGAGACCTCCGAGAACTCCGCTAATGATAGCTCCCACGAGCAGATTGTTCTCATTTATGAAAGTGGCTATTCTGCAGCCCGTTAATGTTTCACCTGAAACGTCTTTCGATCACGTTTCGTATAATATAACGTTCATTGCCGTGAGGACAATATATTAGCTAATCTTTGTGGCAAGCTACTTAAGTTTTTGGGAAGCCAATAGTAAGTTCAAAGTCACTAGTAGCCGTCGATCTTGGGAAAGTGAAAGAAACTAGGTATAGCGTTCGCTCATCTTCAAGAGCTATTCCCAGCAAGAGCCTATCTTCACGATCCTAGGCAGAGAAACTTCTCAACCGAACAACAGTCTCTTGACGCCCACGATGTAAATGCCATTCTGAGTTCCAAACTACCGGGACGTTCCGTGGGGAAAAATCCTAATTTAAAGTGAGATTTGTTGGTTAGCAGTGCCCGAAAATTGATCTGGAGGCGGCACAAGTACTATACTCGTATGTTTCAGCCTACTCTTGAAACTACCGTGATGAGAAATGGTTTGCAGTGTCGAGAAATTGGAGTATCGCTCACATCATGCAATGCATCAAAATTCCATCACGCGGGCTTCGTGCAGCGTGTCGGTTCAGTCAATTCGTACAAATATCAGGGTTGATTGACATTTCTTGCATTGTTATCTTTAGTTGGAGGCTATCATCATACTTCATATCCCTATTGTTCTCAGGTCATTGCAACAGCTATTGTTAAAGTATAATCCACAATCAATCTTTTCCTCAATTTTGGGAATTAACATGTCCAAACCAAGCAATGGCAGATCAAGATATAAACTTGTGTTGGACATACATCGATACAAAGGGGTTCTACCACAACTCCTCGTCGACGTTGTGACGTTGTAGTAGAGAGCTACAGGTTCTTGCGCGTCAGTATTGTGTGCTATCAATCATCTTACCCAGCAACTCTACACACTCGAACTCTCGCATATTACTTGTGCCCCTGAGTCTGCACAGCACGAATTTGGCTTCAGCTATGACATCTAAACTAGTCCTGGCTATTCCAAAGTCACTGATTTCATAAAAGCGCCTGCTTCAAGACGAAACCTAACGCTCATATTGTTGATCTGCTTCACTTTCACTGTTGCTTTCCCTTTCCTCCGAGTGCGGATGTAACAGTCGTTTCAGGGACTAGAAAGGTTTATGCAAAGAAGATAGTTCCAAAATCATGTACTGGCAATGTATTTAAAAGGTTGGAGAGATGGATTTGGCAGATGCGGTTTCGGAAGGAGGTCTAGGGGTGGTTTGAGGGGGTGGTTGTATGAGGCAGTTTTGGTGAGGAATCTTCGCAGATGAGTTTTGGCAGCGGATGTCTATCTTAAGTTAGTTGCAAGTTGGATATTGATTGGAAGTATGTAAAGTATGATTCGCCTTTTTATGATGTTCTGGTGATTTTTTGAGGATAGTAAGGGAAGCTCACTTTTCAATGTGATGGTTGATAAATGAACGGGGAGGTAGAGCCATAGTGAGATAGTGAGGGAGGGAGTATATTTGCTTAAGATGGATGAAGAGTTGTATGATTTACTGCTGGAAGTTGTGTGTTAGTTAATTTTATGCTTTTGCATTCAGATAATGTGAAAAACAGCTTTGTCCTTGTTTGTTTCTGTTTTTTTGGATTCAAATGGCTCAATATATGTGAAAGTGAATTCATGAGTTTGATCCGGGACAGGTAGTGGACAAAAAGGAGAAAGACTCGAGGCTGTGAATGTCAGTGCATTCACAGTGCTGAGATTGGAGGAGCCCTCCAGCTAGAGATTGGGAAGTCCAATGAGACTATAGTCCAATTGCTTTAAGAGTTGATAGAGGAAGGACAGTGAAGTCAGTAAAGTAAGCGATTTTGATATACAAACTGAAGGAGAAGAAATTAGATATATAACCGGATAGCAAGCGAATCAGTAGGAGGGGGTGTCTGAGTGTAAACCAGAGCTTTATTAGCTGTGCTTTGTTATTTTATACAGGTTAATAGAAGATCTGTATTTTCTATCAATCGTTTTGAAAGCCTCAACTCTGTATGAAATCATTATACACAGCCCACAAACATCCCTTTACATAATTTCATGGAGTCAGCACTCATCTTGATGTTTTCTTCGAATGTTCTCATCCAAACTTCTTCTTCATCTTTATCGGTATCTTAATTTCCGATATTTTCGGGCCAACAGTTGGTACCTGAATCATCTCCAAAATTCATTAACCAGCCTCGACAACAGTAAACAATAACGCTCCCCTAAACTATAGTAAATCATCATTGCCGTAATTATACTAACCATTTATTTTGCACCTTAATTATTTAGCTTAATTTCATTCACCTTGTTATCTTCCTGAAACCTTTAAATATGCCAAACTAACATCAGAAAAGCACAACCTCAGATCGAAGACATGTTTCGCCGTATTTTGATCATTGCTTGGATCATCTCCATTTGTTTTTCCAACAATGTTACCTCGAACAAAATAGCCCTTACTGGTTCGAGGCCTAGAGACCCCTCTGCAGTTCAAACGTCTCCTCCCAAGAATAATGAAGCCCTGATGAAAGACTTCTCAACCACCAAAGCACCTGCGCCGACTAGACCTCCTCGAGGACCAGAATTTCATCTCGCAAAGCGTCAATCGTATGTTCAATCATGTGGCAACTATCAAATCCCAGGATTCAGTCTCAAATTAAACATGGGTCAAACTTGTTTGGTGGATGAGAATGGATTGATGTTTGGGGATTGCTCGAACAGAATTACGGATGGAAATGATTGTGGATGGGCTGAGGTTTGCGTCGATAGTCATGCTTGTGTTAGTAGCTGTGGGAGGACTTCTGTACCTAACTTAAGTGTTACAACTTGGTGAGTGGATCTGTTATATTCTTTTTCAATTTGTAGAAAAGATGGTAGAAAAAGATAAGGAAGAAGAAGAAGAAGAAGAAGAAGGAAAAAAGAAGATCACAGTAACAGGTGGATAAAATCAGAATCGAATATACTGACTTTTGTGTTTCAATAGTGGTGGGAATGGAAATGAATACTGTGCCATGTGGTATCTTGTATCAGAAACCTATATCTATACCTCTATTATGTGCAGCGATTCACAAAGCTGGTTGACCTTCGATGCCACTTATGTTACAACTCTTTCTGACGATTTCAATGGCTATACCTATGATCCGTCTGAAGCGACACCGGCATCTACATCAAGCACGTTGACCATATCAGTTGGAAATCCAAGCGCAACTGGTAACGGTACTTCCGACACCAACTTAGATAGCAGTCACTCATTAGGAGCGATAATGGGTGGAGCATTTGGTGGACTCGGTGCCGTCACGATTTGTTGTGGTCTTTTATGGTTCTACCACCGTCACCGAGAGTCTAAAAAAAGAGCAAGCAGAGCTCTCGCATACGATCCCGCCCACTCTTCTTCCGATGATCCCGAACCACCCAATGTAATAGGTTCTGGCCACCCAAGTTCTATCCATCATTCTATCAGGTCGCCTCAATCGGTTGGAAGCCCTGCTCAGGGGTACCCGATGTCGTATATGGAAAGTCCACTCCGGAGCCCCAATCTAGAGGATGGAAGTGTTCATACGGGTGGAATAAGAACTCCGAGGGTTTTGACACCGGTTCTTGCACCTAGTGTGAGTGAGATGTTTGTTGAAGACCCTGTGTATGAATTACATACCGATCCTATTGGGCCTTCAGAGTTGCCAGCATGAGGTCAAAAGATTTTAGATTATGCATCGTATACGGAGTTATGGTATATTGCATGGTGGAATTCTTGAGGAATGGATATATGGAGTTTTTCTAGGGCTAGATATTTCATGGTGGAATGAAAATACCTGAGCATAATCGACTTATTTTGAGATGGCTTCGAAGATTGGAGATGACAGATTCGTAGGTAATTCTCGGAATTTATTCAGGGTTATCCAGAGTCTTCTCTTTGGAGTTTTCTCGTTGGACAATCCTATAATATAATTTTCGAGTTTTTTTTAGCAATTAGATGATATAATGAACAGTTCGGGTTTATGGAGCCGAAAAATAATAACTTTACATACAATTTCAAATACCATTCTACCATTCTTTCGGGGGTGACAAATGTACCCCTATGTCTCTTGTGAGAGTTATCCATCCATCAATACTCCACTGCTTGAAACCAAGACTCTAATCATCCCCTCCATCCCGAGTACACGTGATGATAGCAAAACCTACCCCGCTCCAGCCACTTCTCCAAGTCCTTATTCCCCACCATAAGTAGAGCTTATCTAACTTATTTTCCATATACAAATCGCAGCTAGGATGTACTCGTAGGGTTGTTTCTTCCCAAAACTTACTATTATAAGGCCTGTAATATTAGTGTGCCCGGATATGTATACTTTGTGGAAGTACGAGTATGTGGGAGTACGAGTAACTTATAACCATCAATGTCTCACAAAGATCTAGACGGTTCTTTTCACTTTTTGGCAAGTGCAAAGTTTGTAGTGTGCACTGTTCCCACCAGAACCCCTGATTTGCGGAATGTGAAGCTTGTGATAGCTTTGTATTTTTTATTTCCAATCTCTAGCGTACAATTTAAAGTACTAACAAAGTCAAATCGAAGGAAAGAAAGCTCTAAAAATCAACTAGACGGGCACAGAGCGACATGCACCACTAATTAGCGAGGAAATGATTGGAGACTATGCTAGACTAATCGAAGTTTCTTTATAGCTTCCTTTTGTGATTCAATTCAAAATTAATAAATACTACTACTACTACTACTACTACTACTACTACTACTAGTAGAACTGCGGAACTTTCACCAACAAGGAGTTTTTGAAGTGGTATCTAATCAGGAAATTTGTATGACAGAAACGATAAAGTTATACAACCTTTCCGAGGAAGGGAACCGAATCAACCGAAAATCTGGAAGTCGGAATTGAGATCCCGAAAATTGGATTGGTTGATCTCTTCTTGGTCACACTCGCATTCGCACCATAGGTCAATTCAGAGGACAGAGAATCTTGATTTGGGCTTGGCTGTACTCAAGCATTCTCGACGATATCTACGATATATTTTAACCGGCACCTTGAATCATCACTCATTAGTGATATGTTACCGTGAGAAGAAGCGGAAGGTTTTCTAATTCAGGAGCACAGTACTCGAATAGAAGCACAAATACCTTCACCGTTCGCATGAGTTGCCGATTTGCAAAACGATAAACGGCACACGACACCGACATTTACGCCTCCGCACGCAATCAAACCAATATTGTGACTAATTTGAGATCGAAGCCGTACCATATCCTAAAAGCGCCACCACTGGATAAGAGCACGAGACTATTCAGAAATTACAATTCGTCGCCGAGAAGTATTTTGGGAACAAAGAAACTTTCCTCTGTTCCAATAAGCACCACCTCAATTTTTCGAACACATCTCGATAATTAGATATCAGTCTGTCTTCATAATCAAATCAATCTCCAGAGCAACAGTACCCAAAGCATCCATCCTGTCTGTTCGATAATTGAAACGAAATACTCCTCGCACCTCTGAATACTTACAAGTCTAGATTCAAAGCTCTGCCGTCGGCGCCGAAGCTACTAACTCCGAGTTCATCCTCACCGTTCTCGACGGCTTCTTCCAAAGCCTCTCTCACCATATTTTGCCCACTGATATCCATCTCATTCAAGCCTCAAGCTCTCAAACAATGTTCCTTCAAAAACTCCGATCATTTTCCTTTCCATCGAACTCCAAAGCGCTTCAAGGCGACGACAAGAAACACCATCGACTTTGCATATCTCTCAGAACCCCAAATTCAGAACTCAAGAACCCTCTCTCACCATCTACAACCAATTCTACTAACGGTTCCCGTATTTCTCATTCCAAGACAGGCACATGTGCAGAAGTCACCGAGATATCCCAAGCGAATCACGGAGAGGATGAAGATCAAGAAGGACAAGATTTCAGGGAATATTTAGAAAAGTGTAGGAAGGCAGAAGAGGCAGAGGAAAGGAAGAAGAAAAAGATGGCGGCAATAGAGAAGAAGAGGAAGGAAGTTGATCTGAGTCCTTGGGCTGGAAGAATGTGAATTTATGGAAAGAAGAAAGACGACCCAGAAGGCCCCAGTCTTTCGCTATGTTATGTTCTCTGGAATGAAGCAGAAGACAGGAAAGCAGAGCTAGTCGATACCGCTTGATATAAGACTACACGAGAACACACACATACGATGAAGAAACGATGAAGAAGACCAGACATATATATTATGAGTTATGACGCCACTCAATCGTTCGAGTTCGAGTTCGAATCGAATTAGATTCCACCTGGAACATTGCACATTGCACATTGCACAAGTCCAAGGACGATTTGGAGGATTTTGCTGCATAGGATAGGACCAAATGATATGATAATAAGAAAGACTTGATTGATGGTGCAGATATAAAATACTTTACACACCAGAAATCTACCAACGACTCGAACTCGAACCAGAACCAGAACCAGAACCAACGGAAACACCACACTTAAGCTTGCATTTCTCTTGCCGCAGCGAGTCTTAACTCCTCTTCTCCTCTTCTCTTCTCCTCAACTCGCTGCTATTTTTGACACACACACATTATTCACGACCGCACGATACCATACGATACGATATCCAATTTTCCATTTCATTAGCCAGCGCTGTTTCTTTTTGCTTCGATCGATCGATACCCTTTCCTACCCTTAGCTTTGGTCTTAGTTTTCTTTTCATTACTTACCTTACCTCTCTGCGATATGAGATTTAAGATTTCTGTACTGTACTGTACTGTAACGAATGAATGTATCTAATTCGATACTTGAGGAATTAAGGAATTTAGGAATTTAGGAATTTTCTTGCTAATGAAACGAGTGATGTCAAACTAAATCTATATGAGATCTATATACAAAATCTAATAAGAATCGGAGGACGTTGTCTCAAATTTATATATATATCTATTATAATTTATGAGAAGCCTGTTGCTTATGGATGGAATCGTTTACCGGTACTCTAGAATATGTCGAATATTCTCTGCATATTGCGTGCTCTTCAACCTATCTAAGACTATGGCCTGTTATTCCACCTACTCACTTGCCTATACCAGTAGGTATTATTATAAAGGAGGCTATCTTATCTGTACGGAGTATGAATATAATATTCATTCCTGTTATATCTAGAGGCCCTATGATATATATGATGAATCAATACAGTTGCTATTAGACTTATGTGTATACAGTACTGTATATCTATCGCGAGACCATTTTAAAATCTACGATTTTCGGTAAGTTTTCAATCCAGTGCTAGGTATTAGCAGCAACCACATCCAATAACTCGAATTATATATACTTGGTTACTTACTGTATACACTGCGGCTTCAGCTATCACGATAGCTATCACGATACGAGGATACAATACAATACCGTGCCGGTATAGTGAGACAGTGACACTTGTATCTCAGTGTACAGAAACGATATTCGTTGAACTGGTTGGTAACCTTACTGTACTCGAGTACAAGTCGAGATTAGACATTATTAGTTCTACAGTACCGTTTCGTCTCCAGGTTGTTGGTCGGCATTACCGATTGTTTCCTTTATGGTATGAAATATCTCTTCGATGTGAGATACCTCTTATCTTTAACACTCGAGTACTGGTACTGTATTATTAAATACCCCATCCATCCATCTCAAAACTTCCATCCACCTCCAAAACAGCCTCTCTCCACTCTTATTCCACTTTTCCGTCCATAACCTTATCTACCCATACCCCGTACCCCGGAAAACCACGATCGCTTGAGATCCTTCGCCCCCTCGCCCTAGATCGTCAAATCCGAACATCCCCCAGATTTTCGGGATACTCGATATCGTTAGATTCCAGACGTATTCATACATGCCGAGAGTATCTTGTAGATCAGGGACTGCTTGCGCAAATCATGTATCGGATGTGGGTTGATCATTTAAAATTTGGGATTGAGTTCATGTCAGGTAGACCCTGATGACCCTGTTAGGGAGGTAATTACTCGCGGGGACGCGTTTACTGATATGATATAATGTTATTGATTGTAAGAGCCAAGAGAGTAGAGAATAGTCGGAGAAGATTCAGTCATGAAGTTGAATAGAATAGTGGAAAGGTAGTATATGAAATCCAATGAGAATCTTTCATAAACATTATAATATCTACCGGTATATCGAAAACATCTACAGTACTCGAGTGAATATACTCACTCTGACTAACACATTGTCTCACAGCTCTTCACAGTCAACCACCATACAGAATACCCAATGAACCCATTTATATCTATCCATATCCATATCCATATCCATATCCATATCCATACATACCCACACATTCCCACCACGATCGTACGAGTAAATAAATAGACTCATTTCCCCGTCCTACAATCATTTCATTCCCCTTCCCCAACTTTACCTTCGCATTTCAGCTTTTCTACACACACACATACACATACACATACACATACACAACCTTTTTACTTCCAGAGAAGAACTTCCCCTGCGTCATCGAGTTCTTCTTCTGACTCTTGATCTCCGATCGATATTGCCAAAGATTACTGTCTCATATCAATAATTACCGCATCTAATTCGACCCGTTCGTTCATTCATTGTACACCTTCTACACGTTCTCCACGTCCTCCACATCCTCCACGTTTTACCCGATACACCACTTCCAAGCACCCAGTCATCTCATCATCTCAACATCCCGAGTGCCGAAACTTCACTACTATTACATTGCATCCCATACCAACCCATCCGATCCGAAAAACGCCCCCTGATCCGAATCCCACTACACGTTTAACTCGAATCGAAAATCGAAACACAGCACTCTCATCTCTCACCTCTCGATCTTGAATCCTGAAGCCGTGGGCCTCCCTATCTATCTATATACACAAACCTAACATAGTTACACGACTTCCCTCGGAACTTTATATACCATTCGCTACCCATCTCATCTCATCTCATCTCATCTCATCCATCTCATCTCTGCTATTGCATCGACCGATCTGATCTGATCTGAGCGGAACAAGAATCTTTTTTTGTTTTGTTACACATTCATGAAATTCTAAGATTCCATCTACTTGTGTAAGAGTTGAAAGTTGGGAGTCATTAGTTAGATATCAGATCAGCTTCATTATTCTGGTGTTAGTTTACTTCTTCGAGACACCTCACCTCACTTCAAGACACTTCACTTTACTTCAAATCACGTCACCCCACGTCCTTTCGTTTCGTTTTATCACATCGGATTTCGGATTTAATAGGGATTCGCTTCATCAACCATCAACCATTACACTTATTCTAGATTCGTTGCACATACTCAGTATTACACTCATTCCTCATTTCCGTACACGAGAGATAGGACAGCACATCATCTCGTATCGAGATACCGTAGATTTTATTTCCATTCATTCTACTCGAGTAGACCCGTCTTACCTTCCGGTATTACTACCTAGTATCTACGACTTCGTTTCAAGTTCTATTTTCGTGGCACCTACATCATATCAATCATCACATTAATCCTCCTACTCCTTTACTCCATCTCCATCCAAGCAAGTTTCTTCGTCATACACATTACGAAGCATTACGCGTTTGTTTACTCCAGTCATAGACATAGAGCAATCATCATCGATTTGATATCTTGCTTGGTTTATACCGGTACTCCATTCTATATATACCAACATCATCAAGCCAAACCAAACCAATTTCTCATTTCAAACTCTCTTCTCCATCCGTCCAAAACAATTCAGATAAAACCAGTATCAACAACCACAACGAAGAAGACAACCAACAGACAAACCACCATTTTCAACTTCCAACTTCCAACTATAACCACAATCAAAAACGCCCATCTCCTTCCTCGACGCCCAAAAAGCCACCCAAACGCCTCGCTAAAGGGTTCATTTTCACACCCTATCACCAATCACAATTCTTTTAAGCCTGGGTCAGATCACACAGAATCCGAGTACATACAGCCGTTTACGCTCGCACGGGCATAAAATCTCTCAAGAAAAAAGATAACCTGACCTCACATCGCCAGTCCAATCCAATCCATTCAATCAAAATGATTTCCAATATCAAAAGAAAAATCGCCTCGTCCTCATCTTCATCCGCATCATCTCGGCGAGAACGGGAACGAGAACAAGCGCAATCATCAACCATTCACCAGCATCAGTATCAGCATCAGCAACCCTCTAATTCAAGAGCGCCTCAACCCCAACACCCACACCCACAAGACCACTCAGAGCAGTATAGCTATTGTCCCCGTCATCGCAACTCCTCCGCGACAAATTGGTCCATAACATCCACACTCCTTAACGGCGTATCTTCATACCAACCAGCAAGCCAAACCCATACCCATAAACATCCCGATCCGAATTCCTACGAAGCATTTCTCCAAAACGCTCTGGAAGAGGAACACCGACGGGAAAGATACGAGCGAGCTGTGCGACGAACGAATGATGCATGGCAGCAGGGATTTCGAAGATCGGATGCTGGTGGGACGAGAAGTTGGTTGCAGGGCTGTGGATTAGCCAAGTAGGACTGTCGTTTATTTATTAGCTTTATATCATATCATAACATATCATACCGAACACGAATTTCTTTTGTTTTTAGATGGGACTGGAAAGGAAAGGATTATGGAAGGAGATATACCCGGAAAGGAAAGGAAAGGAAATATGATAGATCGAACAAATAAATAAGAAATAAAGAAATATAGAAAATCAAACTTACTCTCCCATTCCCAATCTTTCATAACACCTACCCAATGCAACCTCCCTCTAACCGTCAACTCCTGATCCATTTCCTCGGTAATAAGACCCGCCGCCTGTCTCTGAGCTTTGAGTTCTCCAAACCCTCCTTGCGATGGTCCCGAAATACTATGTCTCTGTCTATTTCGCACGGGCGAAGCTATGCCGCTCTGTCCCATCCCTCCCATCTCGTTCATATTCATATTCAAGAGATCCGAGTACGAGGCCTCTTCATTTCCCATCCTATTCCTCATATCCTCCTCAAATCTTCTCATATTAATATTATCCCTCGACGCCGCATGCATCCCACTCATCCCCGTCATCCCAATTCTCCCCTCATTTTTCCTCGTCAATTCCTGTTCTTTCTGTTTTGCGATTTCATCTCTTCTTCTCCATACTTCTTGCATGACTTCCCAACAGCGATCGATATTTCCTATCCACATTCTCCTTCCCATACTCGCCCATCTTTCTTCCACCCACGCTCTGTCTTCCTCATCTTTTGCTTCACAGCCTGCTGCTAGGAGAGGATAGATTTGGACGATGACGAGACGACTGCTGAGAGGGACTGTGGCTAGACATACTAGGACTTTCTTCGAGAGCTCGGCACTTGTGAGAGAAGGGATCTCTGGCACGGCCTGATGAAGATGGAGAAGAGTAGCATAACGATATGCTTCAGCTGTTTGAAGTGCGTGCTGAATTTCAGAAGTGGGATCTTCGGGGGTTGAGAATGCCGTCGAAGGTTGCCATTGTTCGATTGCCTGTTTGAGTTCGATGCCTTGAGATATTATGGCTATGGAGTTTGATTTTGATTTCTGAACTTTGCGACAGAGATTTGCAGCGCGACCAATGAGAGGAAACAGGGTTGCTGCGCTGCCCATTAAAGGATCAATTTCCGACATCGTAGTGATGTTGGCGGAAGAGGAAGCAAAGGAAGAAGAAGAGAGGTTATTAAGCGGAGAAAGAAGATTTTCAAAATCCGTGGAATCGTCATCATCGATAGACGTTAATCTCGCTATAACATCCATATAAACCCAAGTATTACAAAGGAACCTCAATCTAGCCAGATCATCACCCACAAGACTTCTCTTATTGTGCTTGATGAGTGCCTGGTTAACTAGAATCTTTGCACCCCTGAGATGCTCGATTCCTGTTGAGATATGCTGGTCCCAAGACTCTGCGAAGGCAAGAACGAGTGTTGTGGCGAGTGCAGTATCGGTGCGCATTTTTTCGATTCCTGTTGCGAGAGACCGAATACTACGACGCATGTGCTCCATGCCGTCGACGCGAAGAGCGGGCTTTTCTTTGGAGGTGTGGAATGCGGTCATGGATGCGATAGCATGATATAATGCTGGGGAATCTCGTGCAAGGGGCCAAACTAATGTCCTCCATGGATTCTCCGTAGGACCGTCTTTAACAGACAATATACCACATGTCTGCTTATCAAACCGAAGCATCAACATTTCTGGGCTACCGGCTGGAACATCTGGCTGTCGATACATTGGACTAAAGTTTATAGGAGATGCAGTTGGAGACCTCGATTGAGGTCGAAAGGGACTCATGGCTAACCACATTTCAGCATCAGATAGTTGAGGATCCCGAATGATTTCCTCAATATCATCTTCAAGAGATCCGACATTCCTCATCCGAAATTGAGCCATATTTGGGCTCGACATTGTCATACCCATGATGGGCGATGGTATAGAAATAGACGAGTCCATGGAATTAGATTGCGCCCTTGCATTCAGCTCCGACCCAGGTTGCAACAGATTTATTAATCTCGGTGATTGACCGGAGAAACTTGATCTTGTTGGTGTGACCAAACCGGTGTCTTCGAACATACTACTTAGACTGCTTGTGACCGAATCTGCCTCAATTCGAGGTCGTTGCAGGCCATCTTGACTAAAAGTTGGTGTGCTCATATCAAACATAGGAGAAAACCCCGAATGGAGCTCCGGAAGCGAAGTCGAAACATCAAACGTTGATGGAGAAGGAACTGCGGCATTGAAGAATGAATCCTGCATCTGCGTATCCTCTCCACCTGGGGTAGAAGCCGATCCATCGGAAGCTGCTGGACTTGTAGCCGTGGTCTTATCCGGTGACTTATCTCGGACTATCGAATCTACAGATGTTAGAGCCAATCTGAAGATCTTGGATTCTATATCATACCTCTCTTTTTGGGGGGTAGTGGTACCGGCTTATTTGTAAATGTAGCCTCCTCGAACGGTCTCCATTTAAAATCCTTTTTATATCCTCCACACGTAACACTTCTTTTATGACATTGCTGACAAGAGGGTTTCGTCTCATCGCATTTTAGACGTTTTGCTTTGCAAGTTATACAACCTATATTGTTGTGAGAAGTTTCAATCAGCATGTGAAGCTTGATGCGGGGCACAGAAGCTCTTATCAAACGTAAAGATAAGAGATATGAAGATGAAGGTATCCAAAGCTTACCATTTCGACTTTTTGATTGTTTGGGTTTGTTGATACCACTATCTTTTGTTAAAGATTGAGTCGCTGGCTTGGTAGTAGGTTGCTTTCGTTTTTTAGGCTGTGGGGGTGGTTCCGGTGCTGGTTTGAGGATCGGGGAGGAAAGAAAAGCCGATGGAGAAGGTATTGTTATCGTCTCCATCTCAAAGAATCCTCAAGAAGATACATCGATGCATATAGAAATAATATTGGAAGGTTAATAGTAGTAATTTTCCACAGAAATCAAGTAGGAATCTAGAAGAAAGGTTTCTATAACTGTAATTGCTGCTTGTGATGTTCTAAGGTTATGTGTTGTTCAAAATTATGATAGGAGATAGATTCCATGACTGAGAGTCGGAAGTCTAGGACTTCTTTCAAAAGGTGGAGGAGAGGAGGATCTGAGATGTGAATTCATAGATAAATGATCATTTTTATTGGTGAATTTAAATGTGTCAGTTTGTGGAGAAGCCCAGCGCCCGACAAGATGAAATAGCGTATCACTACAGGGGTTCAAAGAAGGCGATAGGAAGTGATACCCAACCAAATGTAACCATCGGACATGAATTGCTTCGAATGATTGGAGAAAGTTATATTCGGGATTGTGCTGGAAAAAAGATAAAGATACTCCTCGACTAGATTGCTTCTTGATTAATAATAAGGTTCATCTACTCGCACTTATACATGCTACATGGGTACATATATACTACATATATAGCCGGTGATAGCTTCTAGAAAGATTCGATAGAAAGAACAACATCTCTTGTAAGATTTCGATTTCTTTCCAGTTCGTATTTATATCAGTCGATCCATCATTATCATGATGCCTACCTCCAATCTTCCATTTCTCTTACATAACCTCCACTTTGTGTATCGTATCTTTCCTAGAAAGAAGTGTGTAGGGCTAGACGGGGGTTCATATTGCAGTGTCATGCTGATAAGTCTGATAGGCTGATGCGACAGGCAGTTTCCGAGCTTTGAGTAGATAAGTTGATAACGGTGGGAGGGGAGTTCGTGTGATCGCTGGTGGGAGAATCTGGAACGTCTATCTATGGAACGCACTGATTATGGAGTTTCCAAGTAGTGATTTGATGCATGAAGGGGGTGGAAAATGAGGGTATCGTGAAGTTTAAACTTATTGAGGTAAAGCATGGCTGGGAGAATTCACACTCATGATTAATAAGTACGTTCAACAGTTGACGCAATAGAAGGTTAATGGTAACACGGTAGATGACGCCTGATAGTAACGTGAATACGTACACATAGTGACGATAACCTGGAGAAGAAGCATCCAAAGAGTTTGGAAAAACTTGTGTTGTGCTGCTGCAACGAAGTGCATTGAACGCATTTATGCTTCTGAAGCCCCAAGAACTCTCAATTGGTCCAAACCATGCAGGTTTTTATGTCCTGTGACTTGATGCGTGTTCTTTCTTCTATTTTGTATTATATCAAAGTCAGATTATGCATGCAAGAAGTAAATATTCTTCCGCTGCCAGATCTTCCCTTGAGCTGAAATGCCGTTTTTGTACTTCCTTACGTACTACAGCTTGGAAGATGGCGAGCCTGAAGTCCTGTACGGTTATAGAGGAAATCGTAGTTGCTCAATCTTCTATGGAAGAAGATGACTTGAGATCTGCAGGTTGTTAAGATTTGGCCAGTTCCAGATCTTCCATCAGGCATATCGTCGCGTCGCCATCCTTGGTTTGAACGCGAGCTTAATTAGCTGACGTACAGGGCTGTCAGGGTATGTTTCTCTTAGGCTTGATTGTATTTCTATAGTGTATTGAAAGATCGAAGCGGCAAAATAAACGGTTCTCACGATGATCACACAGCAACGACAGCTGAACTTTTAAATGATTTCGTTTGATGTTTTGTGGTTAGGATTCTTGTCACTCTTGGGATGTTAACCGCAACGCCGTGACACTGTTGAGTTGTTGCTTCACTGTATGCAGATCGTTACATTTATGTTTCCGATAGATATAGCAATTATTCAAAGGAATAATCTCCTGGCTGCAATGATTGAGATCAACAGCAAATCAAGATTTATGTCTTTAGCTTTGAATTTGGTGCCTTTTTGAGTTTCCACGATAATTTCTAGTTAAAGAAAAATCTCCGATGATCTACCTTCTCGTTTCATGTCAGAAAATGGTTACTTCAGATTATTCTGTGTAGTGAAGGGTAACCAAGCCACGATTTTTAGATACTGCACCAATGTTTGAAAACCCAGGATACAGCGTTTTTATGGAAATGCCTTGCTAGATACGAATCCTCTCTAGACGAATCGACATTTCATATGGCTCAGTGATAGAGTTCTCATTTCTGGCATTGGGTGTTGGTTTCGCTTAGCTTCATGCGAATTGGTGACAGGATGAAGGGGTATCGTGAATACGAATTTCCAGAATTGCGTGTTCTTCGTAGCTATGGTGGTCCACGTTCATGAACATCACTTGAAACTCGAGAAAGGCGACCGTCTATCTATCATGTCTATCGTGTCAATATTTCATAGCTCCATAGAACCAAACTTTGACCCAGAACATTGTCCAACCTTCTACGCGGTCTCAAATATAATCTGGCTCAGAATACTAACTGCGGAGTAGATCTCCGTATTATTGAAGTATTTATATGATAGATGGGGTTTCACCTTCATATTCTATACGGTGAATAAAAAATAATTAGAGTGTATACCAAGAAGAGCGGCGTGTTCTCCTTCTTTACTACTTTTGATTCAAAAAGTATGAGTAGAATAGAAACAATCCGATGATCGTAAGCTTCTCCATTTCTCACGATTTTCAGCGGCGAGCGAAACTCAGAAGCGCGCGACAGTATATAAATTTATATAAAGCCGAAGGATCAAACCGTTTCCAGGCAGTCGATGAATATAAACACGTTTAGCAAGCAAAGAATGTACTCAGCCACGAGGGTTCCATGTAGGTCGAATTGATCGCGATTAAGCAATCCGAAAATAGCAAAGAAATGGATCCGGTCACAATTTGAGTGGCCATCTTCAAGCTTTTGAAAGTGGAGGGAATGAAATTCCTGGATACGTTGCACGTACTAAAGAAATGAAGTTATACTCGAGTTACAGTTCTCCACTTGATGAAATTTGACGCGCCATGGAGTTAGCGGAAAGGATGAATAGAGCCTCAGCCACTATGTGCGGGGCCAACCTCTTGATTATTGAACCCTTGAAAATTAAAAAGGATTCTTGTTCTTTAAACCAGCTCACACCAAAACTTATGCCGCTCGCTAATGCAAATGCATCCAGCCAAGGCGATCTTTCATATCCGTATATATTTCCACATTAACTCTATTAATTATTTATAACCTTTGTTGTTCCATTGAATCCTTGAGAGCATTGATGGGGTTGTTGTCGCTCGTGAGAACCAGGCTTTGTATTTTTTGAGTGTGTGTGTGTGTTGGGGGTAAAAGATGATGGTAGCATGATGAAAATGCGTATGGGAATAGTTCTACATTTGCGGAGTTCATTTGATATTGGAGAAGACCGATGAGAATCTATCAAGGTAATATTCAATACTACGAGTACTGTGAACTGAGACAATAATGGAATTAGATTCATTAAATGTCAATATGGCACTGTACCTATCTAGATTCTTGGTATATCGGCAACGGATAATGATGTATCGTCCGAGCATGAGAGTGGTCTCTTTTCCATATTTTCACTATTTGATCGATGCATTATCGTGAGCTGTGTAGCATCTACCATCGATATGGTTTCTCACCGTCGTCATCAATCTACACCAGCTGCAGCCACTCAGCCCAGAATTTAGACATGATTTCCTGATCCCGTTATTCAGACCGCCATCGTCAGCTTTGACACATGTTCTAATGTAAACCAAGTAAACAATTGATTTCTGATCTCATACATATTATAGATGTCACCTAACGATTGTGGGTTGCTGGTTACAGTAAAGGCCTTATACAAATTGGTTATGTTGCATCTTCTTTCTGCATTCTGAAACACCATTCAATCCGTATTCAATATCACGAAATCGAAATCCATGCACAGATTGGTTGGCGCATAATTCACCATAATTCACTTAAACCTAAAGGAGTAACTTTCGCAATTGATATTGCTTTATCCTGAGTTTCTCACACGTTCATTGGCAATAATTATATCTATAATCCCTCTAATATCCTTGATTTCATTCAAAAATACCCCCGTTTTCTATTTACATGGTATAAGCTACGAAACCTTGTCAAGGCTTCTAACCAACATTCATCCTGGAATCAACCCCTTGTATTATTCCCCAGTGAACATCCGTTATTCTTTGCTTCGTATCAAGATATACAAGAGGCATATCACCATTTATGTTCACACACTCGACCTCCTTTCCTTCCTCCATCACATACATTCTCCTAATCTAACGACATCAGAACTCTATTCACCTTAATTTTCTTCACTAACCCGGGATTTTGGTAAAGTATAATCTGAACGAAATGGAAGCAATATAATATACATCTTCAGATGTATAATAACTAAAAGTTCAGTCTTTCACGTCTTTCATTTTCAGTACTATCCAGCAACCATGGGAAACGGTCAATCAGTACAGCACCCAAAGCGGGGAAAGAAGTTATCAAAACCGAAAACGAAGCCTACAGGGCCCCCCTTAACGACCTCCAATAGTCCTAATCCAAGTCGTCGAAACTCCGTTACGGGAAAAGGAATTATAGCTGCAGGTGCTTCAGTTCTTCCTCATGGGAAGCTGCTTAGTGTTCTTGAGACGGGGTCTCTTGAACATACACCAGAGCCAACACCTACGAAGAAAAAGAGAATGAGCATATTCAGGTCAAGGAGTTCAAAGAAGGACATGGAGAGCCCTCAACTGGATATGAATGTCAATACTGTACAGAGTGCTTCTCCGTCAATAATTACTGGCAGATTTACAAGAAGTGATTCTGTAAACTCTGTTACCGTCGAGGCAACAGAGGAAAAGTCTTGGGCTGCTCCAAACCCTAGGTCAGTTCTCCCTAAATACTGTATATGTGCAGTGCTCATGACAATGTAGACCATCCTTCCATCGTTCACGAAAATCACTTCCACATGTGCCATCTGCATCAAATAATAGTAATCGACTTTCTTTCGTACCCGAAGCGCTTTCTCCGAAACCAGATTCTATAAATATTGCAACGGGTTTGGCTGGACAACATTCTGGAGAAATGGATTGGCAGTTGTCAGACCCTTTTTGTCAGAGAACTCAATCAAACCCAGCGATATATGCGCCAATTCGTCGAAAATCACTTGCTCAGCATGGCGTAGCGACAAGACCTAGTATTACTTTAAATCCGCAATCTTTCCAAAATCAAATACCCGTTTCATATCACAACTTTGAAAGATGGTCGGCGTCACCTCTGACATTGAGGACAAATGTGGATAATGAAAACCCAGGGGCTCGTACTTCGACTCCTAATGATCTTGGCCACATTGGTTCATTTCAACTTGGTTCATTGAGAATCACAAATGGCTCAGCAAGTCCTGCACCTAGCGCCGAAGAAAGGAGAGCCAGTCTCCCATATAGTGGTTCGCATATTGCCACTCTACAGTCGAGCTCCAAAATTCAGGGTATCACCCACCGAAGTCATACCATTTCTGTTCCCGCAGAAGCTATGAAACGTCCTTGGGCACCAACCCTTTTCCCACAATATTCTACTGAAAACAATTCTCATGATTCTCTGACCATCAGAATCCCAGATACTACATCTCCTCTCAACTCTTCCTTATCCCCTACAAATGCTCAGTCTTTAGCTCTTCCCCCCCAATCGAGTCCGTTTTCTTTTGTTGCAAGTCCCGTTGGATCTCCAATTTTAGAGGCTATCAGCGATGACACTGCTGTAGATGATGAATTGTTTGAGGCTGAACTGTCTACACCTGCACTTGAACCTTCTTCTGGCAATGATACTCATTCATTTGACTCCGGTTACGGGCCTTCGCCTGCTACACCAGAACAGCAAGTCTTGGCTCGAATTCAAGGTCCACGAGATATGGGTTCGTCATTACTGGCAAAGACAGACAGTGGATATAATTCGTCTACATCTAGAAGGAACTCAACCGCACCAGTTTTGTCAACAAAAATATCCCTTAGAACAACAGAAGCACCAGCCGTTCCAGCCAAAGAACCTCTATCTCGCAGTCCATCGCAGACATACTCTGATGTTCCGAGCGAGGATCAATTCTTCAACTATTCAAATGGCCCTGTTGCTCATGCAATTCCTATGGTTAGTCCAGAGTCTCAAAGAATGACAAGATTGAGCAAAGTCTCTTTGCCAACCCTAAATTATCAGTCTCAGATTCAACAGCCAATACCCATGCACCATCGACAGAGCATGCCAGCAGTTCCGCGTCAACCCCAGAGCTTCATCGTAGGTGAATCTGCAAAACCGCAATTGGAAATGCAGAGACAACGCCCACAATCTTATTATCCAGGCGCTCTAGGATTTGCAGCGCAGTCCCGATCACACAGCGAGAAGCATCTGCCTACCGTAGCTTCATATCAACATAGCGAAAGAGTGGATGAAGTCATAGGATATACAGCAATGCGAAGGGTCAGCTCGAAAGAAACAATTACCACAATCATGTCACTTGAGCCTGCTGAGGTAGAGTCCACATACAATAGGCTACACAATGCAATTCCTCCTATTTCAACATCCATCCCAGAGGAGGATTACCATACTGGGTGGAAACCGCCAAACATACGAAGACATTCTTGTGCTCCATCCGCTCCATCCGATCCATCCACGCCAAGAAATCGATATACGCTACAACCATACCACACTCCTACTTCTCTGAATACGTATCCACAGGAAGACCAAACTGACTTCGAGAACCACCTAACCTCTTTCGACACGATTAAGAACAGTTTAGGAGGATCCCCCTATGATTTGGCACTTGCAGCGATGGAAAAGACACCCACGAGAGCTACACAAAAAGCTACACCTGCACCGAGAACGAAAAGTATGACTCCGCAACTTCAATCTACGCACGCAAATCTGATTCGATCTCAATCCGAAGAGCCACCCTTAGCAAGACCCGATATTAATGGTCACCAGGAATCTTACAACAAGCTTGTTGGTGGCAGTCCGTTTGATAATGATGGCAGTGAACCGAACTTAAGAGCGACTTCGTCAGGATCAACGTTTACTCTTCGAGATTTACCGTCACAAAGACGAACAGCCGAGGAGGATGCGAAGAGGTCATCCATAGCAAGAACGAATAGGGTTGGCAGTCCTCCGCCTGTTTCCTGTCAGAGTCAACGAAAATCCGTTCCAGTTCCTGCTTCGGGACAATTGCTTGTACCAACATTAAGATCTACATCTGTAGAACGGTCTCTCGTACAGCCGTGGTCGTCTCCACGAAGAAAATCAATTACACCGCCTCCAAGATCACATACTTCCCATGCTATTCGAGAAGTGACAAGCCAGAAATCTGTGGCATCGGGACAAGAACTTTGGTTTGATTCAGCGGAACAAACAGACACGTCTGCACAATTTCAAATCGGTCATTCCGAAGAACCATCCAAGGATAGATCTCAAAGCGCTAGACCGGCTACACAATATCATCGACCGATCCCTCTTCACCACTTTAGTTTCGATGTTCAGAATAACTCTGGAAAGAGTTCAAGAGCAGCGAGTGTGTACAGTGAAAAGGAATGGGAAATTCATGCTGGGGCCTATGATCATACGTACGGTTCTTCTACTAACCTTCACGAACATCCTGTTAATGTTTCGGGCAACGAATACGATGCGACATATTTCGAAGAACCTCAACCAGTCCCACAAAGGGGGAGTTCAACACAAGATATGTTGGTTCTAGACCGATATGCAGGAAGCCTAGGATATGGATTTGAGCCTGATTACGGATTGGGTGGAAGTGCGGGAACGAGAGATGGCGGGATGATGAACAAGGGAGGAAGAAAAGGGGTTGATGTGTCCAAAGAGTGGGGCTTGGATTTTAGTGACGTGCCTATTATCATGCAGAGAGAGAGAGAGTAACCAGTTAGGGCTGGTATCTAAGGAAGAACAAATTAGTGGAGTGAGCAGAAGCAGCAACAGTCGATCGATTTACACACATACGGCACACATTGCATACTATACGACTGGCATACCGATAGACATATTTTCAAGTCTCCAAGTTTGCATATTAGATTCCATCAGGCACGGTAACGAAACATACAAACGGCACGGCGTTACTAATTTTGCGTTTATTGATACGTTCATACTTTTTCTTTTTTCCAGGATTTCATTTGGGTTGGAGGGGTTTTGGGAGGACTGGTTGGGGGAATACAATATTTGGATGGATGAATGGATACCCGGATCTCTTTTTTCTCTTTACTTCTTTGGGAGGTTACTTTTTTGAGCACAATAAGCATGGCACTGGTTTGCTTTAAGTTGCATTACATTGGTTGGCGAATAGAAGGTGCGTTGATAGCGGGACTTCATTGATGGAGGGAGGGACCTTGAGGAGGGAGGAACCTTGGAGAGTGAAGTGGAAAGAAAGATTGTATATATTCAATCCACAAGGGATGTAAATACATGTAAATATTGCTGGTCGAAAAAGCTAGCTACTATTATTGATATCACATAACATCAATGAATATGGCGATGGATTTTACTTTGTCTCCTGGTTTGAGTGAATGTGATATATGGAAAGTAGAATTATATTGGGGAAGCCGGCAGGTTCATCATAAATCTCCTTGCCAGTTGGTGCAGAATATCAGGAGTGAGCTGAGCTGAGTCGGAGTGGTGGAAAGGGAGGGAGGGGGGGGGGGGGGTCGGGTATTGTGATAAAAATATTAGACGATACTAAGTTTTGACATTTTTGTTGCCGTTAATTAAGGTTACTTGGATTATTGTTACTACTACGATCTCCTTAAAGCAAGAAGTTTGTCATGATAATGTCATTATTAAGTAGTAACATTTTGAGTTTATGATACCTCATAAAGAAGCAGCTTCCACAATCTTCTTCGCCATCTCCGGCAACGTATCAGCCATAACATCCATCTCCGCATCAAAGATATCCAAACACGGTTCTTTCTCATACTCCGTACAATAAGCCCCCTTAAACCCAACTTTCTTCGCAGCCGACACATCCCACATATGGGCCGCCGCAAACCACGTTTCGTCATCCGGCGCAAACTTCGCCAATGCACTCCTATACGCCGACAACGCCGGTTTGGCCACTCCTGAACTGTCGCAGGAGATGAAGTTCTCTGCTGGTATTTCTACGCCGCCTTTTGAGAAATAACCCTGCACGCGCTGCAGATCCGCTGTCGTTAATAACCATACTTTGAATCCTCCTTTTTGCAATATCTCAAAACATTCTTTGGCGCCTGCTCGAAGCTGTAGTTCGGAGTAGCCTTCCACACAGGCATCGCGTTCCCTATCTGTACATAGAGCTCGTGGATCTGTTATGCCTGCTAACCATAACGTGCGGTAAAAAGTTGATTCGAGGATTCCTTTGTACGGCTTGTAGCGTTCGGAGATGGAGAGAAATGTGAATTCTAATTCGGCGGCTGTCATCCAGCTGTATCCGAAGAATTTGGGGGTGATGTTGTTGCTGCGTAGTTTGTCGCCGATGGCTTGGTCGATTTGTGCGTGGTATTCGTCGAAGGAGACGAGGGTGCCGACAATGTCGAAGACGACTTGTTTTTGGCCAACCATTGTGTTTGGAATGTAGATTTTCTGGTTATATCGTTATTTTGATGATTGGTTACTTATTGATTTTGAAGTATTCAGCGCTAGATAAATCCTATGGTACCAAGAGGATTGAGGTCGTTGCTTTGAGGTACAATGAGATTATGCTTTTGGTTCGCTTCCGAGGATGAACAATGTCACGCTTATCACTACCCCTCCAGATATATGGATATATATATGTACGAGTATTCTCCACAAACTTACTAACAAACTATGACTCTTGTGAGTACAATGTTTGTGTTATCGACCTCCGATATAGGCCATGACAAGATAACTCGCAACAAATCGGCTTGATCCTATCATCCCACCTGCGGGTACCTGCTTGCGGAGAAGGGATCCCCGCATTTTCCGTACTGCCACCCTACTGTGAATCTGTGACTGCAGTCTGATAGAATGTCCGATATAGTCTACAGCTGAATGTCTCCTAGGATAAGTTGAGTCTATCTTATATTATATTCCATTGATAATGAGAAGGTCTTATCTACTAGGTTTCACTTTAATGCATACCCCTCATTTATATTTCCACACTCGGTGTTCAAACCAATACGGAAGGGAAAGTTACTGATTTCGCATATCCCACTTATATTATCTTCTTATCTGCTGTATCTCGCTATTATAGTATCTGTTATTTATGATGTTTGTTTTATTCATAGTACTGAGTATTTCCCTATCATGTTAGCATCTACGCCGCTACATCGGCCCTTCAGTACGGTCGGATAGCTTCGGGTATTAGCATTCATGAAATGAATGATTTTCCGAAATTTGAGATAACTTTTGGATAGTTTTAGCTTTCCATATGAAAAATAAAATAATCAATGCCGCGATTAATCCGTTGTCTTCTTCGGGATGTTGCATTGGAATATAAAATTCAGAGATCTAAAGCACATCAAAATCAAAGGTGTGAAGACTAATAAATACATAATTTAATGCTAAAACTATACACCTACAATATCCAAGCGGTGTCCAAGAGAAGTCTAATAGGTTTTAATGGCAGCTAAAATACACCTGTATTCCCAATTTCGCTCCAAACTATAATAACAACAATAACAATAATATTGTGTGACAAAACGCCAAAAGAAATCTCAAGACCAAAGAATGTTCAACCTGCGAAGTCCTTTCTTAGGCTTTTCCTCCGGCTCTGGATTTTGTTGATATATCTCAATGAATCCTCGAATAGGCATCTCCTCTAGGGAAACCATTTTGGTCTTGGCATAGAACTTGTAACCAAAGAACAAAATAAGGATGATAGGGATGTTGAGGTATGATGAGATGAAGGTCTCATTACTCCATTCACCATGAATGAAGGTAGTGTATCCTCCAGTCAAGAGGAGAAGGAGAAAGAGGCCTAGAGAAGCCCACGTCGTATATGGCTGAAATGGTGCTGCCCATGGAAGCTCGGTGTGGCGGTTAATTCCTTGCTTCTTGCAACCGTATAAGAATCTGAGGTAGATGAGTAAGATGCATATCCAATTAATCAAGGTCGCGATTGAGACAAGATCCTGGAGCCATGTAAATACGATGCTAGCAGTAGAGGATAACGTCATGTATCCCAAGCACATAAATACAGCGTAGAGAACGGCTGCAACGTAAGGAACACCTGCACGATTCACTCTGCTGAAGATCTTTGGTGCATGTCCATACATAGCCATACCGAAGAGAACTCGTGTTCCACCAAGCATACTAGAGTTTCCGGCAGACCAAGCGGAGGTAAGAACAATTGCGTTGATGATCGATGGGATAACCTTGATACCGGCATTTTTTGCGGCAATAACGAAGGGAGATTCTGAAGCGGTACCGGTAGACTGAAGGAGGCTTGGGTCGTTGGAAGGAACCACAAGACCGATCATGAATATGGTTAAAACATAAAACATAAGAATTCGGATAAAAATGCGCTTAGCAGCCATAGGAATTGCTCGTCTTGGATTTTTGGTTTCGGCAGCAGCTACTGCAATGTTCTCGATTCCGGAATACGCATACAAAGCATTATTAAGTGTTGTCCAGAATCCGAGGAAGCGACCCAAGGAGCCACCAATACCCAAATATTGGACGAAGGCTCCAGGTTCCCTCCAGTAACGAAAGCCAATCGATTCGTGGTTTGGACCTCCTCCACAGGTAATAACGAGAGCCATGATATTGATCCCAATGATGAGTATGATTTTCAGCATTGAAAATGTAAATTCCAGTTCACCGTACACCCTAACAAAGGTGACTGCAGTGATAATCATCAGGGCACCAAAGATCGTTATCCAGACTGCGTTGTTGATTGTCGTCCAGAATTCCACCAGAACGGCAGCGGCAACAATTTCAGCTGGGATTGACACGGTATATGCATAGACTTGATTCCATCCATTGGCGAAAGACATAGCAGGGTCGAAGAAGTGTTGGGCATAACGAATTTGACCTCCATTGAGAGGTACCAAAGCTCCCATCTCTCCGACAGCAAAAATTACACTCGACACAGCGAGACCAACCACGGAATAACCAATGAATGCACCTAGAGGACCAGATCTTGAAATGGCTCGACCAGAACCAAGGAATAAACCTGTACCGATTGTTCCCGCAAGCGCAATCATCTGAATATGTCTCTGATGTAGGCCTTGCTTCACAGCTTTTACCTCCTCAAACTCTACTATAGCTCCAGTCTCATCTTGGCTAGGGTAAACCTCGGTTTCCCCTTGACCCATAATCTCGTTCTTGCTGCCACCATGGCCGAGTTCGTAGTCGTCTGATTTGTGTTCTGAAGACATGTTGAGAGAATCCCTAGATCAACCAAGATGAATGAAAGATGGGGTGTTTCTTAACCAAAAAAAAAGGATCTTAATACCACTTACATCTGGACTATCTTGTACCCTTTCAAATCAGACAATCCTCTACCTTGCATCGGTAGAGAGCTCACGTGGAGCTGTGGATAAAGTATCAAACGGGAGTTTCTTATCGTGACGATGATAGCAGATAGCGTTCGTGCATTTTGATATCTTGAAGCGGATTGCATCATAATTTGGCCAGAGCAGAGAAGGTGTATACCCGAAGTCGGATAGTGCCCCTTACTAACCTACAGCCGCGACAGATCAGTTGTAGCCAAATAACCAACACTTCATTCGAAATCCCCGACATCCCATAGGTCCGTCTTTTACATTTACCCCTGCTTGATATCAATCCAGCGATAACATCCCATTCTCGAAGTTATAAACTACTTAATCGGCTCCGAGAATGCTTGACCCGCAAAGTAAAGCTGATAAGAATGAACCCTTGGACGCGCGGTCTTGACACAAAACTCGAGGGTGTTTGAATGATATCCTGAGAGATGCTATCATCATTCGCCATCTTTTTGATAGCATTGACGATTACCCCGCTGCAGTTATCTAAACAATGACTTATCCGGTCGCTTTAACGAGTAGTCAGTCATTGGAGAGATTACAGCATGAAGACGATGTTGTTCTGGCCCTGGCGATGTTGTAAGATTACAACAGCCATTTGGGAACAGATCTTGTTATAAACGCGATGCTCATATCTGCTAACACGAATGTCCAATTGATTGAGCTCAATCTGATTCTCCCAGTAGAATTTATATTGACTTTTGACTTCCAGAAATGTCTCAATTAGATCGACAGGAGTAATGGCCTTCTGTGAAAATCTGTTATCATTGAATTTATTGAAGTTGATATGAAGGCGGTGAAGTGAACCCGGCTAGTTTAGCACATGCATTTGTGCCAATGCCGAAAGGTTACATTTGCCGCACAAGTACTATCGCCGCATTCTTTCGTCAATCTGAAATGTCTATATTAATAGGTACCTATCATGACAAGAATAAACCAACCCGGATGGAATAGATTAGAGGCTTTATAGATTGATCGAAATCGTTGAGATGGCCAAGGAATGATAAGATAGATTGTGAAAGGGCCGGGCCAACGATGTCACTTCTGATAAGGTTGGCGGGGAGGGGCCGCCAGATCTGATAAGATTGCGGAGAGATCAAGAGATGGTCACGTTTGTGGATCAAGACATCCCCTTTATATCATACGAATGTATTGAAGTATACTACAAACTTTCAGTCACCCTTCATTCGCTCAATTCACTGAAAAATATTGAATCAATCTTCTGCCACCAGCAGAATTGTGTCAGCATTCACCATCATTTGACTTGAACCAATATCTTAATAGCCACTTGTGAAACTACCTGGGTATACAGAACAACAATCTCAAGGTCTACTACTACACATTTTAGGTACGAGAATCAATTTGCTGTTTCAAATGATATACTGATAGTTCCTCAGAGTATTCCCAATTGAAGCCTAAAAATACAAAGTACCACTAGCACCATGAAGACTATTTCCAAAACTTCAGATGGTCTTTCGATATCAATAGCACCAAAGCCATCGGAATCAGCAGTCTCTAAATACTTACCGGTCTCAAATCCTTTGGAAAGTTTCTGGCAATCGGAAAAACACAGGTTGCATGATCATCGCTCTACAGAAGAACTCCCAATTCATAGCGATGTAGTCATTGTCGGTGCAGGGTACGCCGGCGTTAGCACTGCATATCATCTAGTCAAGGAGGGTGGCAATTCGATCAATTCAATCACCATTATAGAAGCACGTGGTGCATGTTCAGGTGCAACTGGTCGAAATGGAGGTCATTTGAGACCAGATCTGTATGGTCATATTCCAACTTATGTTGAGCGAGGAGGACCACGAGCAGGAGCTGAGATTGCCGAATTTGAAATTGCTCACGTCATGGAGATCAAGAAAATCGTCGAGAAAGAGAAGATCAATTGTGACTTTAGTCTCTGCAGGTCGATTGATGTGTGGTGCAATGAGGAAGTTGCAAAGAAAGCCAAGGACGTTTATGACCAGATGGCGAATAGCAATTTTGAGTACATGGATGATGTCATTTTTCATACTGGAAAGGACGTTGAGGGTGTAAGTGATTTTTCGTACAATAGAACTCTTAATTACTGACTTTTCCCCAGATTTGCGGCGTCAAAGGTGCAAAGGCTTGCGCTTCATACACAGCTGCGAGTATATGGCCTTATAAGTTCATCTTGGGACTTCTCGAAATACTTTTGCCAACTGGAAAAGTTAACTTACAGACCAATACACCGGTGACAAGTGTAACCAGTGATCCCAATGGAGGTTTCATTGTTGAGACAAACCGAGGAAAGATACATGCCGGTAAGATCATATATGCCAATAATGCATACATCTCCGCCCTTTTGCCTGAATACGATCAAAATATTGTTCCCTGCAAAGGCATATGTTGCCACATAACTGTACCCGAGGGAAAAACTGCACCTCTTCTGAACAACACTTATATCAATCGAACAGAAGACAACACGCTTTCATATCTCGTTCCCAGAGCAGACGGTAGCATTATAGTCGGTGGCGCTGCGTCAAAGTTCAAACCTCATAAGGATCAATGGTACAATAACGTTGATGACAGCATTCTCATTGACTCAGCAAAAGATTACTACGAGAATTATATGCAGGAAACATATCGCGGTTGGGAGGATTCAGGTGCCAAAATCGACAGTATCTGGACAGGTGTGATGGGATATTCTTACGACTCCAACCCTCACGTTGGTGAAGTTCCCGGAAAGCCAAACCAGTTCGTCCTTGCTGGATTCAATGGTCACGGTATGCCAGTTATTTGGTTATCGGGTAAAGCGGTTGCCAAGATGGTCTCTGAAGACGTACCATTCGAGAAAACGGGTGTTCCACGGTTATTCAAAACGACTCAGGAGAGGATAGATCGAGCGACGAATGGGAGCGAAGAACAAGGTGATATTCTTGGTACTGGGAACCAGAAAGCCACAAAACAATGAACGCTGTCTCGGTCGTCATCAACTGCTCCTCTATCGCTCGACAAGGATGAAGGAACATATATATCTTGGCTGAAGAGAATGAATGCAATAGGTATTGCTTTCTAAATGTGATCCGTAGTAGCAGAACACCTTTCTGGGTATCGGTCACTAGGAGCTGAAATAATTTGACTATATTATGCTCGGCTGGGAACATGGGGAGTTTCGGTTCTAATTCATAATGTTGCAATTGAAGATGAGCAGGGTTACGGAGTCAAACAAAGACTATTATTTTCATACACTCTCTACCTACTGAATCACTGAGTTCAAGATGGTTTTTAATATTTTATATATTGCATAATTTTATTTACATAACAATTCGCTTGATGGTATTCAAAAACATTGTATTGTTCCCTTTGTGTTTGTTATTGCAGTCCTTTAGTTCTGTGACTATCGTTGTAAAATAGCATGAGATTGAAATTTCGAACAAGAGTATAGAGTACCTGCCAAATACTTGCCATCTTCTGAGTACTATTCACTTCATTTGAGGGTTAACGGTGAGAACGTAACAAAAACCTTCTGCGTGCTGGCGTCCAGATGAATAATCTTCGAATGCTAATAACCGGCTTTTCATGAATCGGCCGTCCGGTTCTCAGTCGGGGAAAGTGAATGTCCCGCCTATATATTCAACAAACTTAGTATGTTCAATATTATTATTATTCAAAATGACCAAAACGAGAATGGCACACTCGGTTGTGCGGGACACTCGCTTTTTTTGACAGGCAGTCGATCCCCGGAGAGCTGACTATCAATGCCCAAAGGCGCAGATAGTGGTTATGTGATATGGAATAGGTTCCTGTAGCCATCAGATTGTGATGATTTGTAGTCAGACCAGATACTCACTAATTATCCAACGAAACCACAGTTAGGATAAGAACTACATTCATCTCAATATCCCAGCTCAGACCTGACACGTAGTCTTTGACTTGGTAGAAAGATATCGGAGAAGACTTTTATCCACAAGATTTTATCTGGGTCGAGAGGTTTTTTAATCTTCCGAAAGCTCTTTACCAGGTGGCAACCTATAAATCTTCATATCTCGCGCGATGCTCCGCACACTGGACATGATACGCCTTGCGGCGTTCTTTTCGGTGCTCCTTCCTTCCTTTTCACCCATCTGTAGACAAACACAAGAGCATTATAAACCCCAATAATGAGTCAATGACTATGGTCATTCACTACCAAGTCTAATCAAGGCCTAGCCTCTTCATCACATCCAATTGATGTACTTCCTCCAACTTTGCCGCTCCAGCCACGAGGTTTCACTTCTTGCAACTCTAGAGTTATGAGAATCCGAACTTCCAAGGTTCCAAAACAAAATGATATATAGCCTCTTGGGGTCCTAGCATGCTCTAGTATACTTAAGCAGATTGGTTTGGTGGAAGATTGGAACATGGAATCTATGGGCGAACACTGTAGGAAGCACTTGATCGAAGTTGAGTCGGCTGTACTGCGCTTTTGACGGTATGCGGAGTTTTTATACGCCCATTTTAAGATATTTGTAGATATACTAATATTACCACTTCTTATCGCTAGCCTTCGCATATTTTTATTGTCTCCTATTGTCAAGTTCATCGCTGTCGTTTTGGGAATAATTGTTATTATTTTAAGAATTTTATAGAAATTCCAACATTGTGAAATTGTTTGACGTCTAATCAAATTCTACCGAAGACTTTACAATATTTCTATGTCGAGCTCTGCTCATCTTCCAAAGTGGTATTCCAAGAACTGATTTCCTAGATTAATGATCGCTTTTTACTGAGAAAGTGATATAGTGTTACGAGGGGTGAGTTGCTTGTATAAATACCCTCACGGGGATGGTCAACGGGTAAGTGATCATATTCACTTCTTAGATGAGCCAAGAACACTACAAGTTAGAACTCAGAAGTGATATCCAAGGGTATTTTAAGGTGCACTAGAGAAATAGGAAATGAAAGATTAAGACGCAGTGAATTTCCTTAAACATAAACAGTACTAGGCCAGGAAGGCAATTCAAGGCTCGCTAAGAACAAAACTGCCATTGAGTCACACTCAGCTCGAAGATATTACAAGCGACGTGGGAGGGAGCTAAGCCCGGCAATTGACCCCTTTGCACAATGCTGGAAAGAGATCAAGCAATATGGAAATATTTGAAAACGACAATGATGGCTTCCATCTATAATCATGGAAAAACAACCATGACGCAAGTAGGTGACACCTGATTGCGAGTAGGCAGAGACTCCAGTAAACATTTTGCGACCCTAGACCCTATTTTAATCATAAATCGTTTCATATATGTATGTTTTCTGAAAACAATAACAGTGGGCTATAAATTCTATAAGATATCATTCGTAAATCCAATCCCAAAATCGTAACAAAGCTAAATCGCACATACATCTAAACAGAAGAAGCTACTTTGCCAGCCTCGATATCACTGTTACTCACACTAATGCCTTCACTAGCCTTTTCCCTCGACTCCTCCTGTTTCTTCATCTTCTTCTTCGTACCTAGACCACCCAATCCAGTCATCGCCTCCTTGAAAGTAATCGCAGGATTAAACAAGTTTAACGCAAAACAAGCAACGATGACCATCACCCCTTCAAACCCAATAAATAGATTTTGCTGCCTAATAAGATGTCCCGTCCATCCTTCTGCCAATTCTGCGACTCTGTATACAGATCGCCAGAAGATACAGATAGTAGCAAGAGCAAGAGCGGCTATAAATCCCTTGAAGGCTCTGGAAGATCGAAGAGTGATAAAAGCGGGATTTTGGTCGAATGCTGCGGAACCGAGGGATCTATATCGGGAGCGTGTGCGAAGGGCGAAATCGACACAGAGGACCATGAAGATGAACAAGGTTAAGACTTGGAATGCGAGACCGGCTACCATGATGTTATCGCCAATGTCGGGAGATTCATTCGAGTGGGAGGCTGCGGATGCTAAACCACCACCTGCGGCTTGTAGGAGAAGAGATATGAGATCACAAGGGATGAACTGTGAGACGGTCAATTTTTATGTATAGAAGGGCGAATGACCATGATATGGACATACAATTCTGGTATAAGCTTCAGGACTAATCCTTGAATTTTCCGGTCCAAACGCATACACGATTCTCCTCAGGCACAAATAAATTCCTCCCGCCATAAACGCCGGTGCAATGGTCAAGCAGACAATCTGCATGAGAAATCCATTCTGTTTCCATTGATTCTGCCAACTCATGATGCGACCTATATACCCGATAACTTCAAGTATAACGCCGGCGCACATGGCGAATGTGAACGCCGTTGCGCGACGAGTGAATGCATATGTCAAGATGAATCCGAGCAATGAGATGCTAAAAAGGGCGAGAAAGGTCGCATTTGCACCGATTGATACACGGTAAAAGTAATAGGATGTAGATATGGGACAGAGATCGACTGTGCAGTCCGCATAATTATCGATCTGGTTTCGAGGGAGAAGCGTAAAGAGGGAATTCATGGTGGCGATATATCGAAGATAAGAGATATCGATGAATTTTTGTCCCTGAATCAATGGAAACTAGACAATGATGAGTATTCGGAAACTCGCGGGAAAGACTCTATAAATGAGAGGCTAAAAACTTTGATATACGAAATAAGATGTAAGATGTAAGATGTAAGACGCAGGGTGAGGGCACGGCGTAAGATGCAAATTTGAAAAATACTTTTCCGTAGCCGTTTGTACGCAAAACAAGATTTCGAAACAATACCAAAAACGTTAAGGCAATGATTTACCTTGAAAGCAATAAACCAGAACGACGATAAAGAGAGAAAATACTTATGTGAAGGGCTGTCATCATTTCTATATATTAATTGGATTATTGTAATCGCTTTGACTGACGTTCATGGGTGGAGGAATGTGGTTGGGACGAACTTTCGGAGCAACTATCAGCCCGGTGTCAGACTAGCGGCATGGGAATAACGGTATGATGATGGCATCGGTTAAAATTAATAAGAGATTTCATTTTCTTGAATTCAAAGGAAAGCGAAGCAAATAGGGACTGTGCAATATTTATATATCCTTACTGCAAATAGTCGATACTATGAAGCTATGAAGCGACAATCTATCCCTCGAAATGTCTCTCACAATACTAACAGACAAAATTGAAAACCTCAAGTTCATCACTCTCCCGTTTTCATATTTTACCCAGCTTGGTCAGCTATTTTCAATTTTCATATCAGAGCGGTTCCAAGTATCCGCCTTTTCTTATATAGACCTATCAGCAAACTCTGTAAGCGAGCCCGAGCCGCGTTAGTGGGGGTCGCTTCCGTTTGAGCTAGGTCGTCTAGGCTGTCGTCTTCGTGTTCTTAACTCGGTTCGTATTATGAACCAATCGGAATCTGCAGTATCCGACCCCCTGTCTTTATTTTTCGCCTTCTAGAAAACCTTTGTTGATACTGCTTGAGTAGATATTATCTTTACATCGTTTCATTTATAACGGAGTCTCTTTTTGAGCTTATACAACTCGTTTGTGTGTCTAAAGCCTTCTAGATCGAGTGTCCTTGATAGAAGATGTTTCCTTGGATTTAGTTAGATCGATTATGAAGTACTCCTACATACAAGTATCACTACGAATAAGATATGCTTTTTATCAAACGTCTCCTCGTCTCCTCGTCTCTAGGAATCGCTGTGCCCAAGCTGTTTCATGACCAATGCACTATTTGGGATTGGAGTGGTAGGACGAATCGACCTGGAAGGTTAATTTGTTTATACCAAGTTTTAAATAAATGCTGACGACCTTCGTGATTTTCGTTAACACAAACAAAAACAAGTGTTGCCAAAGGCTTCAAGCTTTCAGAAGAAATGTGTCATCGACCTTATCACCCACATTTACATCAGAACTTAGAAGCTTCTACTATAGATCCAAGAAGATTGAGGATGAGGGTCTCCAAAAATAGTACCAATAATAAATTGTTTAATCAATAAGCTTTTAATCTTGTGCGAACAGCCCGTTATCTAAAACACCTTGACCTTTGATTACCTACCGGCGGTATTCGATCCAGAAACATGGAGGCATGCATGGGTGGGTGGAAATCTCCAGCCAGCGATGTGGCCCGCAAATGCGAGCTGTGAGCACTGAGCACCTGTAAAACGATCGGAATTTAATCTTCATCTTTCTCTTTCTACCTTTCTTGCTTCAGGTTGAGCTGCTGAGAAGACAAGACAATGATGGTACTCGAGTAAGTAAGTCTATATCAGAATATCAGAGGTCTTTTGCTCTGCTCGGTCAGCCAACTCTCCATCTCACCTCCCAGCTCGTATAATACTATGTTCGATAGACGACATTGCTACTTCAGAATGCGTCAGGTTGAAGATGGCCATGTGACTGTAATCCACGGACCCTTCATCGAAATAATACTATACTGCTATACTCGTACATTGGATATCCAAAACAAAAAACGCTATGTTCCAGCTTCAAAGTTGATATTTTCACAACATCAACCATCTTACTATCTCACTCTCAGATTCCGATTCTATAGATCAATCAAACATCATCATTCCATCATCCTATCATCCACCTATTTTATACCCGGTTGTGGTACTATGTCTCAAGGATGATCTGTGGAATATGCTTTGGCTCGATGAAGATGAAGATGAAGATGAAGGTAGAGGATTATAATATTGTATTAAGAAAGATAAAATGGTATTTTGGTTTCTTTCTGATTTGTGGGTTGTGTTTCGTGAGAATTGAAGATGTTCATAAGTTATAACATGCTGCGTTCATAGTAATTGCAGACAGTAATTGCAAACCTGGGTTTGAATCGAATGGATGATTAAATCTCTCCTTTCACTGGTTTTTGAACGTATTGAATATGTCGGACGTGTCGAAGGTATCGAACGTCAGACGCAACAATCTGGTAGAATATATTCCCGTCAGGGAATTGTATCTATTGGCAGATGTGATGGGATAAATTTTCACTCTTGTAAGCATTGCATATCCTATATACAAAATATTTATTAACATAAAATTCAAATAACAAAAGTGGCCGACATCAACCTTACATCCCTTCAATTCCAAGTCAAACTGGATATTCAAAGTAAGCAATTGTGTTTGTCACAGATCGGATATGCACATATAGCCTCTCTGGCCAGGAATAAAGCTCGATCTTCAATAGTCTCATTCCATTGCTCTAAATAGAACTGGTCGTTCAAATTACAATGTATGGATCCAAGCCAATCTGGAGAGGACGGATTGTATGGACCAACAACTTGCTCAGAGCTTCGTTGATAGCTTTCCTACTCCTGTATGTAGTAACGTCTGGTGTCTCGTGCCAAAAGATCAAGCGTTTTTGTGCTTCCGTGGACTCGGAAGCTTCGTATGCAAGCTTAAGCTGCAGCTTCCAATCTTCGTTTCCAGCAAGGTCCTCTGTACATCGACTGGCACCACTCCACAAAGTCACAAATTTGGATGTTTGAGCTTCTCTATCCAATAATAGGATCACATATTGCTGAAAACCGTTTTGTCCGGCGTCGCATTCGTAATGAATCACCTTCTTACGTCGAATAATTGGGAAACGGTCAAAAGCTCCAAAAAGCGGGGTCTGTAGACTATCTCGAAATGAATGTCGGGGACTAGGATCGATGAAAGCAAGTTGGGACATTGCTATCGTTGTGATAACATATTGAGGCGGTCCAAGAAATTCAAGTGGACAATTTGTCTGTTCCCGGTCGTAGATCTTGAAAACGTAATTAGAACCGGGAAACCGAGATAAAGTGATGTCAAGTGCGTAACGAAAGCTGTCGAAGGTTGCCATCGCGGGACAGGACATAATACGACAAGGTCGACAATCACCTATTCTTCCAGGATACATATCGATGCTCAGAACGTAGTTAAGGCGCTCGCATGTCAGTCTGTGCCATGGCCAATGATTTTCCGCACATTGAATATCTGAAGAGATTCAGCTGAAGTGATTCAATGGCCGAGAAAAAAAAAACATACCACAATACATCTGCGACTGGCATTCCTGACACTTAAAACCACCTGAATAAAATCGATTCTGGCAGCCTGGGAGGCCACATACCATGGCTGGCTGAGCTATTTCAGACGCCATGCTGCCCTAGTGATATAAATTTCCGGAATTTAGGGAAGACAAGCCTTTCATGTCCAAGACTTGACGTTAAAACCAATACAGCAGAGCCCAAAACGTTCTAGCAGTAGCAACTGAAGCGATATGCGTATGTATAAGTTGTTGTAAAAGGGGAAGAAACTTGCGGCAGGATATCAGTTTAGGTCAAGAATTTTCAGCTCCGTAAGGAAAGAACCAATGGCCGCGAAGCTCTTTCTCATTCTAGGATACCAAGCACAATGCTCCTTCCAAAAGAGTGACACAGCTGATCACCTTTTGCTCACCGTAGAAGTTACTCAATGACTATCATCTAGAAGAGTTGCGTAGAATGAAAATTCATGCCTTCTGTTGCCGCGGCGGAAGGCAGATTATAAAAGCCAGACTCTCGAGTAGTGAGCAAATTGACGAACCGCTCAATATACGTGCTGGAATTTTCATCCGAAATAGCTTGGAATACCGAATTCCATAATTGTCGTACCAGCCAAATTCCTTCCTCCCCTCCCCCTATCCCATACTCAAGCACTTCCTCCTCTCAACCCTTCTCTTCCAATGCACATGATTAAAATGCAATGCCAAATCCTCCACTCCATGTTCCCCCCCAAACTCCCTATCACATTCCGGGCACTCCAGTTCCTCCCTTTCCAAAATCGTTCCCATCTGCACCTCGGTACGAGGATTATGATTATGCATTTGCAACGGTACTTCGATTGTGATCACGAAATCCGACGTATCGATCTCCACCTCCACCATCGAATCTTCACGACTCGAAATCGACAATGCGAAAATGAGCGCAAAGTCTTTCGGAGGATTGTAGAAACTCTTGACACGGCGTAAAGTTGGTGTATACCTATCTCCGCAGTTGCCGCGTTGGGATTTGATGTACCGTTGGTGCAGGGAAGAACATGGCGATGCTCTCCGGAGCTCCTTGAAACCCATGCTGGTGTCATGATTTTGGTTTTGGTATCTCGTCGTCGCAAAATTATTGACTCTCGAATTCATACCCGTGGGATGCGTGGATTGTCAAGATGATGAATCATGCGCGGGGAAAATACGTGAATAAGTCCCGTGCATCCCTTGTTTGTCAGATGTTCTTTCCCCGCACTGCTGAATCTGAGGGCGAACATCATCAAATATAACAAGTTATGTTTGTGATGTTTCTACACATGAGAGATGATGTTTCGTGAGTTGAAAGAATTCCATTGTGTCAAAATGTCGTTGTACAGTTTCGGGTTTTCTAGAAGCTTTTCTTGCAAGGGAATGCTGTATATATACGTACGTGGTCCACTCGCTAAAGAAGGGGGTCTCAGTGGGTAGACAGTAAGGTTAATTGGACCAACGTTTTAACGGCCTGGCTTGGGGTCGAGCCAATTAACGGCTTGGCTCGCATTGAAAGATTGATTAGTCTTAGATATTGTGCTGTACAAATAACACATGGGTCCAGGTTTCAGAACATTGACATTAACTCTGTTCTACTCACGAATGTTCTCCAATTTTCTCTTTGTGCATGATTCTATGATCAATAATAGCTAGTAATTAATTTATCACACGCGGGAGTCTTGAATTCAGGAATAAATTAAATTCATGCCATGTATTAAACTCAAATTAGTCAAGCATGACACGGTAATATGGTATGTATATTTGACCGCTTCATTCGGAGTATTGCTCAGGTGAGCCTCAAATCCTAATGTTCTCAGTGTAATGCCCGCCTCTTCGCCTCTCTCAACTAAGTGCAAGTAGTTCTCGACAATTTACTGCACTGCTAGCGAGAGTACTGATATTCTCAATTACCTCCCCATCCAGGCCACCATCTCCATACCTTCGGGCAATCACAAAGACTTTTACAATCAGAGCATCCCTTTCTTCCAAGATTGGGCGATTCATCGATTTCCTCTCGAGGGTTGTGCCAAAGACCATATGCAAATTGATCACCGGCTAACGCGCGCTCTTTCTTTCTTGTATGATGTTTAGCAAATATACGACATGAGAAATCAGAAATGAATACTTTGACCAATGGAAATGCGGAATATGCGATAGTATTGGACAAAAGCATCCAGCTGTATCTTCTTCGTGGGCTTGCTCAGCTTCTCGCTCCCTCAAGAGAGGTTGCTTGCTTGATTGTGAGCTTTGGGACGATTCTTTGTCGCCATCATCTTTTGTGGGCATTTTTGATATTTCCGAGTCTGCAATATTTTTTGTATGCTCTGAACTTCGTTGCTGCTTGCGCATTCGGGCTTCGGCGTCAGACATCTCTGTGGTGGGATATGAGAGTACCTTAAACTCTTCATCAAAGTTTGTGAATGATTGTATGTAGAATATACAGGAAGTCAAAAAGATATTGTAGCGAAGGGAGTTGAAGTCCTTGAGTACATTCAGAGATGTTACTGTTGGTACAGCAAGCAGAAACCTTTAGGCCGTACTTCGAGACTTGACCCCAGGGTTGTAGCGACTGTATCGCAAGGCATCCAGTAAAGACCGTATTCAATCTAGTTCATTGAAATTCCGTGTTTGTATATTTGTGATATCAGACGGACGGAAACGAGAGTATAAAGAGTGATTCGATTTCTTGAAGTCGAAGTCTCATCCATACCACAACATAAATGCCAGGTTTCACCTCTGTTCAAACATTTGATGACTTGGGATGAGTTCTGCCTTCCATCCAATTCTGTCATCAAATCCTCTCCTTGTCCTTACCTTCAGCAAATCTCGCCCTTTATACCTATTTCGTCGCATATGTGTGATCGGGTACCGTTCATAGAGTTGCTTGGAGCTTCGTAGAAATTCGACGGCGGTCTGGAGTTCGGCATATGGTACGGGCCTCGAAATTCCGCGAAGATCAGCTACAAGTGAATAGAGACTCTTCTCGAGTGAAGCAGTTTGAGCAAATATATCGCTGAAGCCAAGCGGGACATCAATACGTCGATCGCCGATTCCATTCTGACGAACCCTTCTATGTCGAGTAGGAATTGATGAGAGAGAAACATCCTCTTCATTTTCATGATATAGTACTCGATGCATGCTTAAATACCTCCGCGCTCGCGCTCGCATTGGAGGACTTGGTATCGCGGAATCAACCCATAGTTTGTAGTAATGATTAGATATATTCGAGGGAGGAGTACAGAGTAGTTGTCTCTTCTATACCTCTGCGCACAGACCCATCAACACATAATATCTACCAATGACGTATTAGGTAACCTAGCTAGCCCAAACAAATAATTTATTTAGTACAACACAAGGCTAAAAGACTTCATTACCACTACAAACACAACCCAACACAAACAAGCATCCTGCTAATAATAAACATGTCACCCTCAAGAGGTCTCACAGTCGAAGAATCTACATCTCCATCCACATCTTCACCACCTTCCTCCAAATCACAATCCCTCACCCCCACCGAACTCACCGCCCAACACCGCAGTTCTAGCGCCCTTCAATCCCTCACCCGCAACATTTCATACCTCCTCTCCCCCAGTTCTCCTACCTCCCCCACCCCCGCACGATTTCGAACGCGCGCTCTTCTTCGCGCTCTACACTCTGTGTCCATATATATATTCTGGCGGGTGGTGCGGTATGCGAAATATGCTATTGTGGGATCAGTTATCGCAGCATTGTCTGCGACGACTATTGGGGGGTTTGCGACTGGGATTGGGTGGGTGGTGGCGCCTACGGGGGTGATGGGGGTGTTGGGAATGAGTATGTTGTGGTGGGTGGGGAAGTGGGGGTTTGGGAAGACGGGGGTTGGGAAGAGGTGGGAGAGGAGGATGAGGGTGGGAAAGGGAGATGAGGCGGATGGGCTGGAGAAGGAGGAAAGGGAGGATGGGGGAGCGAGGAAGGAACGGGTGAGGGTGGATGGACAGTTGAGGGATGTTACTGGGCCGAAAGCTGTGCCGTGGTAGACTGCGTTATAAAAGTTTTCGGGTTCTTTGATGTGTATATAATGTATGATTTCAAGAAAGAGAATGGTCGGATAGATAGTAAGCACGAGTGTACAACATGCAAAGTTGCCATCTTTACAATGTGATCACGAATAGAGTCTGGATAAAGCTTCTTGCTCCAACTTCTACATTAGCAAAAGACCAACGAGAACATATTTTGATCAATTAGACAACTTTCATAATACGGTTAAAGTTGCACTATGTACTCGAGTATTGATTCTTGGTTGTGGTACATTGCGCGAACTTGCAAAACATCAGTATTGAAACATCCACTCCCGGTCGTTCTCAACATCTATGTCAACCAGCTCTAGAAAGCTTATTCTTAGGTTCGATTCTTGAATTTTCATCAATTTTTGACTTTCCCATTATGGACCCGAGTTTGGGCTATTGAGACTTCTGTGGTATATTGAGTAGGTCGAAAATCTGTTATCTGTAACTAAATGCAATAGAACCCCATATGTTTATCCATTTATCCATTTAACAGCATAATCTCAATTCCAATCTCAATCCCAATCCTAGAACTCCAACAGTATTCCCGCACCAACAATTTATATGAATCAAGGATCATCTTCCAATTTGATCCATCCCAAATCAGTACCCTGTCTCTCCTTCTCTTTCATTGCTATTTCCTTTTCAACCGCTTTTTCTTTTTCTAATTCTTGCTCCGCTCTTGCAATATTAGCTTTGCGTTTACAAATCCAGGAGATGGCGACTAGGAGGAAAATGAGGAGGGTGGCGCCGGCGATGGATATTCCTACGATTTTGGCGGTAGAGAGGTGGGAATTGGAAGAGGGAGGTGAAGATAAAGGGGATGGGGAGGGGGATATTGTCGGGGATGAGAGCTCGAAAGGAGTGGTAAGAGGTGTCCAGTAAGAGGACCAGGTGTCTTTCCACTGGATGTTTGAGATATTGAGAGAAGTAGAATCCGGCTGCAAATCTATTAATTTTTCATTTGCAAAACCGGGACCAGGTGCTTGAGCAAGAAAGAATGGAGGATTAGGGGAAGAAGTGGTCATGTTCGACGAATTTGTCCATATGGTTCCTAAGAAAGCAGCTTGAAGGAATGCGCGACCGAGGGCCCAAGATCCGGAGGAGAGGGAGGAGGGCTGGCAGGGGAAATAGGAGACGGGTTCGGAGGTGTTGGATAGAGGGGATGTTAGTGCAAGTGAGAGGAGGGAGAAGGGGATTTTGATAGATGTCTGGGTATTCTTGTTATCTGAGTCTGTGTTAGAGAATGTGAAGGCGAGGTAGGTGGGTGATGAGATGATAGGTTTGTAGAGTGGAGATGTAGCGTTCCAGAGAAAGAGATTTAGGTCCTCGTTGTAGATTATGGGGAGGTGAGAGGCGAGAATATCGCAGGTGGATGTTGGAAGGTAAAGATACGGGACTGAGGGATCAATATCCACGGCTAGTGAGTCGTTAGAGGCGGCAGCTGTTGCCGCGTTGAAGAGAAGCCCGGATTTAGTAGAGTTGAAGTTGAATGGAGAGTAGCCGGCAGCAGTACCAATAGATATATCAACGAGTGACAAGGGAAATGTACCGTTGTAGCCTTGCTGCGCAGTGAAAGATTCTAATACTCGAGATTGATCGTATCCCCCGAGCACCAAACTTCCGGGAATACCAATTGAAGCGGAACCAATATGTAAACCGAAGGAATTTGATGGGATCTTACCTTTGGAATATAAACCAGAGGAAAGAAATTGACCAGTGAGATTTGAGGAGAATGTTTGAGTGAGGTCTGGAGAACCTAAGGCAAGGGTTCCGATTTGAGGTGTATATGTTGTTCCATTTGATAGGGTTTGATTGGCATTCTCAATAACGAGGAGTTCAAAGTTCTCGATGGAGTAGCTATCTGTTTCGTTGGAGACTATCAAGGTATCAAGTCCTATATTAGCGGTACCAGACAGTATAGGTAGTGCACCAGCTTGACTTGCAAATGTAGTATTGGAAATGATACCAGTAGAGTTGATCTGCGTGTAAGAAGACGAGGAAAGTGAGTTGAAAAGACCAGCATTTAGCGATGGACAATCTGAAAAGTTAGAACAAACTGAAGTGCTCAAGATATTGGATGACCATGATCCGCCTGGGAGAAGGTCAATATTTTGAGAAGGTGTACCAATACTGATTGAAACAGCTTGCCATGGACCATCAAGACCATAACTTGTATTCGACCATTGGAGAGAAATGGCATTAGTTTCAGCCAATGCAAGGGAGATGAAGAGAGAAGTCATCATCAGTGATATTACTCTCGACTTTGAACATATTGGCGCCGCCATTATGAAATATATCGCATTTGTTAAAATTAAAATGAAGATAGAAAGAGCCTGACAAAATGAAAGAGAATACCACGGTGTGTTTATGATACGACGAGAAGCTTGCGCCGCCCTCCTCTACCCTGCGATTCATAGCAAGAATAACAACTTATGCTTTGTTGGGCGCTTCAGCCGTGAATCATAAAGATCATCTGAATCCTTCAGCCCTAACTCAAACCTGAAAGACATCAAATCATTTGATTTCAGCGCTTGAGCTCTCGAAATGGGCTTTTGAAAAAGCGAAGCAAATACCTAAGTAGTTGGAACGAACTTTACTGACCCGCGCGGCTGTATTACTTAGCAACACATCGCCATCTACAGTAGAACTTGTTTATACCGGACTCCATTATACCGGAATCCTGGTTATACCGGAATAATTTATCGAATTCTCTGATTTTTGTATAGTGATACCGGATTTTTAGCTAATACCGGAATACCGTACAACTTTTTCGAAAATCCGGTATAAATAATAGGATCTTATTCACTGAATAGGCCTAATCATATTATATTTTCCAATATCACATAATCAATTTGAATATCATATGATTATTTTTGAATATCACATGATTATTTTCAATATATTTGTATAAATTTTGTATAAATTTTGTATAAAATTTTATACAAACTTGGGTATACCGGAAACCTCTTTATACCGGATATGATTGATCGAATTTTTCGTTCCGGTATAAACAAGTTCTACTGTATGACGTCAAGTCAACGTGAAATAAGCGAAGGTCACCCCCTTCATCATTACACTTTGGCTGTGCTGCGATAAGAAATCAGAGGCCTAGGTACTTGATTGATTGGGTTGGAGAACTATGAATCCGGCCATTGGGCATAGGAGGACGGAGAAATCTTCTAATCATGTTTGAATATTTTCATTGTGTAGTTTGAGTTCAGAGGTTGTTTGATAATAATATTCAATGAAGGGACAGAAGTATAGATGTGACGTTCAAAATGTGATGTTGTAGATATGAAATAAGAAGTTAAGGAGAGGAGACGAGAGGGAGGGATTCAATCACAGCCACAGCCTCGCATGATGTGGCGCCAGCGAGGCTGCAAGGCTATATATGATATGATTATATTAATTCTGCTTCCTCCCTTGCTTGGGCATCATCGATTCAATCCATACCTAAGGAGTCATTCAATAAAATGTTGGGTAGAGGTTGGAATACTAGGCCTCTTTGCCTCCAAAAAAGAGTTCTCAACAAACACAAATTACAAAGGTTGACTCCGTACACAAAAAATAAGTTTCGATAACATCACTCACTCTCAAAAGGCTATTTCCTCCTCCTGGATTCCAATACTTAGGATACAAAACCAGAGCTACAAAAATGTCTACTTTCCAAATCCCAGATAGCAACGTCGATGTTACACTTTGTGAAGGTATCACCAAGAATGAATTATTGGAATTTCCAGCATTTAAAGTACATGCCAACCCCTCCTCATTAAACCCCCCTTAAGGACATTTACTAACATCCTCTTCCTTCATAGTCATGGCACAATCGCCTAACCACATCTCTTGCCCTACAAGACAAATCCTCTGATCATCCTTTCCATTCCGATCCCTACAATCTCCGTTCCATCAAAATCCAATCACTCGACCGCTGGGGTAAACGCATTGGTTTTATCAAGATTAGCAGCAAAATTACAAATGAAGCAGGCGAATCTCTTCCCGGGGACATCTTCCTCAGAGGTCCAAGTGTAGGCATGATGGTTATTGTCCAACCCGCAGATATCAAGAACCCCGATGAGGAAAGATGGGTAGTAATGACCGTTCAACCTCGACCTGCTTCAGGGAGTTTGGCATTTATTGAATTACCGGCTGGTATGGTTGATGATGTGACATTCAAAGGTGCAGCTGCGAAGGAGATCGAAGAGGAATTGGGCTGGACTATACCAGCAGATGAATTGAAGAATTTGAGTGAGCTGGCTATTGGGGATGAGGCGAATAAAGAGGGAGAGGTGTTGCCGAGAGCAATGTTCCCTAGTGCGGGGGGCTGTGACGAGTTTGTTCAGATCTTCTTGCATGAGAAGAAGATATCGAGAGAAGAGTTGAAGAAAACTACGGGTAAGCTTACAGGGTTGAGGGATGATGGTGAGAAGATTACACTGAAATTAGTCAAGTTGGAGGATTTGTGGAAGGAGGGTGCGAGGGACAGTAAGGCTTTGACTGCATGGGCTCTCTATGACGGTTTAAAGCGAACCGGGAAACTGTGAATACCTAGAATCATGGCCGTGAAATTGTAAAGTACAAAATATATTGCATTGCGCTTCTGTGTAGGCCTTTACACTAACATATATCGTGTATTCTATTATCATTATGTTCATCCGTCTATCGTAACATCATACTCGTAAATTATTTCGAGAATAAATTGAACGTTCTAGCAACTTCAATCCCCTCGGCCAATGTTCCCACTCTGGCGTCTATCGCATATCCTTCTTTCTCCCACTTCTTACATGCCTCCCATAAATCTTTCAGTGGTAATGTAAACACTTCTATAAATTCGCTTTCTTCGAGTTCAGGTACTGGGAATTGGTTCGCGGGGTTGGACATATCGATTGTGACGTGAACCATTTTGAGGTTTGTATTGCAAAATCCTGGATCTGTAATAAAAATGGATTAAGTGGTAGTTCTATGTAAGTATGAGGAAGGAGAGGGGGGGGAGTACCATTGAACATTATGGGCGTACTCTCGCTGAGAACTCCAATATAGCCTGTCTCTTCTTTCAGTTCTCTGATAGCCGCTTCTTCTGGAGTTTCTCCCTCATCGACAAGTCCAGCTGGTACTTCGATCACTACTTTATCCAGTGGTGGCCGATATTGTTTCTGCAATACTAATTCCGGGCCTGTACTCCAATTGCATTAATATTGACGTCTTAACCAAGTGGATATCTTTCCCAAGGCCTTTGCATACCGGTCTCTTTCTTAATTATAGCAACGATGCCTACCCCATCTACTTCAGAGGACTTTGGTCTCGTTGATCGTTCCGCATGTTCCCAAGTACGGACGTTTCCTCCAGGATCGCAGTATGTTGATCTGAGGAATTCGCAAAGGTATCAGCTGCATTGATCCTGGCAGCTTTAGGTTGGGCAGGTATTCGAAACGTACTGAATGAGTTTTGTCCATTTCGCCTTTGCCGGGTCCTGCTTTAGAGTCAGTTTTGATGGTTCTAAACAATTCGAGGATATGAGGGAATACGGTACTAATGGCTCTGTTTTTAGGACTTTTGCGCTGTTTATTGACATCTTGACTAGGGATTTTAAGATCATAGGTAAATATGTGAAAGGGAAGAATCCATAAACAAGAATAGGAGGTTGTGTTGGATCAAATACTTTTTGATGTAAAAGTCCTAATGTAGATCTTGATGTTGTTGATTGCACGGCGTGACGGCGGCTTGGTCGAAGCTCGGCTTTGGCGTTGGTGTTAGTGATGGATTTATTGGCATCATTCTTCCTCTTATCTCTCTTATTCTTCATCATTTTCAATCATCCTCAAGATCTGGGTAGAATCTCATGTTCATGCGATATATTTTTGAACTGAAATAACATCGACTGTTCACACTGTCACATACATACTCGTACAAATAAGAAGACTCATTCTATTTTGTTGTCATCGTTTTGGTGTAGCAGTGCAATTGCATGCGCGACAAAACGAAATGCGCTGGCACCTTTCATTACTATCCCACCACTTGCTGAAGTTATTAGGATACTCTTCTCCTCATCGATCGCATTCACAAAGGATCATAATATCCAAACGACTGGGAAAATGGGAGAGAATATCCGACGGCTATGATCTAGTTTCCCATCAAACCCATGGTGCACTGGGTTAACTTTAACTGTCACGGTCACCCTGGCAACCTCAATACCGAATATCAATCAATCTTACCATTATCTCGTTCCTATGATACTGGGCTGGATCTGTACTCTAGCACTGTTGTGCAATAGGAGATATAGTCACACATAAACGCTGTGCCAAGTGTTTCCCATGCCAATATATCTCGAAAAAGCGATCATTCTTCTGAAAGTGCATATCAGGCGGTAAAACTATGAAAGCCTTATCAAAATCACCTCTCCCATCAAGTGATTCTCCAACATGCGACAGAAGCATGGGACTTAGTTTGTGCACTGTCTTGCATATCTCTCAAGCGCGAACTCTCTCAACTGTCCCAATAGAGTAATGAGGGGTAAAGTAGCCATCCAGCAAGCGCTGGCCTTAAGCAGAGCCCCATACCCCGAAATGCAACTCTATCTTACATATGCTTATTATTTTTTGGCGGATCTCATGAGGATCACCCGGCGTAATAAAACATGCCATTTGATTTGATTGCTTGGATGAGCACCCATATCTCGTTATTTAGATACTGGTGCAACCTTTGATGGCCAAGAGAAGGGTCGATCCACCTGATTTTTTCCTCATGGCTCAATGGAAACTTTCTTTTGTGCGGTTTGGACTATAGGTAGCATCTTCTGAAAGTCAGTTGATGATTTTTACATTTAGCCTCTCATATTATACATGAAGAGGGTCGTTTTTGTCTTTTCTACGCGCTTATTCAACAATAGATCCGGCGATGTACAGATACCAATGGATCGTGTTCGTCACAGGGATCGCTCACGGGTCTTCACCATTGTTTGCAGGTAAACCAACGTGTTTGCACACAGTATCACTTGGCAAAGATGAAGTTATTGTATTCATAAAGGTTGGAGCTTCCCCAATCGGTTGTATGGTTTTGTGTGATATTACCCAGCATTCAAGATGAAGTTTCTCAATCTTCTCACACTTGTACCCCTAATTCAGGCGATTCCAATCGAGCCACTGGCAGCTCAGAATTCTACCCATGATATAGCCACAACTCCGCGCCTGGCCGTTTACGTACAAACCTACCATGATGAACACAATAAAGATATGAATCTATCTATCCTACCTCTACTGGATGCAAATATCCAACCAACTCATGTCATCCTCGCCGCCTTACATGTTATGGCCACACCCGGGCTTATTCATCTAAATGACGATCCTCCTAATGCTCAAATGTATGATGAGTTGTGGTCTCAGGTGCAGGCTCTTCAGACTGCAGGAATAAAAGTATCGTGTATGATGGGTGGTGCTGCCCCAGGCACTTGGGATTCCTTCGTTGGTTCTGATACCGAGGTAATTCGGAACTCATTAATCACTATCGTCAACTCATTACTAACCTTTCTTCAGTTTCATCAATACTACGACCCACTTCTAAACAACTTCATCAAGAAATACAATCTTGATGGTATAGACATTGACGTTGAACAATTCGTGGACCTCACGGTTGCTCTTCGTTTTATCAAACAGCTCTATAATGATATGGGTCCCGATTTCGTCATTACAATGGCACCAGTAGCTTCAGCTCTATCGTTTGGCGGCAGTCTTTCTGGCTTCTCGTACGCAGATCTCGACGCTCAAGCACGAGACTCAATCACTGGCGCACCAATGATAACGTTTTTTAATGCCCAATTCACCAATGGGTGGGGATATGCAGGAAACACCAACGATTATGATGCTATCATCAATGCAGGCTGGGATCCCTCGAGAGTGGTCATGTTAGTGTCGGCTGCGACGAACGATGCGAGTGGATGGGTCCCGATTAGTACGCTTCAAAAAACGATCAGGAGTTTGAGAAATAAATATCCGAATTTTGGGGGTGTTAATGGGTGGGAGTATTTTGATGCAGGGAGTAGTGATGGTTTGTTTCAGCCATATATGTGGATGGCAGATTTGAGGATAGCGCTGAATTATTAATGAATGATTTTGGGAATTCGGGGAGTCTTGTTGTGTAGAGGGCGAAATTGTAGATATCACAATTAAGCAATGCTATCTAATATTGTTGTTCCATGTAAATGATCCTATGGTGAAGTGAAGAGGAAGTCCTAATTTTAATAGATCTAATTTCTGGTCCGTTTCAAGAAACATGTACAGACAGATCTGGATTCCGAACCCCCAAAACTCCATGTTAGATCTCAGACGAACTACAAATTAAGTAGAGATGAACAAGGTAAACAAGATCAACAGGATGGATGAAGGGGAACCGTTACGAAACCCCATGATCAAACCAAACAAACCAAGGTCTGAGCGGACTTGCGACAACTTGAGGTTTCATGCAGGCCTGAGAGCTTTTTACATTCACACAGTATGGATGGGCGTATATCTCTCATTCATATGTAACTCTTGATTCCCCCTTTACATTGCAATATCCACTCACCAATTCCACAGCATCGCCATCACCATCACCATCGACAAAATGTTCAGTAAACTCAGCACCAAGCTCGCACTTCGAAAAGCAGGCCTCCCAACCAACACTCTCTCCACCTTCTCAATCAAAAACCTCGATAATGGCGATCAGAAATCCATGAATTCCAAATCCGGTAAAAATGGTGAGCCGCCAGTTACATGGGCCGAATCATTTTCCAACATGACCTCTGAAGTCAATGTTCCGAAGAGTTGGAAATCATGGGGGAATCCGGCGCCGGCGATAATTGAAGTGGCGGCTGCGCCGGTTGTGGGCACCAAGGCACCTAGTACGGGGAGGTTGATGTTGCCGATGGGGGATGGGAGGGCGTGTGTTGTGGTTTTTTTGAGGTGTTGTGGTTGTGCTTGTGAGTTTTGATGTTTTCTTGTGTTAAGAGGATTGAGTGTTTAGTGTTGAGACGATTTACCCGCTCCGCTCCATGGAAGTGCAATCACATCACAGTCTAGACCATGAGACCGGATCAAGGCTAATTGATACCTTCTTACCTTATCCAGTTGCGGAAAAAATCTTTATCGAACTTCGTCGGTTGGCCAATAAACATCAAAACCTACATTTCATCGCCATATCCCACGGCTCCAAAGTAGCAACCGATAAATGGGTGCAACAAATTGGGGGAGCATGGTCTGTAGAAGTAGTTGTCGACGATGATCGGGAAATCTACGCCAATTGGGGATTGGGAGTTAGCACGACTTGGCACTTGTTAAATCCATGGACGGAAATCGCACGACAGAAACTGGGGAAACAAGAGGGGATTTGGGGGAGAGAAGTCGATCCGAGTGGGAATCGATGGGTGGTGGGTGGAAGTTGGGCTACGGATGAGATGGGGACGATTAGATGGGGTGGTGCTAGTAAGAGTGCAGATGAGATGGCGGATTTGGTGGAGGCTTGTAAGAGTGTGGGTGTTTTGTGACAATCTTTGAGGATGTTGATGTTTGGGGACCATGGTATAATTATGGAGTTATGGGGAGTAATATCGGAGATATTCGGAAATCGGTTTCCGTCGACCTGAAGACTCGGTGAACTTCACTGAGTGAAGAGCTACATCGTCATTTCGTATGCAGGAAACTAGCAGGAATACTGAGGATTTCTGCTTTAAATTGGATCAATTCGGGGTTGTATCGAGATGCATGTGCATCTAACGTTTCACAATATGCAGATCCTAGTATTCTACCTCTATTGGTAGTCACCAACATATCTAACCACTCGGTTGCTTCCTAGATTTTGTGAATAAAGTGAAATCCAAATTACTTTGTTTGAAAACGAAGGAGTTATCTGTCTGAGACGCGTAGAATTCCATGTTGTGTTCCGAAATTAACGAGAGTTAGAAAAATACTCTGTCGTCTAGGTGGAAATGGGAAGTATGGTCGGGCACCAACGTGACGTTGGGATCGAGAGCATTTATTATTAAGCCATCCCAAAGGGTCCCGAATATCCGGCCAAATTCTACAGTAGAGTAGATAACAATTCAACACGTGATTCGACAAATTTTGTCTAATCCCCTAGCCACCTTCCCATATACGATCTAGAACATTGCTTTAGAATGAATTGTTGAAATACGAGATCCACCTTCCACCTCACACAACTTCACACTTCCTTGATTCTCGAAATTCCGCTCAAAAACATTCCATAAATATCTCGAAAAGTGGACTTTCACAAGGAATATCGCTCGCGATGATGCTTGACCCCTTTCTCCATAGCACTCGAGGCCCTTCCGTTCTACAAAGTTGTGGGTTTATGGCGGATCCTTGCTCAGGCGTCCGGAAAAGCTTGGTGAAAAGGTTAAATACAGATCCAAGGAATTTGCCCGTGGTGGAAATTTGCCATATCATGTGGTGAGGATATATTGTTCGTGTTATCTCCAAATTTGCATTCATTCTGATTTCCTTCATTTTTTCTGTCCTTTTTGTGTCATTGGTGATGTTATTATTACAAGACTCCATTTTGTTTGTTATTTAAAGCATTGTTTCTATGTCATATCACAATCATTCTTTACGTTGAGGTTTTCATTGGCAGTCGGCTTGATTGATCATAAACCATGGCGGACGAAGAAATCAAGCCTACGAGCAGTATAGAAGCTGGTGGAGGAAGAGATAATGAGCATGAGACCGGATTGACAGGTCTACCGAATCTGCCTAGTATGACGGAAGAAACTGCACATGAGTTACGCGCAGAAGCTCGTGATACCCAGACAAGTCGAGCACACCCAACGGAAAACCCAGGTGGAAGACCCTTGAAAAGATTTGATACACTACCTACACGGCGGAATCAACTTTTGCCAGAAACACGAAGGCGAGGGCGAACTTTGACTGGCCAGACGCCTCAGACTACTGATCTGCCCCCAAGAAGGCAAATTTTCAGGAGAGGAACATCAATTCTGTCGGGAGAAAGCGGGCAGAAAATGGGACCTATTCCTGAGCGAAGAGCCGCTCCTGCTGCGGAGAGAGAGGGTCGTCCCAGTGGCGTTTCTGACCATACTCAGGCTTCAGGTCTTCGCTCACGCTTGGGCACTATAGGTCGTCAACGAGGAGCCTCAATCCGAAGAAGACCAACTGTTGCGCTAGAAGCATTCACCTCGGGAACCGATGCGGGGGGTGGAGATAACTTTACATTGGCTGGACCTGCACCAGTTGAGACCTTGGTGCAGAATCAGCCCTACGTTGATCCAGGTTACGCCCATCTGAATCCTGCTTATGACCAACCCGAGAACATCAGGCCAGTATGGGGTTTAGCCAAACCTTTACCCCGTGTCTTGCGGCCAGGTATGATACCAACAAGAACGGAAGTTAATATGGCTCAGGCCCAGCAGCAGCAACAGCAGCAGCAGGGACAAGGACAGGCAGCTGTTGACTTAGAACAAGGTAGGATCGAACCAACCTTCAAATTGTCCAGAATCTCAACCGCACTTCAAAATGCTAGACAACAAAGGGAAAACAACCTCATGGAAGCACATGGATTGGTGTCGCCGACAAATTTGCACAGTACGACATCTAGGCAGGAACCATTGACTGCCACATCGCAGATAATCCAAGAGGAGGAGCCGACCGATAAGCCCACAGATGCAGATGTAACATCCGTCGAACTTCACCCAACACGCCCACCTCTCTCATTCGAGGGTCGGCTCTCACAGAGCTCACAACATTCGAAAATCGATCCTTTCCCCAGCCTATCAGATAATGATGATAAAGCTTCTGTGGCAACGGAAGTTGCGGGTGAGGATGATCTAGATGGAGATTGGATTGGCCAGGAGATACCTTTGGTGGCCTATGATGCTAATTATGACGAAGAAGTCCATAATCTTCATACACATTGGTCCGTTATACGATTAAGATTTCGAGAACCACTTGCGGAATTATTGGCCGTGAGTCCACTTTTGGCGAAGAACTCTGGTACCCCTTACTAATATACATCACAGGTCACTTGCCAACTTACACTTGGATTCTGCGCGGATTTGGCTGTAACAACATCAGGCAAGAATGCATCGCCAGCAGGAAACGAAGCAACTACGGACTGGGCATGGGGTCTAGCATCAATGATTGGTATCTACATTGCCGGTGGTATTTCCGGTGCGCATCTCAACCCAGCTATTTCCATCATGCTCTGGATATACCGAGGATTTCCTTTACGAAAAGTGCCAGTGTATATCCTGGCCCAAATACTCGGAGCTTTTATAGCAGCCTTAATTTCATTCGGTCTCTACCAAACCAACATTATCGAATATGGTGGAGCCAATCTCAAAAACGGGGATACCATGGGAGCCTTCATAACCTACCCCAGATATGCCTGGATCAACGCCAGCACCTCCTTCTTCACCGAATTCGTCGGCACCGCCATCTTAGCCGTCGCAGTGCTCGCCCTCGGAGACGACATGAACGCACCACCCGGAGCCGGCATGTCCGCCTTCGTAATGGGCCTCGTAATTGTTGCTCTCAGCATGGCATTCGGCTACAACACCGGCGCAGCTTTAAACCCCTCTCGAGATTTCGGCCCGCGACTTGCGCTTGCCGCACTGGGGTATGGAAAAGATCTCTTCACAGATGTGTATTGGATATGGGGAACCTGGTGCGCGCCGATCTTAGGGGCGATTTTCGGGGCGTTCCTGTATGATGCGGCGATTTTTGCGGGGGGTGAGAGTCCGGTTAATTATCCGAGGAAGAGACTTAAGAGAGCGGGGCATAAGTGGAAGAAGAGATGGGGTGTTAGATTGAGGAAGTTGAAGCCTAAGAAGGCGGGTGAGGATGAGACTTATAGGAGGTGGAAGGGTGGTCAGTGATCATCTGGGTGCTGTTGTAGGAGGATAATCTTTTGGAGCGAGCGACGACATTATTGGAGTTTGGGAGCTATTAATTGTTGGTTGGATATACGATATAAATTTATAAGGAAGTTAGAAACAGATGTATTGACAGATACCATTTCCCCATTTTCACCAAAAGAAGAAGGTAGCACAGTAATACAGTAAACTTCTAAATATCAACCCAAAAATCTCGTACACACAATCAAAACTACGTCGTAATCAATCCATTTTTCCCAATCCAATATCCATCCATCCATCCACCCCATCGCAAATATACAAATATACTCGACCAAACATCGTTTCACCCCAACCACTGATCATCACATATCCACTCCAATCCAATCAATCTCCCGAATCAACGTCGATCCCACCATCGCAAAATTCGCAACATCGCATATCCGAATATTAGATTCAAAGATTCTATTTTAGAATCCATCACTACCACTACTACCACTACACTAGACTAGACTAAACTAGACTAAACTCAATACAAATCTCTAAACGCTTTAAGTAACCAGGTTGTGGCTTTGCTGATGTAGATTCGGGCTTGTTTGTGTTCAACGCAATGCTATATTGACTGATATTAAAAATAGAAAGACTTCTATTCTCTACCCCTCCCGAGTCATACGAATCGTACAAAATCCTCACAACTATTACCCACTCCCACTACGACCATACACCCACCATACACCCACCAAACAAGCACATCATAATCATACAATAATCATGAACTCATGTTTCATACATACATATTCGCGGCAGTTTCAACTATCAACACAATATATGGACTATGGAGCCCCTGAAAATTAGAGGGGGCGTTGGGTTGTGAGTGAGTGAGTGAGTGAGTAAATAATTTAATTGTTAATGAGTGATATGGATTGACATGACAATTGGCACCTACTTAATGGTCGTTTGAACTATATATATGGGTGGTTTATATATAATAGGCAATAATGAAAAATCGGGTTGGCTCAGAGTGCTTATTACTCACTGTGGGTGGTCCGTTACAGACGTCTATAAGTACTTGTGGTGTACTCGATCGCGAATACATTTGACAAGGAGTAAACGGTGCGTAAACATTCTCCACTATGTAATATAGGTGGGTCTGATATGTTGATCAAATCAAAGCGAAATGTTCGGGGTATGGGTTAGCATTCCAGACCTTACGGAGTATGCTATTTATTAAAAGAATAACAAATCTCTGGGGATATAGAATGATGGCTTTCCAGTCTCGAATCTCGATGTTCTTATTTGAAAAACAAATTGCGTGACGTTAATACTGTTTCTTTTAGGGTATTATTTGTATCAGGGTTTGGATTTGGAGGTCAGAATAATTTGGAAAATGATGGTTCAACGATTGAGGACGCTGGTGCTATTTGGGGTAATTTTGGTGCTGTGTTATTCTCGGAACTTCTTCCTTTCGAAGCATACTCTAAATATGGTTTATGAAGAGGGGATGGTGATGCCGCAGGATATCTGGGATGAGGTTGATAAAAATAACGAGGTTTTGCATGATGTAAGGGGTGGACAAGAGCGCGTGACGACGACAGGTTCGACGACGGGTTCGGTGGAGGAAGCGAAGACATCGATAGCAGTTGGAACTTTGGTGGCTATGAGTTCATCGAAAATATCGGCGCCTTTACCAACACCAACGTACACGCCGCATGTACCAAGTCAGGATAAAGAAATACCATCCACGGATGCTGGGCCATCCAAATACCAGGCGGCAGAAAATGAGGCCTCGGAATCAAGACCGCATTACTCATCCGAACAGACAGAAAATCCGGACTCAGAGAATAACAAACAACAGAACATCCCGCCTGAAGAAGTCCAAAAAAACCAAGACTTTAATCCGATGATTAAAGACAATTTTCCAATCGCAATGAATGCTCGCTCAGCCGCCGATTTACCTCCAATACCCCCCTGGAACAATCCTCCAACCCCTCACGTGAAAGAGAAGACACCTCTTTTCATCGCCTTTACTCGAAATTGGCCCTTATTGCAGCAAACAGTCGTGTCGTGGATAACTTCCGGTTGGCCAGCCGAGGATATTTATATTGTTGAAAATACCGGTACCATGAGATCTAATGAATTTGGCCGACTTTCTCTCCAGAATCCGTTTTTCCTAAATCACACTCGATTGCATATGTTAGGAGTAAATGTCATCATTACACCTACCCTCTATACCTTTGCCCAATTACAGAATTTCTTCCTCTGGACCGCCATCGAAAAGGATCTCGATACTTATTTCTGGGGTCATATGGATATCATCCCTATCACGTTCGAGGAAGAAACTTTTGCGTCGAATCAATACGCCGGGCATCGAACCATCTATCAACATGCTGTTGAGGTTCTCCGATCAGCACAGTCACCTCACCCGGATCCCAATGCTTCCGATCCAAGTAAACCATGGGCCATGCGATTCTTTGCTTTCGACTACTTAACATTGGTTAACCGAGCGGCTTTTGAATCGATTGGTGGATTCGACACTACGATTCCTTTTTATCATACGGATTGCGATATGTATGATCGATTAGTTATGGCTGGATATGAAATGAACGAGCCTCGTTATCTGATGACAACAGTTGGGAATGATTTTGACGGGTTAGACAGAGCTGGTAGTGGATACATCTTTGATGTCGCAAACAGCATTGACGATTTAATCGTCCTATACCGAAAGAAAAACACCGTTGCAGCCAGTTTCACAGACCAGACTCGACCTGAAGATATCGAAGCAGTGCGCAAACATAACGAAGAACAGCTAGAGATAGAACAGCAGGCCCAGTATGAAGAGGAAGCTCGATATAAAGCCGAAGCGAACCAAAAGCAGGCTGCAATTGATGACGACAATGCACAAGCCTATGCGAAAGCGATGCAAGAACAAGCTATACTTGACAATAAGGCTGAAGAGATCGAGAAACAGGTAGAAGAAAAGCCTCAGAATGTGGGAAATGCTATGGATTATCCAAATACCAATGCCGATTCTAGCGAAGGATATGGAGGTAGCAATGAGGAAATTCGGCAGGTTGCGGAGAAACAACAAGAATTGCGACAAGCAAACGATATGGAGGAGAAAGAATGGAATCCCGTGGTTGCGAACGATCCTTATCAATCTGATTCTTCGATCACTTCATCCCAAGCAGGTGAGTATAAAAAGCGAGATCTGACTTCCTCGGGCTCGACAAATCCCCAATTTAAATCGCTCGAGGAACTTCACAAAGACGCCAGCTTAAACGCCGGCCTTAAGGAACCAATCATGCCATCCACATCCACAGCCACAACCACACTCTTAAACTCTGACACCGACTCCGACTCCGACTTCGATTCAAATTCATCTCCCAACACCAACTCCAACTCCAACACCCAATGGATAACCGACACCCCTAATTCCCCCGCCTATACGCAACTCCTGCAAGTCGCCGACGACATGGTACGCGCCAAGTATTCTCTCGGCGGCGAGGGTCGAAATACATGGCAACATCAGCAATCTGGAGGACAGGGGGAGCCATATTATCGGAATGCGGATGGATTTGAGAAGGCGATTCAGATGACGATTACGTTGGGGAGAGCGGTTTATTTGGAGAAATGGGGGACGTTGGAGTGTGGGTTGATTGGGAGTGGGGTGACGATGGAGGATGAGTGGAGGGTTCGGGAGTGGAGTGGGCTGTAGTCTGTAAAGGGGGCTAGGTAGGCAGGTAGGTAGGTGTAGGTGTGATGAATAAGCGGGTTTGGATATTGGCTGGATGGTTGGAAATCGGTGGGTTGTTTTTTGGGGTGATACTATACTTTACGGGGAGTTTGGGTGTTGGATGGGGTTCTCGTCGATGGTGTTTATTCCGGAAATTTTTGCATTGAAAATTCGGATTGTATCAGGTTTTGGGCTTGGGCTTGGGCTGTATACCACTTGAAATGTACATATCATGGTGTTTGGATTTAGGCATATACTAGTAGAGCATTTCGACTGCGAATTAAAGTAAATGAGAAGACATATATATAACATATACTCGAGGAGTATATAAAGTAGTCAAGATGTACTCTTATACCCAAGTCATATACTATCGTCCAGATCCGTAGATATCCTCTCGTTTCCGTGATATACATCTGCTCGTTTTCGTTTTGTTTCAATGATATCACATTTTCATTTTCCTGTAAATATCACACTGCAGATGTGCTTCTTGTATACTCTTTCTACTCGCCATCTTAGAGAGAGTAAGGTAAGGCATAAGGGATAAACGCCAAATGTACTTTGAAGATGATAGGAAGATGAATTTCTGTCAATTGGTTTTTGCTGGCTTGGGACAATAAAACGCTTAGATATACTCAATAGGTATATATTCCCTTTTCTGCACTTCGGGCTGAAGTAAGTAATAGTGTACTCAAGTACTGTAAAATAGACAAAGATCACTTGACAAGGAGGAATTAGTAAGGATAATTGGTATTAGAATAATCGAGTACCAGAGAAGAGATTTATGCAAAGGTAAATGTTATATCTGAACTCTACCTTTTCGATATATGTCGTGCTCAAAAGGATCAGTGGCCACCCAACCTGAGTGAGGATTAGGACATTGTGAAAATGGAAGACTCATCTGCTCTTCTTTCGAATACTTTGAAAGTATAAGAAAAGAAAACAGACCTCGTGGCCATGGAGAAGTTGCTCTTGAGTTTGCACAACTCGAGACTACCATTTTTTCAACGATTCGACGAAGCGGCACTGTTGCTTGGAAATCATCGAAAACTGTAAAGCGATCCTCAATAGACCGTTGGCTTCTTAGAAACTGTTTCAATTATCATTGCGGTTCAATTGGTGCCTCAATCTACACTGGAAGATGTTGTACAAAATATTTAGCGTGAGGACTTTCCTTCCATGATCAGGAATCTATAAATGACAGCAATATACCGGTAATAAACACATTCAAACGGACAATAGAAACCCTTACTAGAAGCTTTTCGTTTGTCAACATCCACAGTAGTGGCGAGTAGGTAGGTAATATGCATACACTCAAACAGACATTCATTCTTTGAAAGGCAGGAGCTATGCGCATCTATGTAATGTTGGTAATTCCTTCCAATGTCTGAAATTTCTATTCACAACTTTGCAAGATAGAAAGAACCTTTCAGTGTCATGATTAGACTTAACCATTCAAACAACTCTTGTAGAGATCAGAAAGACAATAGATAAGTCTAAAGGTCAAGTACTCTTCAATGCATTAATACAGGTTTGATAGTCAAAGTCATCTCTAAAACCTCTTTTCTTGAATTTGATAATTCCTATATAACTCGAGTAATATGGATGACTAACACAATCGCAAAGCACAAAACAAAACGCAGATTGAACTCCGTCTTGGATAAGGTTATTCTTTCCTCCACTTTACAAGAACACAACCAAATATTCAGGTAGGAAAGTAGGAAAGTACATTCACAGTAGTCTAGGTAGGTATATTCCTCTCAAGTTTCGTTTTCGTTATTTCTCACTCTCTTCTATTCGAGTACATCGATACAACTTTCATTCTTTCCCACATCCTTTCGCACTGATCAAAATGTCTTCTTCTTTTGATAGTTCCAGCTCTACATTCGATCTATCGCGCAGAAGGTCTCTTTTATCAGATTCACCGATAACGGGCGAAGCTGTTCGAAGATCGGCACGCAGAGGCGGAATAACAGGACAAACTTCTGGTCTTGCACCTTCATACCTTCAAGCCAACCTTATTGTTCTCCCTTCGCGTTATGCCGACGACTTTACGCGATTCTGCAAGAGAAACCCAGTACCATGTCCTCTCATTGCCAAATCTGCCACTGTAGGATCATACGATGCTCTCGAGTCATGGATTGAGGGGGTGGCAGATGAAGAATTGGCTGCAGAAATCGATATTCGGACCGACGCTCCAAAATACATGGTATACAAAGACGCCGAACTTGTGGGCGATCATATTGATGACATAAAGACGCATTGGACGGAGGATCATGTGGCATTCTTGATTGGGTGCTCATACAGTTTTGAAGATGCCCTCAAAACCGGTGGACTAATACCTCGACACACCAAACAGAGTCGAAATGTGCCAATGTACAAGACTAATCTATCATTGTGTCCGGCCGGAGTTTTTGATCAGGGCACATACGTGGTATCTATGAGGCCATACAAGAAGGATCAGATTGAAAGGGTAAGAGAAATCACAAGACCGTATCTAGCTACCCACGGAGAACCAATTGCTTGGGGATGGGAAGCTGTCGAGAGATTAGGTATTAAGGATATCACCAAACCAGACTGGGGCGATAGCTCTGTGAATGATGATGGGGATCCTCTGGTTTTCGTCAAGGGACGTGAAAACAAGTTTGTTCCGGTGTTTTGGGGATGTGGTGTTACTCCGCAACACGCTGTCGTGAGCGCCGGCTTGAAGGGGGTTGTCATGGGTCATGCACCGGGACACATGCTGGTCTTGGACTGTCGAGATGATGATCTCGTCAAAAATCGATTCGACAGAGAGGTGTTTGCAACTAAAAAGGAAGCCTTGATGACGGTGGTGAAGACGCAAGGTATGTCAATGGAAGAATTCAAGAAGAATCTGAGGACAGTAAAGGACGCCTAGGGAAGAATTATGATCCTAATCATCATTTCGCGAGGTTTCATTGGGATTATTGGCAAAGTTTAAACGGGAGTTTCATCAGGAGTAATTGGCTATTGAGTGCCCAGCGAATGACAGTTTATTATACTCGCATTGTAGACTCTATGAGCGTTCCCTTTCATCAATAACCAATACCACTTATGCTTCTTCTCGTTCAACGTGGAGCGTAAATGTGCAAGTATGGAAGAGGCCATCGAAGAGTGTGACATTTATTCAAAGTAACTGAGAGTCAGGTTGTATGCTAGATGCTAGCATGCTAGATAAACATATCGAGCGTTAGTTCGACATGTGAAGCACGGACATATTGGGCGTATTAATAGCTGAGTTCAAGTAAACAGAAACTCATGCCATTCCACACAACACACAAATATCAACCTCACCTGTATATAGATACAACGGATTATAAGCTTCTCAAATTTGGGTTATTTTGTTTAAGGTCATAGAAAAGGACATCATTTACTCACGATTATTTTGCTTGTCCTCCTCCCCACCCTTCCCCACGCTTGTGTCTCTTGTTGTATGAATTTATCAGCCCTACGAGAGGTCACAAATCATCGAACTCAGATTACCATAATGAATCAATCTGGGGAGAAAGTTTCGGGTCAAAAGGCCTCAAAAGTTTCGTAAGTCTTGACTGTTGATAAGGTCGTGCACAATGGCTAACAAAAACCTTTTAAGATGTGAGAGGTGTCGATACCGGAGGGTGAGCAATTCTAACGAGCATATCATCGGAATTGTACTCACATCATAGCTCAGATTAGATGTGATCGTACACAACCATGTCCCGCATGTCGAAAAGGGAATCATGAGTGCGTTTATCCACAATCGGAGAAATCGAGGTACGTTTCTGAGTACCAAGTTGGCTAAAAATATCTCTGGCTCACTATCTCTTACTCGAAGCTAGACCTGTACCAAAAGGTTATGTACAGGCATTGGAAGGGCAAATAGCTTCTTTGGAACTTTTTATTACCAAACTTATCGCTGCAGATGCTTCAAAAAGGGACGAAATGTTGGCCAATTTCAGCGATTCTACGAACCACCTGAGTTCACAGCCGAAGCAATCAACTACTTTTCCAAAGTCTGGTCCATCAGATACCCAGACAATTCTAATTCGGCCACGAGCTGGTCACCTTAGGAAACTCAAAGACGGCAATTCGGCCGAATTCTATGGCGCATCCAGCTTTTTCCAAATTAGTCCGTCAGAGGATCTGGACGATACTGCTTCGTCTACTGTAACACCTGGGACCGGACATGCATCTTCAATTGTGACCCAAAGTTCCAACATCCCCAACAATCTCATGGAAGAGCATCTAGCTTTTGCTCCTCAGAGTGACATCTGCAAGTATCTCATGAGGATATTCTTCCAAAACCAGTATCAATACCACATGTGTTTATATCGAGAGTATTTCCTAAGGGACTTCGATGCTGGTGCTGGGCCATATTACTCTGATCTTCTCATGTACGCCATTTGTTCCATGGGTGCTCTGGCTAGCGAAAGCACAACTCAGAGAGAATTATCCGACATGTTCTCCAGTCGTGCTCAAGAACTTCTATATGGATCTGCGCTCGAGTCCCCAAGTCTCACAACTTTGCAAGCCCTCATACTCCTTGGTCATCGAGAAATTGGACATGGGAAAACTTCAAAGGGATGGCTATTTTCAGGCATGGCTTTTCGAATTGCCCATGAAATGGGACTACATCTTGATCCTACTAACTGGAAAGGGTCTAATGATTCCTGGATTGATAGGGAAATCTTACGGAGAACTTATTGGGCTGCTTTTATAGCAGATAAACAGTTGAGTCTCTATTTTGGTAGACCACCCGCTCTTTATCCAGGAGAGTCCGATGTTCACGACACAGTACGAATACCTTACCCTCCAGAATGGAAGTCTCTTCTCAACAAGTACATTATGGAAGGTACTTCTGAGACCGCTTACGAGGATGGTCTAGCATTAGTCGCTTCATGGGTTCATCAGATTGAGCTTTGCAAAATTCTACACGGGATGATTACGAAAGTGTTTGAGAACCGAAATGTGAATACGGATGCGACGATTCTGGCGACCTCGATTAGAGAAGTGGATGTAGCCTTGACCAAATGGCTCAAGAATCTGCCGGCAAAATTACACTGGACAAAGTGGACTGTGGGCAACGTGCCTCCTTTTGTCCTTCATTTACAGTAAGTACCAGATGTCAGTACCCTTTGAGATATGCTGACACCTGATCAGTATGCAGTATCATACGGCTATAATAATACTCCACCGCCCGCCCAGGGCTGCTTTCAAAGAACCAGGAATTGCCGAGACTGAGGATGTTCAGATATGCTACGAGTCGCTGGATATCATCATGAAACTCCTCCGAATGCATTCTAATAATCTTCAAAACAACCCCTACAGTCACCTGCCCATTACCTTTGTTCATACTCTTGCATCAGCTGCAAGTATCATATTAATGAAACGATATATCGAAGACTGTTCGTGGAAGGAGCCCTCAGTCGCGAGACCTTTGGATCAAATATTAGAAGCTATCGATGGTGTATCTAATACATGGACATGCGCAAAACAAGTCCGAGACGTCATTACATCGGCTATAAAAGAACCATCGAAAGAGGATCCTCAAAAAGCTTCTCCGGGTACTTTCGATCTCATGGCGGGTCTTCTTGATCCTGAGATCGATAACGCGATTCTATTAGACAATGCTGACTGGAATATGAACGATACTGATTTCGAGCTCTTCATGGGCGATCTCGCTGTCGATATTTCAGCATGGCCTGATGGATCGTTTCCGGAGATTTGAGAATGAACTATCGCCGAATACTTGATTTATTGCGCTGGTGACTGATGTTCTGGTCGATAGTTGATGGGATATTAAAAAACATTCGACTTCGATTAGTTACAATTACACATTGGAAGTCAATGCGTGAGTTTCCGGCCTTACATTGGCATCGAACTAACCTTTGACATATATTAACATTATTCAGTTATCTTTCCGACGAGATAGGCGTCATTTATGGGATTCGTGAAATGTGGGACCGGATGGCTCCAAACGGAGTTCCTCCACCGCTCGGTCAAGCGAAGTGACCTTTTATCCTTGCACACATGCGACTAGCTGAATGAGCACCTGTCAACGGCTGCATGTACGATGATTGATCATGATTAGTACATATAGATACAGATAGCTGCAGATAGCAGGATGATCTTACAGAAATACTCCTGATAGGTATCTTATCGGGTTAACCCCGCGCGCGGGACTGCAAGGCCGCCAACATGCTACTTCCCCAGCCCTGTTTGTCACACTCTTTGCACATATAACAATAGCTTTGAGTACACTATGATGCTGTCAGTCTTCATGAGAATTGATCGTCTTTCGCGAATTCAATTCTTCTGCTACACTAGATTGCTCTTCGCGATATTCCTAGCACTAATTAGTCAACACAAGGATGGAACAACCCCATAGCGAGAAGATGGGATCTCTCCACGAAAAGGAACCTGGGATTCTCGAATCCACCCCAGACGGGTCAGAAACCGAAGTCTACATTGATCCAGCAAAAGAAGTGAAACTACTGGCGAAACTCGATCTTGCCTTTACGCCAGTCATAATGTTGGTATATTTGTCTTGTTTCTTGGATCGTTCGAATATCGGTATGCATTATTCATTTTTTGAAACAAGATCAAGAACTAAGAATCTGTAGGTAATGTGAAAGTTGCTGGTATGGTGACAGACATACACGCTACGGATCAGCAATTTTCTACCGCTGTGTCAATATTCTACGCAACCTATGTGACATTCGAGACGCCAGCAGCAGTTCTGATGAAGAAAATCACCCCTCGTGTAATTCTGTCTACACTGTGCGCCGTCTGGTCGCTCACTACCATTTTCACTGGATTTGTTCATAACATTGGAGGTCTCTATACCACAAGATTGATCCTTGGATGCTGTGAAGCGGGTTTATTCCCCTGTTTGAACCTGTACTTGACAATGGTTTACCGTCGCGAAGAGCAAGCTAAGCGAGTTGGGTATCTGTTTAGCTGCGCTGCACTTTCCGGTGCTTTTGGAGGACTTTTGGCTTATGGGATCCTTCAGATGGATGGTGTTTCGGGAGTTGCGGGCTGGAGGTTAGTCCTGACTTTGGTGAATAGCATGATATGAGTCAAGCTAACAATTTCAGATGGGTATACATCATCGAGGGACTTTTTAGTGTCGTGGTCGCTATAGTCGTCTGGTTTGGCCTTCCAACCGATCCAGGCCAAGCCTGGTTCTTGAATGCAGAAGAAAAGGAGATGATGAGATTGAGAGCCATCCAAAGACAGAAGTATATGGGTTAGTAGTTGATTTAACCCCCTCGTCACGAACTCTTAGCTCACTCCTATACCTAGGTTCCGATGAATTCTCATGGGAAGAATTCCGAATCGAACTTAAAGATCCCAAGCTTTATATCAGGTGAGAGCAAGAATCTCGGCTCTGGCAAGACTGCCCACTGACCCGTAACTGCAGTGCGGCCATCCAATTTATGCAAGACTGCCTACTATATGGATTTAGCACATTCTTGCCATCCATTCTGAAAGGGATGAACTACAGCACGCTCCAATCAAACTATCTCACTATACCCGTATATATGTGGGGTGCGATTAGTTTTCTATTCTTGGCTTGGATATCTGACAAGATGAGTATGCGTGGACCTGTGAGCTGATCCCCAAATCTTGCGATTGAGAGGAAACTAAGATTCAAATTTTAGATTTTATTCTTCGCCAACATCTTCGGAATAATTGGGTATATTCTATTGCTAACGGTAAAGCATGAAGGTGCGCTATATTCCCCTCAGTCCTTATCACACGCAAACTAATCTCCACCACAGGAGTGAAATTCTTCGCCACCTTCCTCTGTGCCATCGCCGTCTACACTGGTCCTGGTCTCAACATAACCTGGCTCAACGTCAACGTCGCTCCACATTACCGCCGAGCAACTGCTATTGGCATCCAACAATCCATTGCCAACACGGCTGGAATTGTTGCTGGCCAAATATATCGCACTTCTCCCTATGTTCTTGGAAATGGCTTTTCCTTGGGGGCGTTGTGTCTTGCTCAAGTATTGATTGTAGTGAAAGTTTGGTATATAAAAAGTCAGAATAAGATGAAGGAGAGGATTGGGAAGGGAGAGATGGAGGATACGAGGAAGGTGAAGACTGGGGATGGGGAGTTAGACTTTGAGTATCATATTTAGGTTCTGGGGGTAAG